CAAAAGAACTGAAAATGCCATTAACAAACGCCAAGAGGGTCCAAAGACTACTGCTGATCGTAAAGCAGTAGCGCAAGATTTGAAGGATATGCTTGGTGTTTGGTTGTACGAAGCGAAGGAGAAGTTAGGGACCGATGTAGCTGTTGCACTGCATTCAGATACGCCCGCCGACTGGACGAACAACATGTCGTATAGCAATTCTCGTAGGTAATTGCGCTTATGATAATACATCTAATGGATTAAACATGGTTTATAGGTGCAGCAGTTCATTCCCTTGCACAAGGCGATGTACTATCAACGTATAATTCCAAATGCAAAGGTAAACACAGGAACATACTAGTATTATTTATCACTTCCCACTTAAAGATTTCTTTTCTGTAGAATTTTATGGAAATAATGGCATGTGCAATATATATGAATTCCATTTGTATGATCCGATAATAACAATTAGTTGCGCTCGTCGATATTTAGAAGCATCGGCGACAAAGAATGATAGATCCGGCTCGAAGCGCAAATATAATATTGGGTTGAAGCGTATATGTAGATGCTTGCTCAACCAGTTCTGTGAGTCAAACATAGCTTGAGATCAAGTACATCTGGATTAGTGTATTTACTTTGTCACTTTGTAGGCAATGTAACTGGGGAGGAGACTGATCAATTTCCATGGAGCAAGTTCGTGCGCATAGCTGTGAAAATGGTAACACCGTTTCGTATGAGTATGGCGAAAAGAATGTCAAGCTTGTGGGCTTTGATTATGACAAAGATAAGGACGAGCAATTTCATCAAACAGCCGTCGAGCCGATCAAAATGGCAGCTACTATGTTGCGAGACTTAGATAAGGCTATACAGGATGAATTAGTTAACATAGAAAAGAAAGAAGAATGAAGGGCAATTACCTATATTGGTTTGACGTTATCATCAACGGCTTATTTTTATATTCAATAAATTTTGTACAAATGCTTTCGATAATTTACTCGCTTTCTTTTCCCTTACACTTCGTTTCATACTATTCCAAAAGCCACGCACATCCAAATTCAAGACAACATCCAAAGATCACGAGTTAGATCCTAAGGAGTACTATACTGAGTTCGTGTCTTGGCTTGATAAGAACGGTAACCCCATGTTCTACAAAAATGGCAAACCGAAACTTCAGGCAAAGCAAAAAAGGCTCGCAGAGATGGATGGTCTGAATGAGCAAAACCCGGCCGAACGTTCTCGTGCTGCAGCTTCCTCGCAGCCTGTAAATGAGAATGGTAATAGAAATGCACTATACTACATATTAATAAAGAAACCTAACAAAACATTCTGGTAGCAGTTGGACCTGTCGTCAATAACTATGTTGATACGGACGACATTATCGATATTGATGGCAATGAAGAGCCGTCACCCAGACGCACCAACCAGCAAAGAATGCAGCAGGTTATGATGCATCTCACCATAAACCGTCAAAAATTTGATTTTTTTTGAAATCTTGCTACTTTCTAGGACTCACAGTCTTCTACTTTTAACTTCACGAACCATATGGAATAGCATCTTTAGAATATAATTCGTGGAAGAGATTCACGTAAATCGTTCTTGTGAACACGCAGAAGAGTTCCAAGGAAGAGGATGTTAAGCGGAGTCAGCCCCAAATTGCAACACTTTTCTATAGCACTGGTTACCATATACAGTTAGACTTTTTCCTTCAACAAAAAGCAGTGTAGCCAACAATCATATAAATTTTGTAACTATCTCACAACCTCTTATAGCTTAATTGTGTTGAAGTTCGCCCACCCGTCGCTCCATCGGTATACCATCAGAGATACTGAGAGGATAGTCAAGTTTAATGTATAGTCACTTGCTCACTTCATGCCCTTTCAACAGCAGTGAGTTGTAAAGGTTGGAGAATCTGCTGTCTTGTTTGTTTGTATACATCGCGGATAATACATGATGCATGCTGCGCTGCCAGGATCTTTTCCCACAACGGCCACAGTGACAACAGCGAGCTAACGACCCCTTGTGTGATAAAACAACTCTAAAATTAATCAATTGCAATTCAAATTAAATGGGATTACTAGTAACTAGAAGTCCGTGTAGCTCAATTACAAGCTTGTTATACGTATATTCTGAAGACAAACGCGAGACTACATAGTCAAGAAAATTGATGAGGAGTGGGTCTATTTGTTTACACGGCGTTAAAGAAAACAAATAATGCATGCAAGTTCTGCCCGGGTTTCTCATACTATAGCTATAAGCAACATGTTGTAGAACTACACAGTAACCTGATACATCTTTAAAAGGCGCAAAGGATACTTAATTCTACCACTGTCTTCCATTCTATCATTTTCGACGAGTACCAGTATACCTATCGATAGCTTTCTGCTTTATATTGCATTATGCCTAGACGTCGGAAAAAATTCTGCAGTGGCGCTGCGCAAATCCAGAAGCACGAACCACTCGCGCTTCGTTGCAGTTGCCCTAAACGATGTAGGTTTATCATTACGGGTGCTATGATCTGGCGGAACTGTGCTTCTTCAATGAATATTATGCAAGAACTATACTAAGCTTCCTTTGGCGTATATCTAGCAGCGGTCCACTTTGCAACTTGAGGGTCAACGAGAAGAAGATCCATCCGAGGGTGAGCGTTACGATATATCACGAGCCCGCTGGAAAAGCTTGATTGAATGGCGCCCTGATGCTGGACAATATCTTCGCTCTCCATATAACCGTAAGTGGAAGAAGAGCAAATATGATTTTGAAAAAAAAAAGCAATTCGTATGTATTTAAACAATTACAAAGTACTAAATTTACATGACAACAGGAACCTCACGCTATACAAAGTATCATAAAAAAAAGAACCTAATCATGAAGAGAGAAAGTGCAGAAGGTTGCCGACCTTTGACCAGCTTTTTTTCGAACGCACCTATACAAGAACAAATGGAAGTCGACAACAGTCCGAATATTAGCAAGAATGAAATGGAACTTGCAAGAATTCGACAAGTATACGATGGTCTCTACGAAAAAGTCAGTCTTATCAGAAATTCGCTATCTGAAGTGGGTTCATTGAACGCGTACGAAACATTACGGATAATGAGCGTGCATTGTTACTTTAAGAATCTACGGATATAACAAGTCGTACGCAAGTATGAAGGCAGCAACATCCTTCTGGGTTTCAGCACATACCTATCGCAGTCGAGCGATAATGGATTGAGCAAAAACGTACCTCTTACTAGGGACCCTGCCCAGCCATCAGCAAGGAAAACACGCGAAGCGACGAGGACGTCAAGAAAAAATGTATCGCATACTGGAATTAATTAAACCCAGCAAAAACATCAACGATTGTTCTCAAAAAAAGATATTTCATCCGTCATCATTCCCGAAACACTTGGCGTGCCGGGTGACATTTCAGAGAGTACGATAGCGCGTACCTGCGTATCTGGGGCTACAGATTTAAGCGATATAATAAGGATGTATGTGTACATACTCAGTAACTTAATCTTTAACTTGTAAACCACATTAATAATTTATGTTAAATAACTTACTTTATACTGCTATAGATTTACTATGACGGACACGAACGGCCCAATGTCAAGGAATATCGCGTAGAATGGGCGAACCGGATGCTTGGGTATTGTCGACTTATGCGTCAATATTCTGGGGACGAGATGAATGAAGTGACAAGGCCGCACCTGTCGGAATGTGAAAGAGAACATGTGCTTGTAACGCACGGCGAAAGCACATTCTATTCCAATGATGGCAAGAACGACATACGGCTTGCTGATGGCGAGTCGATACTGAGAAAAAAGGGTCCGGGTGGTTCGATAATGGTGTCAGAGTTTTTGTGTGCTTGCCATGGACCACTGCATATCACCGAAGAACAAAGGAACGAAGCGAAGTTGCTGGAGGATTTTCCTGTTGAAGCTCGAATATTGTGCAAGGCCGGAAAAAATAACGAGGGTTGGTGGACTAATGAGCACATGCTCGCTCAGCTAGACATAGCAATTCGCGTTTTTTTAAATCATTCAACCAGGTTGTACTGGTAAGAAGAATACAATTGAGTATGTATGGTAAAAGGTTTCCAATGCCTGACCCGTCCCAATTTTTCTTCTTTTTCCTGTTTCAAAAGGAGTGTTCTGCTTCGATCAGAGCAGTAACCATGCAGCTTTCCCGAAAGACGCTCTTGTAGCCAGCTGGATGACGTTGAATGACAACAAAGTGACCTGACCTGTCCGTTCAAACCAAAAGGATACAGATACAACAGCGATGGTTTTCCTGTTCCGTTTTTTGAGTTTATTACAAAGCTAACTTTCGTTCAAGGAATGGAGAGTGCTACAAAGTTACTTACATGAAAGGCATAAAAAACGTAAACTTTTTTAGGGTAGTTCACAGCTCTTCCATCTTGCATAAGCGATTTGGCTCACGTTCTTATATTCTCTTGACTTTTAAATAGATCGTGGAAGAGCGTGGAAAATGGCTGGCTCAAACAAAAGTGAACTTACATTGCGGTGCTGCTGCCTCAACCGAAAAAGAATGCTGTGCTCGACACATAGATGAACAATCAGTAATCATAATTTAATTTTTATATTAATAATTAATACCTTATTTTATAATATAAAATCATTATAATTATATTTTTTTAATAATTAACTATATAATATATTTCTTTTATTAAAGTATTCAATAATTATTTCCTTTTGTTTAAAATCATTTTCATTGACCTAACTATTATCTCTATAATCGTATCCTTTCCATTTAACATGAAATATATATTTTTTATTCTCTATTTTATGATTTACCATCTTTTCTACCTCAAATATATTTTCATCTTTGTTTACATTTCTATATTCATATATATTCATACATTTATTTTTATTTTTATTTTTCGATCGTTTTTTTCTTTTTTTAGATACATTTTGATATTGAGGAAAGTCAACATCTGTATCATCATTATTATTATCATCATTTACAGTTTCATTTTCATTATCAACTATTATATCAATATTATTATTTTCTAATTCATCATTATTTATATTTAAATTTAGTAGTTCTAATTGTATTTTCTTTAAATCTTTAATTTTATTCATTTGTTCCATTTGATTAGTATAAACAATATCTATTAAGCTCATTTCATTAGGAAAATCAAGATTATTATTTATCCATAACTTATGATGTTCTTGTACTATAATATTAAATTTATCAGTAAAATTTTGAATATTTTCTAATAAAAATACAACTTTTAATTGTAAGTTTATATATTTTATATCATCTGTCTTTAATATAGAATTATTATTAGAGAATCTTTTAAATTTATTATATAAGTCTTTAAATTGATTTTCAGCTATAGATCTAAAACTACCAAATACTTTGTTATAATGTTCTTCTTGATTATTTAAAGCTATTCCTGCTTCTTTACGAATTGGATAAAAAAATTTCTGTTATTTAAATTAATATTTTTACTTTTACAAAAATCTTCGAATTGTTTAATAAATAGTGTATAACCACCATCTAATGCAATACAATCTTGTTCTTTAATTTTTCTATACAATTTCATATTTAAAAACATACCACCATCACTACAAATACCACATAATTGACTATTAGAAACATTAATTATATTCTCATTTATATCTACTAATACTTATGTTCTTATTCCACTAGTTTTAAATTTATATGACCATTTTTTTTGATGTGAAACATTCGGTTTATCATATTGAATTGCTGTATTATGCCCATCTAAAGCTAAAGTTATATGTTTAAAATTTTGAGGATTTTTAATTTGAGCTGATAATACTCTTATCTTTATATTACTAAACATTTCTAATAAACAATAATCAACATATTTATTTAAATTTTCATAATTAGTAATCCAAAACTCTTTATATAAATTATAAAAACTAGATGATGGGATATATTTTTTTATATTTTTAGATGTAAAACCATCTACTAATTGATATATTAATAATAATGCTTTTTTAACTTCTAAATAAGGTCCTGGATATTCCTTATGTGTATATAAAACAGTAATAAAAAAGAATATAGGAATATAACCTAATTTATCTAATAATTCATCTTTAATTTCTCTTATATTTTTAATATTTTTTAATTCTGTTCGATGCTTAAATTTATTTTCAACTTTTTTCCAATCTTGACTTAAAAAAGACCACTTATTTAATATTAAATTATTGATTTCATTTTTTAACTTTTTTCTATATTCAATAATATGTTCATTATTCTTATTAGTATATTCATCCATGATTTCAATATCTGATTCCATATTTATAGCATATATCTTAATAATCTTTTAATTATATATGAAAATTCTCAATTTTTAAATTAAAAATATGTATCATAGCAACTAATTAAAAAAGGAAATTAATAAGGAAATAATATATCTATTTATTTTCAAAAAAAATAAAATTAGATTCATTTTCTAATTTGCTAATTGGCAAATTATATATTTTATATAATTTAATTTTTTCGAGGAAAAATAGCAGTTACTTAATAGAAAATCTTGTTGCTAACGAAAAAAAAATCATTTATCACTAACATAATAATTACCTTTTTAGCTGATTTTCGAAGAAATCATATTTTAATTAATTACTATAGTAATAATTTTTGTAAAGAATGATAGTAATATTATATAGTAAATAGTATTAAAAGTAAAAATAATACTATTTTATATCTGAATTTTAATAATATATTTGTTTTAGAAAACAATTTCTAAATGTAATATAATAGAAGTAAATATAAAGTTTTGTTTATTCATCATACTAGAGTAAGAACCCGATTTCCGAAATCAGAAATCAGCATTAAACGAAACTGTATCAAAGGCTGGTCATGATTTTTTTTGACCCAAGGCGGAGTATCTGTTCCAAGGTGTACCAGGGTTGTGCCTGGGTAAGCAGAGTATTTATTCCACGGTGTGCCAGAGTGGTTCCAAGGTTGTTCCACAGTTTGTCCAAGGTTGTTCCAAGGCTGTTTCCAAGGTTTTTTCTAAGCTTGTTGCAAGGTTACAGTATGAACGTGACTAGAGGCCAAGCAGCCTGCATATTCTTTCAGCAAGAATATAACCTGGAGAACGAAAAGAAGCTTTTGGACAAGATAGACAGCATTGGCGATGTCGACATTTGCTTCATGAAAGATCCTACCGAGCCATTCCTGCTTTACATCCCCAAAATCCACAGTAATCCATTCATATACCACTGATATTTGTCAAGCCCTACAAAACCACCGCAACCACTAGAAGAGCAAACTTTCAACGATGAGCAAGCAAGTGTGACTGAAAAAATCAGAAGACTGAGTAAATAATAGAGCCTTTCAATGATACTTTATCTATGGTATTACAACTTACTAATGAACCGTTTGATATAGGCTCAACCCCACAGGTCGTCCACTTCTTGAACGAAGTATTTCTGTTGTACAATCCCTACAACGATGTAGTATATGAGTATCGCAAGTACTCAAATGATAATCTTAGAAGTGGCCCGTCGACACACAGCCATGTTCGATAACAAAAACGCGGTAGGGTTTGGCAAATGGTGTTCGACCCAAGGAATCCATTTCTTCAAGGGGGACTGGCCATGGTTATGATAATTTTAATGCGATCTAGTAACCCTAGATGACTTATTAGTTAAGATATATCAGGATAGCCAAATTAATTTTTATTGAAATAATTCATGCATGAATGTCTTGGCATACATACATTTAAATTTTTGAAAAAAATAAAAATTGAATTTTTTTTTAATATAAAAATAACACCACAGAATATAAAGCAAAATATATTTGTTATATTTTTTTTAGCACTCCAACAAAACTACCCCAACGAAAACACAACATGGACCAAATGAACCTCCTCACATTTATTGCCATTATGGCTGAATTTATTCCTATTTTAGGAATAACATTGACGCTCTTAATAGAAAGAGCAAAGCATCTTACTAAACATCATCAAGATGTTAGTGAAAAAACAATTGCTGACCAACTAAGGGTCGAACTCGAAAAGGACCTCAAAAAGGCTAACATAACAAAGGAAGTAAGGGACGAGAACCATACTGCAATAATGGGATAGATTAGGGCTTTTGCAAAATTCCTCAAATCCTCCTATTTTCGATTTTCCGATGCAATGTTAGAGGGTAACACCTCTGGTGCAGATTCCTCGCAGGGTGGCAAAGAATTCCGATTCCAAAACACTAAAGGGCTGTTCACATATATTTGTAAGGACTTCCATTTAACAAAAGAACAAATCATGGAATGGTTTATAAAACATGAACGTATTGGTTATCGAATTGAAAAGGCAATTGCATGTGATGAAATTGCACCAGAAACTGGTGAGAAACATGTTCATATATAGATACAAATGAATGAGCGGTTCGACACAAAAACAGCACGTAAATTCTTTACTATCAATGGTGTTACTCCAAATATTAAACCAGGTGGTAATCCACAAAAGTCCATTAGCTACTGTATGAAAGGAAAAGATTATATTTGTTATAATATGGATTCGAATTATGAAGTTAAGACCAGAAAAATGCACCAACAGTTACTTGGATATCAATTAATTACAAAGCAGCTTAATATGCAGAAGGCTACCGGAATATATCCAGAATTACTATTTAAATATGATACTGTAAAATCAAATTTAAATTCTTACTTTCATGATGCCGATATGGAAAATAACCCTGGAAATAAATTACATATGTGGTCTATGTTTGGGATTGAAACAATGTTTGGTGGTAAAAATAAGATACCACAATACTAGATTGTAGGTCCATCAAATATAGGTAAGACATATAACATTGATGTATTAGAACAAGGTGGCCATCGAGCATATCTAATGAATAAAGAAAATGATTGGTCAGATTATAAGGATGATGATTATGAATTTATATATAATGAAGAAACAGGTTCTGATTTCAAATTAACATTTTTAAACCAAATGTTAGAAGGAACACGGTTAAAACTTAATGGCAAATTCACAAAGTCAATAACTAAAAAGAAGAATATGCCAATAATACTGAATAGTAACTATATGCCGCACATGTTATACAAAAACAAATCAGTATATGAGTTAGAGCCAACGCTCAATCGTTTATATATTATCTATGTTGATAAGAACCGTAAAGGTCATATAATATGGAATCCATACACAATGAAGGTGAAGGATTATGGAAATAAATTCATGTATTATGAAAACATGGATAAGTATGAGGACTTATACAAAGGTGAATTCGAAAACGAATACCAAGATCAGCATACATTTATCCGTTATGCACATAATAGTGGTCAGGATGATTTTAAAAAATATACACCGATGGATAAAACAGTAGAGGAACTACAAGAATTAGCTGACACAGAAGAATATATGAAGGAACAAGAAGAAAAACATAATAGTAATAATACACAGAACAATAAACAACATAAACCGCCTCAACAAATAGAGGATGGTCAACTATAAAGGTACCATCATCAGTAGATTGTAGGCATTGGGAAGATGTGTTTAATGATATAAAATGTGATGATGTTGTAAATGATACTACTGATTGGGAAAACCTACCAGAAGATATAGAGAAACATAAATACATAGATGTAAGTACATCTGAATCAGAGAAAAGCAGTGACTGCAACATACCAAATAATATACCAAAACGTAAAAAGAAAAAAAGACACATTAAAAATAAACAGAGAAACAAGCAAATAGTAGAAGAAATACAGCCAAAAGAATATTTTAAAAAGCATAAGGATATAAAACAGGCTATAATAGATGATATAGATATAACAAAAGAAACTGACGTCAAAAATAAATCAAAAGATACTAATATAAGTACAAGTATAACTAATGAATGCATAAAACATAAATATAATTGGGCAAGTAAACGAAAGGTTGATGCAGTCAGTTTCAATATGAAATTTTTTAATAAGTAAATAAGTAAGAAATTAATTTAGAGCTGAATACCATGTGTGGCCATATATTCATGTAGCATTTCCTGGGAGTTAAACTTATCAACTGTTAACCAACTATTATCCTTTACACTATATCCAACCCACTTAACCTCAAATATGTACTTATTATCAGTATACACATGTCCTACAATCTTCTCAATTTTATATGAATTACTATGTTCTATATTTCTCTGTCCTCTTTGATTTTTTCTCTTGCGTTTAGATGTATTATTTTCAGTTTCGTCCTCACTATCTATAGCCATATCTATTGATTGATTAATGTTAAGCTGTAGAAATTTCTGCTGCATGTCAACCATTTCGTTATATTCAGTATTTACTTTTTGCTCATTTGAAAATACTAAGTCAAGTTTGTTTTTCTTACTTGGGAATTCAAATCTTTTCCATACCATAATTTATGATGTGGTTGTACCTCTATATTATACTTATTTACAAATCGCCATATATTAGTAAAAATACAAGCAACACAAAACTGAATATTATAATATCTTATATCGGTTATTTGCAATGCTGCACGATTATTAATAAATCGTTCAAATTTAGAGCCTAACATAGAGAACTATGCTTCTATTGCTGAACGAAATGATCCAAACTTGTTATTAAAGTATGTCTCATTGATTGTTAACTTTTGTCCTGGTTCTTTTCTTATGGGATGTAAAAAATTACGATCATAAAAACTATATCCAGCATCTGTCGCATTATCTTTAAACTTTAGTATAAATAAATTATATCCACCATCCATTCCTAAACAATCTGCCTCACTTATTTTTTTATATAGTCTCATATTAATAAACATAGTACCATCATTTCTAATAGCACATTTTTTAGATACTGAAACATGTGTAATTATTTCATTCATATCCTATATAACTTGTGTACGTACAGCTGGCCCTTTTAATTTATATGAATATAACTGTGAATGTGACTCATTTGGTTTATAATACTTTATTTTACTATCATGTCCATCAATAAATAGTGTAACATTCTTAAAACCATCTGGATTGTTTATTATTGCTGATAAAATGCGATACGTGGTGATGAGAACATACTATCTAGATCTTGTTTTACCTTTTTATTCAATTCATTATAGTTAGTAATCCAGAACCGCTTATATAAATCATAAAATGTTGCATATGGCATAACAGTATGCATATCCTTTCCTGATATACCTGATACCATATGAATGCAAGCCCTTTTTCAATCTCGCGGTATGGCCCTGGATATTCAATATTTCTATATAAAACAGTAAGAAAATAAAATACAGGTATAAATCCAAATCTATTAAGTAATACATCCTTTATATCATTTATTGTATTATTCTTCATATCTTCAGTAGCTGTTCTATGATTGAATCTATGTTGCATTTCAGGATAAGATTTATTAAGAAAAGTCCATTTATTATCAATTAAGTTTTTAATTTCAATATCAAGTTGTTCAATGTGTTGTGTTGTATTCATTTTTATTTGTTGTTATATGCTTTAAACAATCGCTCTTTTTTTTTCTCGTGGGAGGCTACCAATATAAATAAAAAAATTCAATTTACTGTAAATCAATAATTAATTCGGCTACTGATAGTTATACCGATCATAGCAATTTTATTATCTATATTACAGCGCTAGTAGGTTATAATTGGTTATACAACTAATAGTAGGACATCAAGGTTGTTTCACGGTTTATCCAAGGTTGTTCCAAGGCTGTTTCCAAGGTTTTTTCTAAGCTTGTTGCAAGGTTACAGTATGAACGTGACTAGAGGCCAAGCAGCCTGCATGTTCTTTCAGCAAGAATATAACCTGGAGAACGAAAAGAAGCTTTTGGACAAGATAGACGGCTTCGGCGATGTCGACATTTGCTTCATGAAAGATCCTACCGAGCCGTTCCTGCTTTACATCCCCAACATCCACAGTAATCCGTTCATATACCACTGATATTTGTCAAGCCCTACAAAACCACCGCAACCACTAGAAGAGCAACCTTCCAACGATGAGCAAGCGAGTGTGACCGAAAAAATCAGAAGACTGAGTAAATAATAGAACCTTTCAATGATACTTTATCTATGGTATTACAACTTACTAATGAACCATTTGATATAGGCTCAACCCCACAGGTCGTCCACTTCTTGAACGAAGTATTTCTGTCGTACAATCCCTACAACGATGTAGTATATGAGTATCGCGAGTACTCAAATGATATGATCTTAGAAGTAGCCCGTCGACACACAGCCATGTTCGATAACAAAAGCGCGGTAGGGTTTGGCAAATGGTGCTCGACCCAAGGAATCCATTTCTACAAGGTCAACCAAAAGCGTAAAAGATCTGACGACGTACGCTTTCAACTACTATACGTTTTAAAAGAAAGCTTTATGGGTAAGCTATGTTTTATTTTAGCAGAAAATGGATCTAAACTAATATTGTATATCAGAAACAATCGTTGAAAAGATCACTAAGGCGTTGCAGCACTATCAAAGATCGATTAGACGTATGAAGCATGAAGAATATGAGATAGTGGGATACTGCAGAAAGTCACCTGACAATGAAGCAGCGCGAGATAGGCTGCGGCTGATGCAGCACATGGTTGGTCGTCTTCGAGAGCGGTCATTAGTTGATAAGGTCTTTGTTTCTCTTTCTTGCAAGTCGAACCAACCCATAAGCGAGCGCGACTGTTACACAGAAAATGAGGACATGAGTACCTTAAGCACAATTATAGATGGATCAATGCTTTAATTTTGTTAATTTTATAAAAGTTGTTATATGAATAATAATTATAAACTGTATAAAATTGTTACATTCTATTTACATTATTTTTTTTTAATTCATTTTGATAATTTATAACAAAATATAAAAATAAATTACAACAATTATCACATTTATTATAGTCTGATTCAATAATATCAGGTAAACCACTATAATAAAGCCTATTTTGTAAACTATATTTTTCCTTATCACATTGATAACATATATCACCTTTATCATTAAATAGTTTCCTCCATTCTTTACAAGAATTACCTATAATTATTGTTTTAGTATTCCATCCTTTTTTTAGAGATATTAAAGTAGTTCCTATTTTATATTATGAATAATCATTGAAGAAATAAAAAAATATAAAATTGAATAAAAAAATGAAATTAATAAATTAATATTAAAAGAATGGAGTTTTTTAACTCAAGATTGGAAAAAGACTTATGATATAAAGAAAATTATAGATTTTTATTATAATAGTTTGGAAACAACAAAAAAGTTAATAGTATAGTTAATGTCTTCAAACAATGTCAAAATCAAAGATTTTTCCTGAAGCGGATATAATCTGCTAGATTTCGGAAGGTTATAAAAGTATTTTGATAAAATAAATTTAAATCTAAATATATAAATATTTTATTAGTATAGGAAATAAATAAATGTTAATATTTCTTTTTAGTGTCAGAAAAAAACTTGACATTGAAATATCAAACCAATTATAAATACAATGATAATAATTTAATTTATTTAAGTATTATTATAATATTTAGAGATAAACTTTTTTTAATTATACCAAAAATTATGATAAAAGTTTTTTAGTTAAAAATTGAATTTGTTAATAAATAAAAATGGAAGTATTAATAATTATAACAATTTTCTTGTATTTTAATCTAATAGAAGGATATAAACAACTTAATCAAAATGTAGAAATATATGTTTCAGATTGTCGCATGGTACCTGTAAGTATGAAAATTAGAAATCCTAATGATTTTTATGAGCTTATCCATTTATTAAATAAACCTATTTTATTTCTAAAATATATATAATCTATTAAAATTAAATAATAATAAAAGTTAAAATTTGTATTTAAAATAATTTGATAATGTAAAATTTACAATAAAAAAATGAAATTTATGATTTTTATTTTTATATACAATATTTAAATAAATTTGGTGAAAATATAAATAATAAAATATTAAATATAGAAAATTTATCTATTTCCGAAAATAAAAAGTTAAAAATTAAATAAAAATTTGACTATAAAATTATTTCTCCTATTTTAAAATAAATATTAATTTGTTGTTTTTTTTTCTACAATCTCAGATAAAATAAGATGATTTGATTAATGTAAATTCTTACATAAAAATGATCCTGTGATTAAATAAATAATTAGAAATAATGTCTACAAAATTGTAATTGAATTAAAAAATTAATTTTATTTTTTAAATCTATCTTATATTTATCTAATAAATAATATTTTACAATTGTTTTAAATATTTCATTTTAAGAAAATTCAAAAAATTGTTCCTTTTTACATATTTTTAATTAAATTTTCTAAATAAATAATGATGGGATTGTAATATGAATAGTAGGGTATGCGATTTTAAAATAACATCAGGTAAAAATGAAGGATTAATATGTGGCAAACGAATATATATCAAATGTGCAAATGATAATGGAAAATACAGATGTTTTGATCAACACATTTTTAAATTTATCTAAATATTTTTCATAAAAAGAATTAAAAGTTTATTATTATGTATTTTCAAGAAATATTAACAATTAATTATAATTATACTCTAATATTATTTTTGATTTCATTTAAAAAACATTACATTTTTTAGATTATATTTAAAAATTATTTCTTCTATTATTTTTTTGGTAATTAATTTATTATTTTCATTACCTATATTATAGAAATAATTATTGGAGTAATATTGCTGGTATAGTTTCTTGGAAATGGTTTCATAAAGAAAACAAGAAGAAACATATTAATGTTTGTTGTTGTTTATAATCATTTTTATTTGAATTTTGTCTAAAAACAATTCTTTTCTCTTCATTAATTGTTAAAAATTCATATGACCATATCTGAGTTTAAATCAATTTTCTTACTTGGAAATTATCCAACAAAAGATTTTTTAAAAAATTTGCGGTAAATTGAACTGGTCGACATACAATTATGTGCTTTAGACACTAACAGAAATTTAAAAGACCTTCTTTCATACTTGTCTTATACAAAAAATGTGTGTTTGGTAGTTGTAGACTACGCAGGTTTATCAACCAATGTCCCAGACTTATATGACTTCATCAGGTAAAAGAACTTGTTTGATCAACTCGTTCTGACACTCACTGTTGTATAATCACTTTAGAAAACACCAGAACTTACAAAAAATCATCGTCGACCATTTGCCTTACGAAAACGATGTTAAAGTTTTCGACCGAGAAGAACTACTAGACATAAAAAGTTTGGAAGTGTTTAATTGTAGAAAAGGAAATTACCACAGATCGAAATAAAATGGTTGAGGAAGGAAAGAAGTTGTTCATATACATTGGGCTTGCAGGGAAGTATCATGGGGTAGAAAAGAGCTTGATATTACCCTGATATTTAGCTTTTTGTAGTGCATACAGTCCCCTAAGCTCACAATTAATTACATTATGTATGTAGATGTCTCTGACGGTCTTGCTATATATTGCTTTTGAACTGGGTACCTTCTTCAGTAGGTTCGTGAAAAAGAAAAGAAGGATTATGCATTGCATATTTTCGTTCTTTTCTTTACACATATAGTAAACGGACAAAGCATGCTATTGATTTTTGTGTTCATGGTCATGTGTAATATACATATTGTTATGGGTGTCTAAAACGGTTTTTATGTAGAAGATTATGCTTTATAGAACATTGAAAAACGTCATCAAATGTAAGCCTATGTTATGTGATGATTCTAAAAAAAAGGCTGTAGTTGAAAAGAGATGGTGCAAAGGACAGCAGTCCTACTACAGAAAGATGCGTGTTGAGGCAAATTATACCTGAAAGCAAAAACAGCGCGGAAGGAGATGCGCATAGACTATAGTGGAGATGACATACCTAAAAGACATCACGTTGAAGATTGTTAGTAAAAAATACAGAATGCATCGTTCACAGGATGAAAGAGTTAAAGACCGGCCGCGAAAGGAGCAGTTTGATATATACCAATGGTGCGGAGACACCGAAGCTCGTCATCTATCATAGGAAAAGAGTACTAACAAAGATATACATACCTATGCGGCCTTAATCCTTATCGTCCATATGAGACAACCATAATAGTAGCACTTCATCACGTTAGGAAACGTTAGAAAGACACAAATAAGTTCGTAGCGTACATGTGGTACGATGCGAGGGATGGTGCATAGTAGTTGTCAGGGTCATGGATCAATAATACAGAAGATATAGTAAAGAAAGGGAAACTTACGCTCTTCTAGCTGGTCTATTACATTTGGCAACGACGGCAGCTTCAAAAGGCATAAAGTACGAACTGTGTTGTATGAAATAGTCCAATGAATGCGTGCGATAATATTAGCAAGATGGATCGTAGGAAAATGTAAAAAGGAAAGAATAAGAGCCAAGAGGATCACCTTCAAACAATCGACATATATAAAAACTAGCTGTCGTATCTGTTAATCACTGTAATATACGTAGTGAGAGGAAGAAGAAGAAGGAGGAGGAAAAGAAAGGGGAATGTAGAAGTGAACCAAAGACAAGAGCGTTTAAAAAGTACCCATCACATGCACACTCACAAAATCCGATCCCAAACATTTGTGCAAGTAGCGCGTCGATTCCACCGACCCACACTTGATCCATCTTTCTGTATGTCAATTCTACTTACCACCTTACACCTCGAGGTTATGAAGGCATGACGAACTTGTGTTCCACTTGGCGTTCCCTTACCACTGGATATTTAAGCGCTGAAGAAAGTAGTGGCTAGTGCAATAGCCATGATCGCAGTGAAAAGTAATAGGCCGTACATAAGAAAAGGAAGTGTAAGAAATAATGCACAGAAGAAGTTCAAGTATGCAAGGAAGAGCATCAACTGAGATCGTTGATTGCTCCCCCAGCACGATCTATATTGTGCTACGTTATTATGGTACCTTTACTTTTATGAACCTTGGTGGTAAACTATGCCATCCCTATACATTTGCTGCTGGCCATTTATCGCTGGAATTCGCTAAGTTCCTAAAAGCATGTATAGTAGCACACATGGTCGATGAACAGTAATCCACTTGAAAATACGCCCTTTTTTAGAAAAGGTAGGAATGAATACATAGTGAGACGCTCTCCAAAAATGTACTTTCCTGAATCAGATCCTTTTCTTGATATCGAACTGCTTGTTGCTAACAATTAAAGTAAGCACAGAGAGAGTTGCTGGCAGTACATTGTCATTGCATGGACTGAGTTATCCTATAGATGCCTACCAATCGCGGAACCAGCGCACAAAGAGAGCGCGAAGCCGAATCTCGTCACGTGGCGATCCAGCAAGGACAATGCTCTGCTTACGAGCTTGCATTGAGGGAAGAACGGCTGCAAAGGGTGGAGACGGAAAACAGGTTGCTGCGCGAACGGTTGGCGTCGATACGTGATACTGTTTCGCGCCTGTCCGAAGCGCGTCTTGAGCATGAGCAGCAAGAACCCGGTGTCATCCAAACAGCGGGCACGCCAGGCCGTTTGCCATTATTTCTGCTAGAAAACAATTCTACAACGGCGAACAATGGATTAGCAGTAGATTGTTGACTATGATGTGTCTATATAGGTGGCCATCCGCGACTACAAATGTACCCTAGGTAATCGTGGGTTCTGTTTCTCGACTGTGTTCACAGTTCCCCATAGCCGTGCTGCTCGTGATCGGATTGTCAGGTACGTAAGCAGCTTGAGCCATATCAACATCAACGAGCGTCGTTTGTTGGACATGGTGATAAGTTCTATGATAACGAGCGTAAGAAGTCACGACGACCGCCTTCCGCTGCTGAAGAACCAAAAGTGGTTGGGCGACGTTATCAGCGAACGCAATACAGTAAGGTCATATGGATTAATTGGAGATAGTTTGGTTGTTCGTTGGTAATAAAGGTAATGTTTAATATATATAAGAAATTGAAACGACGATTACGAGCACACGAGAAGCATTCTGCTTAATTCGATGAGCTATACCTAGATAGTTCTCGGTTGCTCCAGCACAAGTGCCAGTCGGATGAAGAGACAAACGCCGAAGGCAGCACCAATGGGAAGCAGTTGTTGGTGCTGGTGCCTGAAGGGCATACCGACTTTGTAAAAAGCTTGTATGAGTGTTTAAAGGTTATGTCAGGGAGCTGATGAGATCTGTAGGCAAACGAGTTTTTTTTGTTTGCAAAGTTGGACGAGTTTGGCATCTGAAGTGGTGTCTACGCTGCCCGCTTGAGCTCATCGTTAATAAAACAATTTGGTTGCATGGCTTCTGTGTGGGTATGGGAGGGCAAAAAAACTCGTAAGAGTGTTTAGGGAGGGGGACTGAGAATGTTCCCCCATATGCAATTGATATTGGGGTCCGCAAAACGAACACACGTTTCTTTTTTTTCCTGGTTTTTTACTAACTTCTGCATTGAACAGCAACCTAACCAATCGACGCTTTTTTCTCGATACACTCGAAGGAAGGGTATTCAGTACACACACCAGCTTTCGCACGTTCACAAAAAGCCTCATTGTTGGAACCAGCATTTGGTACGGTTGGACTTGTATATACACGCGTTCCTAGATACTATACAGAACCATTTCTGTTTACAACGAACACTATTTTTATACAACATCTTGCGCTGTTAATGAGTTTGCTGACGAGCTTAGCAATACTGTAGGCATTTACTACGTAGCTGTTTCGTTAGTTAATGGACATGTAAAGGTGAGAAAGGACTTTTTGGGCAGTGAACGGTTTTGTTTGTTTGGGGGGGAAAGAGATGAGAGTATAAATTTGGAGATAGGGATATAATATTTTTGCGGAAAGCAAAGGGTTTGTCCTTATGCTAACACCTTTTTATGCAAGGGAATGACTACTGTTGTTCCGTCATTTTTATTGTCTAGGCTATCATATTTAACGACTGCACTTTGTGTGTTCAAAGGGTGAACAGGCACGATGCAATCGCTATTCTCGGCTCGCAATCGACTACTCCATGTTGTCTGCAGATACTCATCCGTGAAGGAGGGGGGAGGAACATCATCGTCGCCCGAAACATACCATCGTACAAATGCAAATACATGCTCTTTTGGTACGCTATCGATGGTCAGCACATGCCGAAAGAAAAAACTGTATTTTACAAGGCCATGCAACTGACGGTGGCTGTGAACCAGTATTACGCCGCCCTGATTCGTACAGAACTTGTACATGCGCCCTCGCCGAGATCGTGCTGCCATGCTCCGGTAAGTTTGACCCATGATGTCGATTGTCTTGATCTTCTGATAATAAATGCTAACGATTTTTAGAGTCGAAAGCTTGGTCGTATACATGATTGTAGAATTTATACAGATATTCATACAATGTGTCGGGCATCATCGTAGCAGCATATATCCATCGAGTTGCATCACCCAAATTACCCTCCTTCCTTCGCAGCTCCCAATCATCAACTTCGAAACCAGAGTAGCTCATATTCAATGTACCGTCGAAGACGTCGAACTGGCGAAGGCACTTATGACAAGCACAAAGGCTTACATGGGATGTGAATCCACTACTTTTCCGAGCAGCAGGAATGTGCATGCATTGTTGAGCAGAGCTACCCAGACAAGGTCGCTTTCTCTTGGATTGCTGTAAGTGCTGATCCTTTTTCCATCATTCCAATTCCAACAATTCATCAACTAGTGGAAGAGGGTAATGATTCATGTCGGATGTGCTTGGCTCACATGGACCTAGCATGATACCAACAAGAATTACGTTCTCTGTTTTAAAGCGCTCTGCCCCCGCCAAGTTGTTGACAGTCAAATATAGAGCACCGCACGAGTACGTAGAATTGATGAACGGACCAAACCAGTCAACGTTAAGCGTCAACAGCAACGAACGATATAAAGAAACGAACGGGGCACCACTTCTATCAAGGATACCACGCCACATATCGCCATCATAGATGTCGAAACTTTTGTTTTCATATCGTGTGCGGGTACGCCATTGTTCAATTTTTGCCTCGAACCCTGGTCGTTTGAAAAGCTTCTGCATACTAGCAGCCAAAGGATGGTATGCAAATTCCTTTACTGGAGATAGGCGAATCCTTAACGTTTTGAACAATTTGGTGCCGCATAATCCTTGGTACCGCATGTCGTCATTGGTGCATTCGGTCGGGCAATCGTCGGATCGTTTGAGGTAGAGACTATGGCACCGGGAACACGACACATAAGACGATACTGTCTGTTAAGACAGAGACAGAGAAGCCATTTATACTATGCAGGGTAGCAAGTGAACGAGGGATATGGGCATCCTGGCCAAGGAGATCTGCCAGCAGGACTGAGAAAAACTCGATGACTATGCCCGAAATATGCTCAGAAAAGAAATGCAACTGGAACAAGACAAGGAAAATGGGGACGAGTGCAACTGGATGTCGATAATGCTGAAGTAGCATCTTTTCTCCTGATGCTGGATTATCGAGGGAAGTGACAACTCTTTTTAATAAAACACTGTTTTAGAATTGCTTCGCAAGTGGATATAATAAAATTGTCCTTTGGAAATCGGCCTCCTGTTATATCGACTTCCTTGTTGCTGTACCCTCACTCGATATCATCCGCATCCAACTCACGAGCATGAGCACAACCACGTTTTACTATCGCTGTCACCATCGTTTTCGAATATGTTACTGTAACCTCAATGTCCTGAGGTATTCTGCGGCTGGCATTGACAGCTACATTCAGAGAGAATACGTTGTTGGTCGATCTACCTACAATATTACTCAACAACTTATCGTACCTTGAGAACGAGGGTAGGGAAGTGAAAGGGACTCCGGAGACGAAGAATGAAGAGCAGAAGGGGGGTTGCCATTATCAATATCCATCGTATCGTTACCATAATCGTCCATGCCCGCGTCAGAATCGCTAGCTGGTGGTGGCAAAACATTGGATTCATCAGTATTATTCATGGTTATGATAACCCATTGCCAACTGATGATCGGGACGTGTTATTGCTCAAGGATTCATAGAGAGCGATCATACTAGCCACTATATTCGAAGTCAAATATCATTATTACCATACTGATGCTTGGAAAAGTAGCTTATAAAATACCATCCTGCTGTGTCTCGCCTCTTAGTACAACGTGATCACGCTCATCGTGGTTTTGCTGTATTCGATTTGTCACCAACTCATAACCCCGTGGGTTTGACCTGCTGCACGTTCGACAGTAGCAAGCAACCATATGTCTATTGCTTGCCATTATGCATCAATAAAAAAGCGAATGTAGATAAAAGATTAACCTCAAAAGAATTCACTTTTATATAAGAAAAAGCTTCCCATGAACGGGGTCGTCTTTAATAATTCAGGGGTTGTTGCTCCTATACTTTCCTTAACTTTTCAAATCTCTATTTAATCGCATTGGTCATTCACAATAATGAAAAAAAAAATAGACGCATTCGATCAGCATCGTAAAACATGTGCTGCTTTGTAATACACTGAGAATGTTTTTATATATAAAAATCCATTGTAGCATCCTTTTTTTTGGATCCAACTGGTTTCGGCATGACATCAAATTATATATACAAGAGCGGCATTTTTTGGCACTTGCTATGTTTGTAAGAGAGCAGTATGAAAAGTACACATGATCTTTTGAAGCAAGGGCTGTAGGGGGATTATGAAGATGCAGAACAGTGGTAGTGTGAGACCCGTTACTTTTTTTATAGGTACATGGAATGGTGCATGTTGGTGTACGTGAAAAAAAAAATCATAAAAGACTTCTCTTTGTAACGAAAGCATACACTCGGAGTGCTTCATCCAATGTAGTATTGAGTAACTAACATGAAGTTCTGTTCTTGCAGCTATTGCATATACTGGGAGCTTTTTGGACCAATATAGTAAGTTTACATATACAAACAGAACATTTTATGCATAACTACCGCATCCACTCTCTGATAACCCCCCAACTTCTTTGGGGGCACACCTTGCCTCTTTATATACAAATATCAAGGTCTTTTAAAAGCCCTTGATATTGGACTTTTCGCGCGGTGCAAACCTTATAACTTGTTCCACCAAGGTGACAAAAGTAATATATAGATCCACCTTTTAAATAGCTGCTTTTGCTCCCCAACCTTAGGACAGCATCTTGATCTTCGCCTTCCTTCAATAATGCCATCATCTTGAAAACAGACACATTATCATAGTATAGTCTTCAATTACATACTTGCGCCCTCATACTTTTAGGATGGATAAAAAATAAACACAACTTAGTCTAAGATAGTCGGTCTCTTACGGCGACGCACCAAAAAAGCGCCCTAGAATGACATGACACCCATGGTATAGTCAATCAGATGGTAATCACGCATAAGTCGCTCGTTCTTCATCGCAGTGGTTGTAAGCCTAGGGAAAACAAAAAACAGTTCAATAGAGAAAGATGCCTACATCTTGTTGTTGTGGTTGTTGGTGTCATCGCTGGTGTTGCTATAGAGATGTGTTATCTGGGTAATATAGAGTCAAACCGATCCATCTGATAACAAAAGAAAAACTGCAAGTGAGTACACTTTTGCTAATAACGGCTATCCATGTTTTTTTTGAGCCAAGGCGGAGTATCTGTTCCAGGGTTGTGCCCGGGTAGGCGGAGTATTTATTCCACGGTGTGCCAGAGTGGTTCCAAGGTTGTTCCACAGTTTGTCCAAGGTTGTTCCAAGGCTGTTTCCAAGGTTTTTTCTAAGCTTGTTGCAAGGTTATAGTATGAACGTGACTAGAGGCCAAGCAGCCTGCATGTTCTTTCAGCAAGAATATAACCTGGAGAACGAAAAGAAGCTTTTGGACAAGATAGACAGCATTGGCGATGTCGACATTTGCTTCATGAAAGATCCTACCGAGCCGTTCCTGCTTTACATCCCCAAAATCCACAGTAATCCGTTCATATACCACTGATATTTGTCAAGCCCTACAAAACCACCGCAACCACTAAAAGAGCAAACTTTCAACGATGAGTAAGCGAGTGTGACCGAAAAAATCAGAAGACTGAGTAAATAATAGAGCCTTTCAATGATACTTTATCTATGGTATTACAACTTACTAATGAACCGTTTGATATAGGCTCAACCCCACAGGTCGTCCACTTCTTGAACGAAGTATTTCTGTCGTACAATCCCTACAACGATGTAGTATATGAGTATCGCAAGTACTCAAATGATATGATCTTAGAAGTGGCCCATCGACACACAGCCATGTTCGATAACAAAAACGCGGTAGGGTTTGGCAAATGGTGTTCGACCCAAGGAATCCATTTCTTCAAGGGGGACTGGCCATAGTTATGATAATTTTAATGCGATCTAGTAACCCTAGATGACTTATTAGTTAAGATATATCAGGATAGCCAAATTAATTTTTATTGAAATAATTCATGCATGAATGTCTTGGCATGCATACATTTAAATTTTTGAAAAAAATAAAAATTGAATTTTTTTTTAATATAAAAATAACACCACAGAATATAAAGCAAAATAGATTTATTATATTTTTTTTAGCACTCCAACAAAACTACCCCAACGAAAACACAACATGGACCAAATGAACCTCCTCACATTTATTGCCATTATGGCTGAATTTATTCCTATTTTAGGAATAACATTGACGCTCTTAATAGAAAGAGCAAAGCATCTTGCTAAACATCATCAAGATGTTAGTGAAAAAACAATTGCTGACCAACTAAGGGTCGAACTCGAAAAGGACCTCAAAAAGGCTAATATAACAAAGGAAGTAAGGGACGAGAACCATACTGCAATAATGGGATGGATTAGGGCTTTTGCAAAATTCCTCAAATCCTCAAATCCTCGATTTTCCGATGCAATGTTAGAGGGTAACACCTCTGGTGCAGATTCCTCACAGGGTGGCAAATAATTCCGATTCCAAAACACTAAAGGGCTGTTCACATATATTTGTAAGGACTTCCATTTAACAAAAGAACAAATCATGGAATGGTTTATAAAACATGAACGTATTGGTTATCGAATTGAAAAGGCAATTGCATGTGATGAAATTGCACCAGAAACTGGTGAGAAACATGTTCATATATGGATACAAATGAATGAGCGGTTCGACACAAAAACAGCACGTAAATTCTTTACTATCAATGGTGTTACTCCAAATATTAAACCAGGTGGTAATCCACAAAAGTCCATTAGCTACTGTATGAAAGGAAAAGATTATATTTGTTATAATATGGATCCGAATTATGAAGTTAAGAAGTTAAGACCAGAAAAATGCACCAACAGTTACTTGGATATCAATTAATTACAAAGCAGCTTAATATGCAGAAGGCTACCGGAATATATCCAGAATTGCTATTTAAATATGATACTGTAAAATCAAATTTAAATTCTTACTTTCATGATGCCGATATGGAAAATAACCCTGGAAATAAATTACATATGTGGTCTATGTTTGGGATTGAAACAATGTTTGGTGGTAAAAATAAGATACCACAATACTAGATTGTAGGTCCATCAAATATAGGTAAGACATATAACATTGATGTATTAGAACAAGGTGGCCATCGAGCATATCTAATGAATAAAGAAAATGATTGGTCAGATTATAAGGATGATGATTATGAATTTATATATAATGAAGAAACAGGTTCTGATTTCAAATTAACATTTTTAAACCAAATGTTAGAAGGAACACGGTTAAAACTTAATGGCAAATTCACAAAGTCAATAACTAAAAAGAAGAATATGCCAATAATACTGAATAGTAACTATATGCCGCACATGTTATACAAAAACAAATCAGTATATGAGTTAGAGCCAACGCTCAATCGTTTATATATTATCTATGTTGATAAGAACCGTAAAGGTCATATAATATGGAATCCATACACAATGAAGGTGAAGGATTATGGAAATAAATTCATGTATTATGAAAACATGGATAAGTATGAGGACTTATACAAAGGTGAATTCGAAAACGAATACCAAGATCAGCATACATTTATCCGTTATGCACATAATAGTGGTCAGGATGATTTTAAAAAATATACACCGATGGATAAAACAGTAGAGGAACTACAAGAATTAGCTGACACAGAAGAATATATGAAGGAACAAGAAGAAAAACATAATAGTAATAATACACAGAACAATAAACAACATAAACCGCCTCAATAAATAGAGGATGGTCAACTATAAAGGTACCATCATCAGTAGATTGTAGGCATTGGGAAGATGTGTTTAATGATATAAAATGTGATGATGTTGTAAATGATACTACTGATTGGGAAAACCTACCAGAAGATATAGAGAAACATAAATACATAGATGTAAGTACATCTGAATCAGAGAAAAGCAGTGACTGCAACATACCAAATAATATACCAAAACGTAAAAAGAAAAAAAGACACATTAAAAATAAACAGAGAAACAAGCAAATAGTAGAAGAAATACAGCCAAAAGAATATTTTAAAAAGCATAAGGATATAAAACAGGCTATAATAGATGATATAGATATAACAAGAGAAACTGACGTCAAAAATAAATCAATAGATACTAATATAAGTACAAGTATAACTAATGAATGCATAAAACATAAATATAATTGGGCAAGTAAACGAAAGGTTGATGCAGTCAGTTTCAATATGAAATTTTTTAATAAGTAAATAAGTAAGAAATTAATTTAGAGCTGAATACCATGTGTGGCCATATATTCATGTAGCATTTCCTGGGAGTTAAACTTATCAACTGTTAACCAACTATTATCCTTTACACTATATCCAACCCACTTAACCTCAAATATGTACTTATTATCAGTATACACATGTCCTACAATCTTCTCAATTTTATATGAATTACTATGTTCTATATTTCTCTGTCCTCTTTGATTTTTTCTCTTGCGTTTAGATGTATTATTTTCAGTTTCGTCCTCACTATCTATAGCCATATCTATTGATTGATTAATGTTAAGCTGTAGAAATTTCTGCTGCATGTCAACCATTTCGTTATATTCAGTATTTACTTTTTGCTCATTTGAAAATACTAAGTCAAGTTTGTTTTTCTTACTTGGGAATTCAAAATCTTTTCCATACTATAATTTATGATGTGGTTGTACCTCTATATTATACTTATTTACAAATCGCCATATATTAGTAAAAATACAAGCAACACAAAACTGAATATTATAATATCTTATATCGGTTATTTGCAATGCTGCACGATTATTATTAAATCGTTCAAATTTAGAGCCTAACATAGAGAACTGTGCTTCTATTGCTGAACGAAATGATCCAAACTTGTTATTAAAGTATGTCTCATTGATTGTTAACTTTTGTCCTGGTTCTTTTCTTATGGGATGTAAAAAATTACGGTCATAAAAACTATATCCAGCATCTGTCGCATTATCTTTAAACTTTTGTATAAATAAGTTATATCCACCATCCATTCCTAAACAATCTGCCTCACTTATTTTTTTATATAGTCTCATATTAATAAACATAGTACCATCATTTCCGATAGCACATTTTTTCAGATACTGAAACATGTGTAATTATTTCATTCATATCCTGTATAACTTGTGTACGTACAGCTGGCCCTTTTAATTTATATGAATATAACTGTGAATGTGACTCATTTGGTTTATAATACTTTATTTTACTATCATGTCCATCAATAAATAGTGTAACATTCTTAAAACCATCTGGATTGTTTATTATTGCTGATAAAATGCGATACGTGGTGATGAGAACATACTATCTAGATCTTGTTTTACCTTTTTATTCAATTCATTATAGTTAGTAATCCAGAACCGCTTATATATATCATAAAATGTTGCATATGGCATAACAGTATGCATATCCTTTCCTGATATACCTGATACCATATGAATGCAAGTCCTTTTTCAATCTCGCAGTATGGCCCTGGATATTCAATATTTCTATATAAAACAGTAAGAAAATAAAATATAGGTATAAATCCAAATCTATTAAGTAATACATCCTTTATATCATTTATTGTATTATTCTTCATATCTTCAATAGCTGTTCTATGATTAAATCTATGTTGCATTTCAGGATAAGATTTATTAAGAAAAGTCCATTTATTATCAGTTAAGTTTTTAATTTCAATATCAAGTTGTTCAGTGTGTTGTGTTGTGTTCATTTTTATTTGTTGTTATATGCTTTAAACAATCGCTCTTTTTTTTTCTCGTGGGAGGCTACCAATATAAATAAAAAAATTCAATTTATTGTAAATCAATAATTAATTCGGCTACTGATAGTTATACCGATCATAGCAATTTTATTATCTATATTACAGTGCTAGTAGGTTATAATTGGTTATACAACTAATAGTAGGACATCAAGGTTGTTTCACGGTTTATCCAAGGTTGTTCCAAGGCTGTTTCCAAGGTTTTTTCTAAGCTTGTTGCAAGGTTACAGTATGAACGTGACTAGAGGCCAAGCAGCCTGCATGTTCTTTCAGTAAGAATATAACCTGGAGAACGAAAAGAAGCTTTTGGACAAGATAGACGGCTTCGGCGATGTCGACATTTGCTTCATGAAAGATCCTACCGAGCCGTTCCTGCTTTACATCCCCAACATCCACAGTAATCCGTTCATATACCACCGATATTTGTCAAGCCCTACAAAACCACCGCAACCACTAGAAGAGCAAACTTTCAACGATGAGCAAGCAAGTGTGACCGAAAAAATCAGAAGACTGAGTAAATAATAGAACCTTTCAATGATACTTTATCTACAGTATTACAACTTACTAATGAACCGTTTGATATAAGCTCAACCCCATAGGTCGTCTACTCCTTGAACGAAGTATTTCTGTCGTACAATCCCTACAACGATGGAGACTGGTTGTTATATTAAAAATTATGAAAAAAGTAATAATTAAAAAAATTTATATCAACTTAAAAATAAAATAAAAATCGTATTTTTTATTTTATAAAAAAGATAAACTTCAGAAGATTTTTAAAAAAATATAAATTTGGAAGTTTTTTGAAAAATGGTTCTCTTCAATAAAGATATTCTTATATATAAGTCATCTTTAATATAATCTTTTGAAAATATTATGTATGAGGTATAAAAAAAATATTTTGAAAATGAAATATTATCTGACCCCAAAAATAAAAAGAAATTATTTGATAAAATTATAAAAGAAAACATGGAAAAAGTTAATAATAATTACTTTTGGTATGAAAATAGTAGTAGTAATATATGCACATATATACATAAAAGAGGAAAAAAACAAGGATATATGTGTCACAAAAAAATAACCGAAAATGGTGATAAAAAGAAATTTGTATGCACAAAACATAATCCTAATCATATCCCAAGAAAAAAAAACAAAAAAAACAAAAATACAATAAAAATAATAGAAAGGAATAAAAATGATATTAATAAAAATTAAAAAAACAAAATAAAAAAACTTTTTATTTGTAATGCAGGTGAAATAAATCTTTGGAAAATAATTACCAAACTCACAACTTAAATAAATCAGTTATCAAAATTAATAAACGGGGCTATTATATTTATAATTGATATTTCAATTATAATATGCCCCGAGTATGTCATTTTTTCTTTTTGTCAGGAAGGTAATACAAATCCTTTGTATTATGCCTTCCTTGTATTATAATAATAAATATAATTAAAAAAAAATAATTCTTGATGTATCATAATATAATATTAAATATAATAAACATCACACCTAAAGGTGTTAAAAGCTTGCGGTAGCGAGCTGATGTTTATTTATTATAATATTATATATTACCAAATGGGTCTTTGACCCTAGAAGAAATAGTAATGGAACCCCATTTCTTCAATAAACAGTAAAATGATACATTTTACTTTTTATTTATATATATTTTAAAGATTAGAATCTTTCTAAATATATATAACCAGAAGGAAAAAAAGAAGAAAGAAATTTTTTTAATTATTCTTGGAGGATAAAATTATTATAATTTTATCAACTATACTGAGTATTTTATTTATCAACCAGACGCCGATGTAGTATATGAGTATCGCGAATACTCAAACGATATGATCTTAGAAGTGGCCTGTCGACACACAGTCATGTTCGATGACAAAAACACGGTAGGGTTTGGCAAATGGTGCTCTACCGAAAAAATCCATCTCATCAAAGTCAACTGAAAGCGTAAAAGATCTAGTGACGCATGCGTTCGACCGCTATATGTTTTAAAAGAAAGCTTTATGGGTAAGCTATGTTTTTTTTAGCAGAAAGTGGATCTAAACTAATATTGTATATCAGAAACAATCGTTGAAAAGATCACCACGGCGTTGCAGCACTACCAAAGTTCGATTAGACTTATGGAGCACGAAAAATATGAAATAGTGGGGTACTGCCGAAAGTCTCCTGGCAATAAAGCAACACGAGACCGGCTGCGGCTGATGCAGCACATGGTTGGTCGTCTTCAAGAGCGGTCATTAGTTGATAAGGTCTTTGTTTCTCTTTCTTGCAAGTCGAATCAACCTATAAGCGAGCGTAGGGGTCGCAATTGGAAGGGTCGGGTCGGGTCAAGGGTCTGACCTGTTGACCTATGGGTCAAGAAAGCACTGACCCAACCCGACCCGTTCAACCCGACGGGTCAAAACTTGGGTTGACGGGTCACTACTGATTTTGATTTGGTGACAAAGGAGGTGTCAATCAACCTGAGCTTGAGCACTGGAAGTGCAAAACTACATGAATACACAGCTCTCTAAGATGATGGCACGCAAATTCCTAGCAGTGCTAGCAATATCTACGTTTTGTGTGATTATTCTTAAAGGTAAAGGGGTTTGTGCCATAACAAAAGAAATCGTTTGCGCTCACATGCATTAAAGAAAGCATAATGGTTAAAGTGTGGTTAAAAATCGACTTCCTTTAAATGCCCCTAATCCTTTTCCCTTTTCCCTTTTCTTTTCATTTCTTCCTTCTTCGTTCATTTTTCTTTTCTTAATTCCTTCTACGTCTCTTGTCAAATCTCGTCTCTCACTGCCACTCTCTATTGTCTATTCTCATTGTACTATTGCTACTTCTTTACTTTGCTACTTCTTTACTACTATTACATATATTGCTTATAGCTTACTTATCTTACACTTTTGAATATAAAATATGATCCCACAATGAAAAAGAATATAAGTACGTTTTATGTTACAGTTCTATAGCAGACATATTGACAACTACATCTTTTAATATATTGATGCTTCCCAACAAGAAGATTGACTACTTGAATACGAGTACCTCATAGATATCATATGTATACACGGGTCACAACGGGTCAACGGGTCGGGTCAAGGGTTAGACGGGTTGACCCGCGGGTCAGAAAAGCATCAACCCGACCCGTTGACCCGTCCTCAACCCGCGGGTCGGTTTTGACCTGCGGGTCAGATTGCGACCCCTAAACGAGCGTGACAGTAACATAGAAAATGACGACATGGAAACCTTGAACAAAAACACAGTTGGATCGATGTAACGATGTAAGGTAAACTGAACTGGTCGACATACATATACTACAGTACTATCAGCATCGAATCCAAAGCTGTAGTGTCAGCAACGATATTTACCACGAGAGAGGCTTTCTACTAGCGTGGTACCGGGTAGCATATTGCCAAGCATGGTAGTATAACATTCAAGAGATCCCAGTGAAACATAATTATCGACGTTTTATTGATCAAGTATTCATGTGCGTAAGTTTATTCATTGATGGGGGATATGGGTTTGGGACAAGGACTACAGAAAAAACTGGTACATGCTTTTTCTCTCGACAACCGATCTGACTTGACATGTTCACAATAGAGCTTGTTGATATGATCTTTGTCCTATACTTTGTTGTGTAGCAGTCATGGTGAATATCTGACATGATGGATCTTGGACTACCACTTCTTTGTGATAGAGACTTTATACATCAAATGAATTTTTTCATCTCGTCGTTGCTACTTCAAGAGTATAAAGGAAGAGCAAAAGGTATGATTGGATTCTATTCGTGTTATTTTTTTGGGTGATATATAATGATATGACAACAGGGAAATATAAGTAGCAATACTAAAAATTATTAAAGAGCGGACATGTACAATATATCCATTCCTTAATCCATCGTGATGATCGTTTTCTTTTTTAACTACATACTACTTTCGAACAGTGGTTTGAAGTTCGTGACGTTGGATAAAGAAGGTACAAATCAAAGCTAGCGTTGCCATCACCACGGTTGATAGGAATGCATAGCGAATTGCAACTTCGTAAATATCAAGAACAGCTTCCAAAACATCGTCTGGCAGCAGTTCTCGGATTTCGGTCATTGACTGTCGAGCAATGTCGATATACTATCATAAGAGCAATTCGTTAGTTCGACTCTTTTCGTTTACCAATGACTATATTAATTCCTTGAAACCCGATCGAATCCATACTCTTTTCTTTTCCTTCCAAATTCTATTTTTGTTTCTCTGCTACTCTCTTCTATCTATCCCTTGACTTCATCCATTAGCCCCTTTTCCTTGGTATATGTGACATTTACTCCTTCTACGTTGTCATAAGCCCTGTCCCTTTTCTTCATAGCACTCTCCTTCCCCCTCTCCTGCTTTTCCCTCTCATGCATTCCTCTTCGCCCGTATTATTCTCAAAAACGATGTCATAAATGTCCACGCGTGATGGTGGTGGTGATAAGCAGTGATTTCATAAAGATTACTATACCTTTTGTGCATCAGGACCAGTGATCTGTTCGGACAAGCTAGTCTTGACCACAGCTTGGAAGATGGCCGTAGTAGCAGAAATACCAATAACGCCTCCAGCAGAACGGAAAAGATATGACATACTCGTGATAGTGGCCATCTCTGTATTGTTTAAATTCAAAGCCATCGAAAATACAAAATGTCAGCGGATCGTATACATCACAAGAACATAATCACATAGCAAAAGAGAGAGAGATAGTTTTACCTGCCGCTCCCACACATGACAACATTGCGATCAAAGTGGTCGTAATAATAACACCCATACTGAAACCGTCCATCAGCAAGCATGGCATAATAATGTACATGGGTGTTTCTCTTGTCCACGTCGAATAACCCATCATGGCAAGCAAGAGTATGAACGTAAATGAAACGGTAATATTCTTGTACTCGCCCGTACGCGACATGTATATACCAGACAAGACAGATCCAATCGAGACACTTGCAATCTTTGGTAAAAAGTAGATGCCGGATGCTGTGGGAGTTTCACCCAATAAGCCCTATACAAGAACAAACACATTCTGAGTATGAGATTACATCCCGAAAAGGTCAAGGCATCGATATGGCTTCTTACCTGAAAATACAAGGGAGTGATATATATGGTAGCAGTGGTGCACATGAGCACCCAAAAGTTAGTCAAGGAACAGGCAAGGGGAGTTTGGGAGGTAACAATGTGCCATGGCATCAACGGGTTACGAGCCACATTGGCCTCGATCACACAAAAGACGACAGCCAATACAACCGATGCACAAAGACATCCGATCACCAAAGGATCCGTCCAAGAACGCAGGTTACCACCCATCGATGTGGCCAATAAGAATGCAACGACAGCAGAAACGATTGAAATGGCGCCCAAGTAATCAATCTGTTTGAGACGTTCAAATGTCGTGGAGTTGTCCTTGCGTTCGTTCAAGTTGTAGTTGGTCAAGATACAGGATGCAGTATAGATAGTGATTAAGAGAATCGGCAGGTTGATGTAGAAACAGTATCTCCAGCCAACACTATCCGTAATGAAACCACCTAACGGTCCTCCAATAACAGATCCCAACTAATATAAAGTAGCATGTTACTCACGGATGAAATTGGATAAGTGTATCAGCACACAGCATTCAACACCCTAATATCATTCCCTTCCTTATTATACTTACACCATATGCCATGTTACCATAACCTTGATAAGTACCACGTTGACGCAATGGGACCAAGTCGCTTACGATGACAGTGGTAAGGGTATTAATTCCACCGCCACCCAAACCAGCAACAGCACGGGCGGCGACCAAGGACCACATATTCGGTGCAGCACCACATAGTAAGGATCCAATAAAGAATACAATCGTAGCAAACAACAAGGCTGACTTTCGTCCGAACACATCGGAGATTCTTTACATGTTCACAAAAAAAAGAAAGGCGAGTAATTTTTAGTTGGGGCCTCTTTGAGAATACTTATCTTCTTTTTCTAATCCGAGCATCGGTAAACTTTACCTTCCATCTGAAAAGAAAATTAGGGTTTTAAAAGTCAGTGCGCTGCACAAAATTGATAGGCTCTGTGGAACATAAACACAAACACAAGCACACAGGAACATGAAGAAAGAGACTTACAAAGAGGTTGCAATGCAGTAAAACTGAGCATATACGACGTGGCTACCCAAATAATCTCGTTCGATCTATCATTGATTTTGGCTGGATTAATAATCATATCGCTATACTCCACAGACCAATATCCTCATAACCAAATGCACATCATTTAAAAAACGCCACTAGTACTATTTGCCGCTGCTTATATGCAGCCCTTCTTTTTGACCCTATTTTACCTTTTAAACTCAGTACCAATTTGAGCATAAACGGTTGCAACGATGGATGCGTCCAATGAAGCCAAAGATACGGCGACGTAAAGTCTAATGAGTCCCATACATTATTTCCGAATGACCAGGCGAGGAAAGTACATGGAAAAGATTAGTAGGAGCCCGATAGTACCATGATAATAGCAAGAAGTCATGTGTAATGCAATAATTACGAAGCAAGCACCGTGACGATGGATGCACCGTTTAATCTTTTTGCCACAATATCGTCCTCCGGGGAAGCGGACGTATCCTCGTTGCTGCTGCCGCTGCTGCTGCTGCTGCTACTACTGCGACGGCTGTGTTTGCTACCAGCAACCGACGGTGGGTTGGATGTTAAAATGGTAATGCGGTCGTCATTGTCGTCAGTTGATGAGCCAGTGGCAGTTGAAGAGGATTTATAATTATGAGGTGAAAGATTGCTGTTGTTGTGCAAGAGAGGAGTGGTTTCCTCGTTGTTCTTATTTTGATCCATGAGTAAGCACTACTACTACTACTGCTGCTGCTACCGATAACCAAAATAAACGAACGACAGCCGGCAAGCCCAAAAATAATATGAGAACGAAGAAAGAGGAAGAAAAGACTAGTGCTACTAGTGCCTTAAAATACATAATCTGACAATATAGAAATGTGCAGTCACTTTCTCGATGCATGTACATGTAAATTTTGAAGCTTATCTTTTCTTTCTCCCACCCTCGCACCTGAAAACCTTAGATACGGTTAAATATATGCTCCGGAGTGAAATTTGTTGCCATAAACAACAATTTTAGTGTTGCGTAGTAGCAAAGTAGGCATATCGTATCAACAGATGATACTATAGGTATGCAGGTAGGTACTAAGGCACAGCATGCGGATGGATGATGTTTTTGTCACTGCATGTGCGGATTTGATTTCGCATTTGCTTCCAGCAACCCGAAATGTTACACAGAATTTTTATCTTCGCTTTAAGGTACCGAAACTCGGTGGACAAATAAGTGCCTGAATAGGAAATTCGATTTGTTGAATGTTTTTCTCTTTCGTAACAACTGAGCGAATATTTTGACACTTCCCCGATTCAACATATTAATTTAATTTGATTTGATAGTGGATCAGAAATAAAAATACACATTTGTACTTCATTTTACTTTGTTTGCATATTGACGGATCTAAGAGCGTCATGACCCAAGGATCCGCAAGTACCAAATAAAACTGCCAAAACATATCACATCGATCCTGGAAAGCTGCTGCTGTCTTTTTTCATATTGCATTTGAGCTGGGTTACACAATGCACTAAAGAGAGCGACCTTGCGTGCTCCATTTTTTCCTTTTCGTGCCCTAAATTCATTCGGCTCTTTTCACATCAACACCATCATCAACACGACCAACACACACTACCCCCTTTTTTCTTGTCCTCTTTCTTCTTCTCCCCACTTTTTAGCTATTTCTCTGGAAAATTCTTTTTTTTTCTTTTTTTTTAAACCTTTCTTTCATGGAAATACTACGACGACGCCAACGATAGAGAAGAGAAAAAAAAACAGACAATATAAAGAGCGAACATGGATACGTTGAGCGAGTTGGACAAGTATCTCTCAGAGGACAGTAAAATGTCCCTCAAGGGTATGGCGACCACTTTGGCCATCAATTTCGGTATTGCATTTGGCATATTCATGCTCTTTAGTATTTTACGTCCCAATCATTCTCGTAAAGTATCTATTTCTTCTTTATCTACTATTGACAAACATGAAAGCAATTAGACCGTGGAGCTAAACGTTTAAATTAATTATTTAGTTGTTTACGCGCCACGATACAAATATGCCAAAAAAACGTAAATGAGGAACCTTTCATAACAGACAAGAGGCTAAAAACGATAAAAGCTAATTATGGAATTGTGTTTATTTAGTGCGCAGCCACCTGCTATACCGAATGGAATCTTTTCTTGGTTCAGACCTGTGATGCATACCGACGAAACCACCCTAATCACAATGATCGGATACGATGCTGTCATGTTTATCCGGTTTATGCGCATGTTGCGAAAAATGCTGTACAAGATGACTGCTCTCGGCTTATGTATCATGGTCATAAACATTGTTGCCACTTCGTATACGGGGTAAGTCTTCTGTCATTCTGGGGAGAAGGAAGGACACCATCAACACCACTCCCATTGTTTTCATTTTTTTTGCACAATGGTTTTCGGTAGTAAACATTAAGATTAAAGAGCGATGATCTTGTTCCTTTACCTACCTCTCCTCTCCCCGCATAATAACTGTTCTCCTTTTCGTAAATTCTTATTGTTACTATTTATTGACGGCGTGGCACGAAATAACATTGTTTAGAGAATGGCCTCCTTCAACCGGCGTTGATTTCTTATCCATTTCAACCATCAACTATTACGACGGCAAATTCCATTCGGACGGCAACCTGGGCTGGTACTGGGCCCATTCTGTCGGCTCGTGGCTCGTTTCATTTTTCATCTGTCAAGGTCTGTTGTACAACTACCGTGAATACGTAAAACTCAGACGCGACTACTTTGACAGCGACGAGTATGAACGGTCTGTGCATAGCAGAACCCTGCTTGTATATGACGTGCCCACTGCATTGCAGTCCGATGAGGCATTGAGTGTTTGGGTTAAACGTAGTATCGCTCAGCTCAAATTCCCACCACAAGAAGTTCGGATTGGTCGAAGAAACGATCAGTTGGCCAAGTTTGTTGACGAGCATGAATCGGCTGTTCGTAACCTGGAAAATACATTGTCGAAACATCTCAAAGGTATTTTATCAAGTCAACAGCTGCTGCTATTTTTCTTTTTCCCCCCTTTTTCGAAAGGTGCAGCATATGCAGGGGAAGTGGGCTTTGTATAGACTAAAAAAACCATCATTGTCTCATTAGAGCACAACGACGACGAAAAGTACGATTCAGAAAAACGCCCTATGATCCGCATCAACGGCCGTTTCTTTGGTTGTTGTGGCGGTCGTAAAGTAGATGCCATTGCATACTACACCGAACGCATCCAAACACTGAGTAAAGAGATTAATATACTTCGAAGCAACATGTCGTCGAACAAACCGACCAGCTACGGATGGATATCTTTCGAACAACCTTTCCATGCCCATATGGCGGCTCAAGCAATGACTGCATTCACACTAAAATCCATCATAACTTCTGGTGCTTCAGTAGTAACCCCACACCATAATCCACGTATCCTGCTTGCGCCACAGCCTAGAGACATTCTCTGGAACAATCTATCCAAGAACCCTCACCTACGTCGTAGCAAACGCCTAGTCGGCGGCGTCATCTTTTACGGCTTTGTATTCTTGTTCTTCATCCCGTCCAGCTTATTGTCGGCATCGACCAACGTTAAAGATATTGCTCGGATCTTCCCCGACGGCAACCAATATGTCAAGGAACATTCTACGTTTGTCTCGTTACTCGCAGCATGGTTTTCTCCCATCATCATGGCCTTGTTCTTTTTCATTCTCCCCAAGATTTTGCGGTTGTTGTCTCAGCAACAAGGTTACTTGACGCAAACGAGCGTGGATCGTCAAGTGCTTTCGAAATTGTATATATTTTTCATTGTCAACCATCTCCTTGTATTTACTATTGCTTCCACGTTGTTGGCCATGTATGCTCAGATCCATAGTGCGGTCCAGGGTACCAAGCAGCTCACTCCTGCGATGTTTTTTACCACAATGGCCAAAAATCTGACCCAAGTGGCTAAGAATATAAGTGGTAAAGTAATATTATGGATTGCGATAGAAGAAGCGTGCTATAGTAAAGATAAACTTGCTTAAAAATGATAACTTTTCTTTTCATTGTAGATGTCTCTACTTATTGGGTTAATTATGTTTCCCTGAAAGGCCTTGGTGTGATCATGGATCTTGCACAAGTATTTGCGTTAATTACAATTACGTTGAGGTTCGTTTTTATAAGGAAAAACTTGTAAAGAAGTATAGAGCTTCAACCATAGTTGGTGCTAACGTAATTTACTCTGCCACAAAATAGAAAACTGTTTATGAATCCTAGTCCTCGTCAGCTCCAGGTAAACGATAGATATGGCACCTATAAGTCATGATAGAAGGGCAAAATATTTATTTTTTCTGTTTTTCCAACCACTGTATATATAGGAATTTACTCGCCCATCGCCATTTGATTATGCACTATTTTACAACATTCTAATCTTCTTTTTCACGATCGGTTTGGTATACTCGGTGATCGCCCCGCTTGTGTTACCATTTACCTTGGCTTATTTTTTACTTGCAACGATGGTGTTCAAATACTTGTTAATGTAAGCTTAAAAAGATTTTGTCAGGAGAATTAGAAGGTGGGGTTAGTCGTATCATATGAATATGCTGTGTCAGACTATACTACCGTAGTGAGTAGTAGTAATGTTGGTTGTAAGTAATAAATCAAAAATTTATTAGGTATGTATTCACTACTGATGTCGATACAGGAGGACAGATATGGCGCGTGCTGGTCAACAGAATACTTGTATCTTCGATCCTGTTTCAAGTGGTTATGATCCTTGTACTGAACTTTAAAGGTGCGACCGGCCCTGCCTATGCCATGATCCCGCTACCAGTTTTCACTGTTTTGTTCAAATTTTATTGTCGACGTACATTCGATCCACATGTGTATTATATCCAACGGCATGGCGACGACGACGACAACAGCAACACAACTGAACGACAAGAGAAAAAGAGAATTTCTGAGCGGCGACGATCACGACAAAAAACAAGTAATAGTAATAATAGTCATTTCAACTTGAAACATAACATTCAACTACGATTTGGTGAGCCATCGTTTTTGAGCGAGCTACCCATTCCTATGGTTCATGAGCGCGTTCGTCACTTGTTGCCTAAATTGTACGGCGCAGCACAACAGCAGCATGGGAGTACCACCAGCAGCAGCAGCTGTGGATCCAATCATCAACAAGAACAACAGGAAGTGGTTCATACGAGTGCAGTAATGACACGACGTAAAACGGTACGACGTATGGCTACGATCCGACTCAAGCAACATCAAGAGCTGCAGTTTCAAAGCGTCACTGACCAGGAGTTGGAAAAGGATGAATCGACCGAAGGCGTGAAAGGACTTTACAAGTTTGATCAAGACGACGACGACGAAGTTGACGACAACGATGATGCTGATGTTATTAACAACACTGACGACAATAGTAACCAGCAGAAGCAGCAACAACAGCGAGCCATTGTAACAGCTAATAGTACTAAACAAGACGACCATGTGCTACGTGAAACAGCGATTGCAATGCCCGTGTCTGTGGCTACTACGACAACGACACCCCGTAGTAATAGTAGTAGTAACAGCAATAACAAACGTTTCATCAGCAAGAAGAACGTCATTCCGGACAAATACGCTCCCACGCGTCCTCTCATGCAGCAGCAGCAAGAGGAGGAAGAAGATTATGATTTCGAAGATACTAGTAGTACGATGTATGCCACTGCTTTGGGAAGTTCCGGTATAGCACCACCACCATCTCATCATAATCATCAGTATCATCACTATCGAGATGATGGTGATACGTTTGAATTGGAAGAACGGTTTGTGGCAGGCGGCAGATCTCATCGGTAATAACAAATAGGATCGGATTTAATTCCGAGCTCCCTCTCGCTCTCTCTCTCTCTTTCTCTACTCCTTTATTGATGTTACATTTGTGGCGGGAATTGCAGCGCCATTATTATACAACATATATACCCCGAAAGGACAGGCGTGCATCATATTGAGACACGTCGATAGACGTTCTCTCTCTCCCTCTTTTTTTTTGTTATTATATGCGTCCCAGCTAACTATTACTATTAGTACTACATCCTATCTTGTTGTAACTCATACATAATTCTCAAATAATAATGACGATAGCTTCTTCTATCGAGAGCGCTGTACGAAAAAGGTACTACTATACTTGTTAAAAAGAAGATTCGATTATAGGCCTTTTGTTGTTGTTTTCTTGGGGGAGAGAGAAAGGAAAGAAAAAACAAAAAAGCATTTTAACATAAACAAGTTAGCTAATACTGGAAACATATCTATTACTTAGCAACACCTTTTATTGTCACGTGTAATCTCTGTTGCTATGCAACACTTTCTGGGGGGGGCGAAGATGGCTGGGAGGAGACAGATTTTCCAAAGAGAAGCAAATGAAGATGGCGCACCATCTTTAATAGAATGGAAGAAAGATCGACCCTTTTTTACTTTTTTTTTGCGCCAGATGATATGATTGGCGAGTGCACTAAAAGAAGAAAAGTCATAGGTTCGATCGTCAGGAAAAAAAACCTATTTCAACACTAAAAGAAAAATGGAATGTTTGATTCGAAGAATAATAGAAAAAAAAAACGTGGCATAAACAACAACAACTTATATATCCCAAGTTTAGCACTCTTGTGTTCATGTACACATTCGACATGGAAACCCCACCCCTTTTCTCTATAGCTTTGCCTTTTCTCGTTATTGCTCTAATCTCTATCTGATAGTCGGTTATAGATAGCAGTAGTAACAAAACCACGCGGTTTGCTCAGAGTAGATATAAAAGAAGAAGGATTTCGCACGCTGTCGACAAAAAAAACCCTCCCGGTGGTGATACTCCCGTATATATCCCTTCCCCTCCTCCCCTTTACCTCTTCTCTTACTTGGCTGATTTTTTAAAACCGTATATACTTTCACGAACCTTTTATTCGTTGTGTGTGCATTCGATTGCGATCGGCTCATCCGCAAAAGAAGGTGGGGGAACGCGACGACGTACAGCATACGGAAGAAGAACGACAGTGACCATAACAGAGCGACTGCGAACGACCGAACGACGAGTGATAGCAGCAGTGTGTTTCCTCCTCATAAATAGCGACTGTTTTTCTGGCTTGCCACACTCTTGTCGATTCGCTTATAATTCAGAAGAGCTGGTAAGGATAGCTATCTATAAGTTACCAAAAAATGGCAGTTTCCATAGCAACTAAAAAACGAATTATTTATTTATTACATTTCATTAGGCATTGCCTTGGTTGTCTGGCAACAACAACACTGTGTCGTGATCGTCAGATCGTACCTATACAATGAAATCAAGGCACACTACTAGTGAGTATCCTTTCATCAAGTGGGAGAGAGATATATGCTCATCATGCACGATACGATGTGTGGACTGTAATAGGAAGCATCATGGCGGACTTGAACGCGAAAACGCGTGCTATTAGTGGTGATGCCAGTGTGTGCATCTCTGACACGTCGCCCGTCTTCAAAATCGTAGTTTCTCTTCTTCTTTTCCTCCGTTGTACCTGATGTTTGGAGCGTGTTTGTATAAGGTTTGTATGTGAATCATTGCAATATTATATAACTGGGCGTATTTGTTATTTATTTTTTTTCGTTTTCTCGAAAGGTACCTGAAATGTCTCATCGTAGTAATCTTGGTTCTTTTGTTTCTTTAAAAGCTCGTCTCATCTGTTCGTCCGTTCCCATTTGATCTCCACACGCACGCAACATTCCTTCCCTTATTTTTCTCTTATTAACTCGGAAACCAGATATCAAATGAAGGTAAGTAAACGGGAGCTTGTGTAGTAGTGCAGGACGAACAGTCATTTGAAAGAAGTCCCAGTTCTTACCTTTTTTATTTCTTGTAGTCTACACGCAAAAGAAATCGCCAGCGCTAGTCGTTGGACGAAAGGGCTCTTTACTATTTTGTCTAGAGCTGTTTGAGCGATGAGGTAGGCAGCTGCGACTGTTTCTTAAAGCCTATTAAAAGAAGAAAAGAAAGGCAAGTGTCCTTTTGTCATATTTGCCTCTGTACTTGTATATTGTTCTGTACTTTTATTTTACCTACCTATTTTGTTCCTGTACTTTTCTTACTTCTTTTCTACTCTTATTTCTGTTGCATCTTCTCTCTTCTACTTTTCTTTCTTGGTCACGAACCTTTTGCCCCACAACCACCCACCCCCCTCTCCCCCCACAATGATATATTCTCATAAACCACCACCCGAGAAAAACTGGCGGGTTTAAAAAGCCCCTCTACTGACATTTCTTCTGTAACCCTGCAAGAAAGAAGAGGCAGATTCCAATTACTGTTGCTAGATAAGAAAGAAGCGGCTTTCGACTTTTTTCTTTCTTTGACTAGTAAATGGTCTCTTTCTCTCTCTCTCTCTCTCTCTTCTTGATACCCCTTTCCATTCCTTTGAAACAAAATCCTGAGCTGAATTAAGCGCACCATGCTGTAAACAACCCCTTCTTATTTTTTTTTGGATGTATGCCTTCAATGTTTGTACCGATATATTATATGTATGCCCCTCCTCATTTGACAGTTTTTCCTTTTTCTTTCTGAAATAAAATATTTATCTTCCCCCAAAAATTTGATTCGTAGTTTTTATATATAGTGGAGAGCGTTCGTGGGTTATTCGAAGAAAAGTGCTCTTGCGCTGCTTGCTACTATGTACCGACAAGTGAGATGATATAGGGCAATAGCAACTACAGCGGTTGATGGGGTTTGCCCAAGGACATACTCCAAGTCATCCTAATAGCACACTCTTTTGTAGTAGTTTTTTTCTTGAACAAAACATCGCTTCTAGCGTCATTGATGATAGAGCACCATAGCCTCCTATCCGCTCTATTGTCCAAGTCGCTGGTACTTGAATAAATTACTGTTCTCTCTTTTTTTGGCAGATGAGTGCAGGCACTTCTTCATGTGGGTTACTTGTCCATCCTACACGAGGTACTTCTCGCTAATCGTACCAAATTAAGATTTTGCAAGATGACATGAAGAGCTGTGCTATTGTTGGCCATATGTAATGAGTATAACTAAGCTCAAGTATATGTAGTATGGCAAGGTATCTTAATGATACTTTTGTTAGATACTTCCACTCGTGAAAATGTAAAACAGAAAAAGTTCCGCGAAATTCTTTCAAAAGAGATCTGCCATTATTGTTGGTGAAGCAGTTCTTCATTGCTCTATGTACACATTTGCGTGACCAAACCATACGTACGATACTGAAGGCATATGCGGAATAAGTATATGTGTGTCTAGCTTCTGTGGGGAGTGATGAACTCAGCCTCATAGTGGCATTATCATCTGGTCTAAATGGTTCTTAATGGCCCACGGTCACCTACAAAAAGATCTAAATGGTTCTTAACAGCAGGCTTACATTACAATATAACCGGATAAGCTTGCCGGGGCATTGCCTCTCTAGCTTACAATATCTCTAGCGCCCTGTAAACTAGCATACATGTAGTAAGAATATATGTATATTTGATCCAGATAAAAATCGAAACACTTTCAAAGATGGTGAAGAAGCTTTGTTTATCGTGTTAAAATTTATAGACATCTACTCTTGAGTTCTCTTTTCTTCAGGAACAGTAGTGTGATATTCTTGGAGCGACTTTTCATAGAAGCCCTTTTCAAGAAGCATATGGGCGCCAACCATGGCAAGGGACTTGCTAGCAATCATGGCACCCTCATGTGCTTTAGGGGTACCAGCAGCTTCGACAAACCCGTGAGTGTGCGGGTATTCATTCGTGTACACATCAAAGAGAGGATGAATTCCTGGCATCAAGACGGAAACGTTGCCGAAATCTTGAATTTCCACACGAAGATAGAAAGAAATGCTCATCATCAGAAGGCTTACTCATTAAGTCCAAAATCATACAAAACCAACCTGTAGATCCACCAATTTGTGCCGCCTCCTGAGCTTGACGAGGAGGTATGGGTGCGCCACCGAGATTTTGGAAGTACTTGGTATATAATTCTGCCATAACTGAGTTTTGTATAATATCTAAATTGTGGAAGGATGTAAAGTAGGTTATTATGAATGTTGTTGGATAGATCAAAGTGTTAATTATAATAATAGTAGGATATATATGCTTAAAGCTAACGAAGCATTATCGTTGTACAGTACACATTAAAGTATCCATTTGTGACTTACTCTTGCACATGCCAGCATCGCGCCATTTCATATTCACTTCACAACCAGTTGCCAAAGCTGCTGCCTTGAAACAGTTTTCGACCTTTACCATCAGCTCTTCAACACGGTCTGTATTCGCTGCACGGACATAGAAATATCCTGCCGTTCGATCAGGGATGATATTTGGCTATTTATATATGTTTAACGTTAGAAACGGATGATGAGGTATGCGCATTTCTTGCTACTAACTTACCGCTTTACCGCCTATAATATTCCATAGAAATAGGAGAGACAAATGAACCAATGGTTGTTAGGCTGTATAATTATAGAAGCGTGAGGCTGACACTTACCATCAGTAATAATTCCATGAATTCTGTCAGTTCCAAGCAGCTGCTGGCGAAGCAAACCAATGCTAACCCAAGCCTGGCAAATGGCGTCCAGCGCGTTTACACCTATCATGTACCAACCATCGATTGAATACCAATGTCAGATTTTGCTCACACTGTGGTAAACAAAAAAATTATTATGGCTCATACCATTCCAGGGCGCACCGCCAGCATGACTTGGCTGATAGCCGATTCCAGAAGAAACAGCATCCCTTATGATTAGCAAAAAATACCTCCGGCTTAACGTATCTTTACGCGTCTCCTTCTCAAAACATACCTTTCCTCGAAACTCGACTTTAACGTCTTGAATAGCAGTTGCAGCCCAGTATGTCATATTGCTAGGTCCAGGATGGAGCATACTGCAAACATCAACATGGTCTTGGAACGCTCTCTTTTTTGCCATCAAAATCTTACCATCCAATGGCTCTACACATAAAGTAAATAAACGAAAAATCAATGTTATTGTTTGAAGTACTGTGCACGATGCGTCAAGTGAAAACGGTCATCGTAGTTTATGATAAGCAGTTTCTTTGCAGATTTAAAGCATTTTACCTTCACTAGGAGTGCCAAAAAGTACGACCGTTCCGGACGCAATTCCCTTTTCCAACAGGGCCTTCATAGCCATCGCGTTCGCTACGCCGGTAATGGCAATAAGATTGTGTCCACAGGCATGACCTAGTCCAGGAAGCGCATCATACTCCGAGCAGAAGCCAACGCGTAAACCAGATCCTTTAGTATACGTAGCCATAAACGATGTTTCCAAAGCAAACGCGTGGCGCGTTACAGTGAAACCGTTCTTCTCAAGATAGTCCGTGAGAAGTTCATGAGCATGATGCTCTTTCATGCCAACTTCAGGGTTCTTGTGCAACTAAAAAACAAAAATCAAATGTAATACAGCAAGATCGATCAGTACGTATACAGTAATGGTGTGCGAGAAAGAAGAAATAAAAACTGTAACTTACATCAATACTGAGTTCCCGTAGTTCAGCAGTAATGCGATCAATTTCAGCATAGACCACCCTTTGAGCTTCGGTGAGGGTCTTTAGGAATATGGTATGATCTTATTAGTAGTTGCTGACATCATACTCTTCCGTCCGTTTTTCTAAATTCTTACATTGTTTGTATCAGAAGTCATTGTGTCTGCAATCCACAAAATGGAAGATAGACATGAAACAAATCAGCCTTTTATTTATACATTTCGCACGACAGTAACGGTGCTCTTGTCCCAAAAAATGCTCAGCAAAAAAACCTACTCGGTGGAGATAAGAATGGATGTACGTAAATCAAATACATCTTTTTTCTTCTTGGCCTGAAAAAGGATGGGGGACTCCATGAAAAATAGAAAACTCGCACGGCATATATTTTCCTAACGTGGGATCAGAAAATAAAAGAACAGTTCAAAGAGATTTGCTACTGTACTGGCGAAACAGGTGTGCGACAGGCAACTTTACTTTTTTGAACTTGAATGGACGAGAAGAGATCAGTAGTAAAGAAGTGTACGAGCGTTTCCGGACGATTCTCCGGACATATCTACAAGCAATAGATAAGCAACAGCGAGCATGTAAACACTTTCAATACTTATCAAAAATGATAAAAGAAAAAACGGACAAATCTTATCGCCGATTTCGTTTAGTAATCAGTAGCACCAAGGCTAATCTTTTACCAAACTTTAATATAAAAACATCGCCATCAAATGGAAAATAGATGCAACAGAAGCATTTGTACTTTCGACGTGGTGACGCTACGACTCTCGCTGATATACGACGCTTGTCCTACAGGAAAAACGCATTTTTATATGCATACATGGTTGCATTTAAAAATGTAATAATGGGCATACTGTACACCTTTACCTTTGGAGTATTTAATGCTTCTTGTTTTTTCGCAAGAATGATTTGCACGGTAGCACAAACTGTTGCCCAAAGGGATTTAGTTAGTGCACATTATATAATACTACATATCTTTAAAGCGAAAAAGGCAGAGTATAGCTTTGTATGTGGCTTTCCACCAAATGGTGAACGATACGGAAAGGTGTCAGAAACCAGCCATATCAACTCTGGATATTATTTACTGATTTTAATATGCCTACATTTAGGCGTTGATACAAGCAGGCAAGAACCAGACACAGTCATCTTTGTCTAGCTGTCATGTTACGAACATCAAGTGGTGTATTGCCATGAATAATATTTAAACGAGGGTGGTTTTAATTTTATGGACACAATAATGTTGGGGTACGCTATAGTTGAAGTCAGCATCTAGAAAATAAAACAAGACAAACCTAATTCTTTTTTTTTCATACTTGTGCCCGTTACTCCTATTGGATTGAAGCGGGAAGAATCCTTCATCCGCGGGGGATGACGTTGTTAGATAGTCAGAGACGATGATCTGTAGCAAGGAAGTGTGGTGTCAAGAATGAATTGCAAGCCATGCATGAAGTTATAATATCTACCATTTCTTTGACTCGATCCTTATAGCTGTCTGAACCGTTGCTTAGCTCCAAAGACGACTACTTGAATATCCAGAATGTCCTTGAAGCCGTACATGACAAAATTTGATGTGCAGGCTTAGCAGCTTTGACTTTACAGTATCATATGGTGGTCTTTTAATCCTACAAAACTACAAAAGGCGAGACGTGTTTCTCTGTATGCTTAATTAATTAAGATGTATTTTAAAATAAAAAGGGAGTAATTTACAGCGAAGAATAATGCATTGTTGGTGATTGTTATCATCTACTATTCCATTGTGCCCAGTCAGCATGATCTGACGGATGTTGTGAGTCTCGGTGACTCGGATGTTGACCACTGATAGACATGTTTGAGAAACTTAACGACAATTGCCTATGGTCTTACGGTCAATATGACTCTTTCATCATATAGTAGTAGCTCCCGCTAATCTTTACTAAATGGACAACTTACTCTGCGAGTTGGTCCGCTTGTGCATTTCGATGGTAGCAATATTTGAGACAGCTTTCTCGGAAAGCAGCTAATCCTCGAGCATGGTCGGTGTAAAACTAAAGAGCATAATAAGTAATAATGAATCCGTTAGTGTAAGGATATGTCAATTGACCGCTTCTATCTTCACATTTTCTTTTTCTAATATTCCAACCTTTAAACCATCTTGCAAATTTGTCATTATTTCTTTGAACTTTAGATACGCTTGACTCAAATTCTGCAATGCACGTTCACGCTTTGCCGTAGCAGATCCATTTTCGCGAGCCTTGGAATAGTCTTGATGAACACGGGCCATTTCTCGCAAGACTTGACTTTGCCGTTCATCTTGCCGATCGATTTCCATCAAAGTATCGTCGTATTTACGCAATTCATCCACAAATAACTCCTCAAATTGTGCTGGATCGATTTTGACAACAGGTGACTTGGCTGTGATCTGTGCAGCTTTTTTCAACAAAACTGGAGAAATGTCGTCTGCATTGGATATCCTTCGAGCACGATCCACGATCTGTCGTCGTGCAATCAAGTGGTCGTCCATTTCGTCGAGTAATTCTCGTAGTTGTTCGATCGCTTCTTTGCCGCTTGCTGCCTCGTCCTCTACACCGTCGTATGCGCCAGGAACAGATTGTTCCAGATCTTGTTCGGGAAGTGCAAGCACGTCAATTATCTTGGCCCACGTCTCTAGCTTGCCGTACACAATTTGATCAGCCTTTTGTGCCGACATGAGTGTAGATCGATGTTGTTGGCCTTGTGAAACCAACTGTGCAGTAAATGCATGAGATTCGGGTCGATTCCATCCTGTTCCGCCATTCAATAGACGTTAGTATGTGTATTGCATCGTAAACGCATCCAACGTGTACACTCCTATCTTCCTTACGTTCTCGATATTGTGATCTTAACGATTCATCATTTTCTTGCTCCTCGTCTAATGCATTAAATGCGTCCTCCAATATCCCCATGTTCTTGCTCGATGCCTGTTGAACTTTATCCCACATTTCATAAAGCACTTGAGATCCGCCTTCATTCCGTACTTCAGCAGCTTGGTTACGCAATGGCCCTGGAAGTCCAGCCGTTTGTTCGAATCCTGCTAAAGTTGCTGATAAATTGAGTGACTGTACAGAACTAAATGCGATACCTGTTAGTATTTCCACGGCTTTTTAATAGCGGTATACCTTTTATCTCTCTCTCCCCTTTATTTTTCCACAATTATTTTCGAAGTTACCTATGATACACGGCAGAAAGCTCTTCTAACCGGGCAATGATATCTTCCTTGATAACCCGCTCCTTGCGATCGACATAAACGCTTGCTGCTTGATGCACGGCGAAAGGCACGAGCTTTTGAAACAATGGCAAACCAATGACAGGATGCGGAGGAGCATCTGCCCTCCGTTCATTTGACAGCATAAGAGCCACCGGATCCGAAATTTCTGGTGGTGCGACAGGCTTGACCATTTCTGATTTTTGGATCGCAGGTAAAGCCGACGGTGAAGGCACAGCCTCCAAATAAATCACATCATTGTCCTTTTCCGCACGTGCCAAATTGGTCTGAATAATCTGTTGGAGCGAGCGAAGATCACTGACGACGGCGCTGCTGATAGACGGGGATCCAGAAAAGAATGACTTGAGGAGATCAAACGCACGTTTCACAAGGCTGCTGGCAATCTGCAGACGCGCGACTTCTTCTCCGTACTTGTTTTGTGATATACATTCACATGCCTTGCGAAACTGCGACGCGGCATTAAAGTGCAAAGCCTTGACTTGCATGTGTGTGAGCCACTGTTTCGGGAATACGTTTTGTGTTGATGAGTTGGTGGCGAGTTCGTATGCTGCATCGTAGAATTCGGCAATCTTGATCGCCAGGCGTGCGATCGTGCCGTCGCGCAGTTGATCCATGGCTGCACGTTGCCATACACATTCTTGCGCTTGTGCGAGCATCAGGTTAATTAATGTTTGTAGTGCTGCTGTCGACATGTCTGGTGTGGGCGGTATCCGCATTTCGGGTATCACGACATCTTGTAGATGTTTGAAGCAACCAGCAGCGTTCTATGCGATGATATAGTGATATGGGTGTATCAACATGTTCAGCAACAAGTAAATCACTTTGCAGTTCGGCGACCTCTTTCAGCCATTTTAGTCCATGCCTGGTATAACACTGTATGAGTGTGCGTACCTGAAAGTAATTACATGCACGTTTGACACCTTCGGCCGTCAAGCGGTTCTCGGCATTTCCGAGCTGGGTATATGTGGCGCCAATGCAATATAGGATACATGCTTTCTCATAGTTCATGTTACGATGTGGTACTACATTTGTGTGTACGTGTAAGTTCGAGACGCCAAGAAGCCTTATAATTAGAGACGAACAATGCCGGGAAACATAGGAAAATAAGCATTACCAGCATTGCCTCCGTTCGAAAAGACTGGATACCACGGAAATTCCACTCCTGTCTAATGGTTTTCCCACCCCGTCCCATACACACTTGAGTACACTTTTGTAAGCCTGATGTTGTTGTTCAATCCAAAGAGCAATACGTACATCGATTGGAAATTTTGATCCTATGAAGACAAGCTGTGCATAATATCTGGTTTTATAATATCAGTGAGCTATATCCATGTGGGCTTGTCAAAGCTGTTTTGTGATAGACAAAAGATAGAAAGACAAAGGTGAGCTTTCTTACTTTATCAGGCGGTTTAAGGCCTTTTCACTGGCCTCCATGTAAATGCAATCGTTGCGCAATTCATCGAGAACACGAAAGTCGTCAGTATAAAGGTCCGGGTGTTCCGCGTATCCGTTCGAAATGTACTTTCGAAGATGGGGCGTCCACGTCAATCGCTCGGTACGTTTTGTGCTGCTTGAGAGCATATTGCTTTCAGCAGTCTTTTTGCCGCTGGGCGGCGATGCTACTGGCGAAGAGTTCATGCCAAGAAGTTCCCGAAGCTTAAATAAAGGAAAGATTGCTCAGGAGGCGAGGAAGAAAGAGAGAGAGAGCAAAAAACCTAATACAAGCAGCGCATATAAGGCATGCGCTCTTTCAAAAAAGTCATTTTCTTTCTTTAGTCCTCTTTATACTATCAACACTTTCTTCAGTTTCAACTGATCGCTGGCATACTATACACTACACGTCTCTCGGAGAAATGAGCCTTTCGACACAGGCCACGTCGAGGTCTGATTCATCTTTGCCAGACAATCCGGTCAACAAGTGGCAAAATTTTGCAGCTAAGGAGTTTGAAGAGCACAGAACTCGGACAATTCGAACAAGAAATCAAGAGAACAGACAACTACAACAGCAGCAGCAGCAACAACTGGCGCAGTCAGAACAGCAAACAACACAGCCCACAAAGCAGCCAGCACCGTCAATGGCACAACATTCATTAGTACAGCAGCAGCAACAACAACAACAACCAGTATCAGGGCAACAACAGCGATCTACGTCACCACAAAAAGACCTTGGTTCAGTACTGTCATGGCAAGACTTTGCAGCCCAAGAAGAGAGCAAAGCGCCAGTGCAAAGTAGTGATACCCGCTCATTATCACGACGCACGTCAACGTCGTTCTCGCATTCTTGTCCCGCAACGCCTAAGAGAAGCTTGAGTGAAAATGTGCGAAGAGATCACAGTTACAGGATTTACCTTTGCAACAACGATAGTGGTCACTACCCACACACCGCGACGAACAGCACTACCACTACGCCGCTGCCGCCGCCGCCTGCCCAACTTTCTGTGACATCGCCAACATCATTCTCTCGAGCGAACAGCAGCAATTATGATTCGCAGTTGCGCTACAAGCCTACGCTGCCCGATCCAACGTTATGTTTTTGCAATGAACTGGCGCACCAACGGACAACGCCCCACGATGGCGTCATTTATGAGTGTCACGCGTTGGGTGGTACCAGTAGTAGTAGCACCAAGAACAAAAACGTTACCGTTTGCGCATTTCATGCTCACAAGGACATTTGGGATGCGTATCGCGAGATTTTACGCGACGGACGAAGGATCGATAAGATGGATCCGGCTCTTTTATTGTGTCCAGCGTTCAATCTAACATTTACCATTGTCACGCGACTGAACAACACGTATACCAAACGGTTACCTTATCCACCACCCAGATGTTATTGCAACAAGCCGGTCCTATTGGATTTGCGTTCCATCAAGTACAACCATCGATCCTACTTTGTCTGTTCAGATTATGATCACATTGATGCGCCTCTTCGATGTGGTTTCTTCGCTTGGGCGGATCAAGTACGCTGCAGAATACCGGACACGCTGCCTCACTCTCATTCTTCATTGGCGCAACCATCATCACCACCATCGTCGTCGTCGTCTTCCTGGCAACATCATCAACAGATATTATCACCCTCTTCTCCTGTTCCACCTCCATGGTCACCTTTATTATCCTCTACTTCCTATTCATCAACATCCGTTTCTGATCACGACCATCAACAGCAATCACAACAACAATCAAAACCATATTTCTCAGCCGACATGCCCCCCTTTCTTCCGTCTTCACGCGAATCCATACCCTCAACGCCCAGCACCACGTCCGCACGCACTTTCCCCATCAATTACGACGAAGACGCGAGCATCTACACCCCACGAACCTCCAAAATCGACAACCCAATATACGCACTGGCATCATCAGGAAGAAGCGGCGCCAAAGCTGAAGAAGGTAAAGACTGTTCTACTGGAGCGAGCGACGAATTCGTTCGGTTACTACAAGGTGCCAAGATGCCCTTGTGGCATACGTCCACCAAAGAACAGGGTGATCCGAATGATTTGCGCAGCGGTACATCATTGCTCGATGCTTTAAACGGCGTAAAAGCCGGCGGTGGCGGTAACGATAACGAAAGCACATCGGCATCATCCTCACTACCCGGATCACCTCAGCAACGCGAAACAACGGCACTTCGAGGCGTCTACGGACTACTTATACCCGGCTCGGTGTACATGCGCCAAGCCATCAAGAAGAAGAATACGGACATAGCGCGGGCCAAGGAGAAGCAAATGACAGAGGAAAAGCTAGAGGAGCTGAGACAACAAATTGCAAGCATGGAAGAAACGATCCGAGACTTGGAGGCCGAGAATCAAAAAGAACGGGCAGCGAAGCAGGTCAAAGAGGAGGAGTTGTCCGACCTTATTAACAAACAAGAGAAGCATGCGGTCGATGCGCAGGAACTGATTCAAAAAGCAGAAAAGCTGTTGGCGGACAAGGAGGAGATTACGGCTTCAATGCAACAGGTGCAGGAGATTTTGGCGGAAGAGACCATGTTGCGTGAAAAGAGTCAACGACGCAGGATCAAGTTGGAGATGATACTCTATGATATACTGGCAATGAACGAGTCGCTGAAACAAGAGATGGCTGAAAAGGAAGAAAAGCTCAGTATGAAGGATCTCAAGTGTCGTGTTTGCTTTCAGGAAAATATCGAGTTTGCTTTGGTGCCTTGCTATCACTGCTGTAAGTGAACAGTTTTCTTTTGTTTTCTCGGAGTGGGGTAAGGAGGATGTGCTTGCATTTCCAGGGCAAGGATGGGGGAAAAGATGTGAAGCTAATGCTTTTTGAACATTTTTTATACAGCTTATTGTAAAGCATGCGCTGAAAAGCTGTCAGAATGCGCCATTTGCAGAACAACTAAATTTGCAATCCAAAAAGTTTATGTGAGCTAATTGGATGGTACGTGGGTTTTCTGTTATGCTTTGGAGATGACTTGGTGGATACTAATGGCCTGCACTTATTTCAGTAGTTAGTAGCATCTGTATACGACTCATCAACATATCTTTTTCCTTGCAAATAGTATCAGCCCCCTCCCCTATTCCTATTCATCTGTGCATACAACTCGTTTATGCTAGCGCCACCACTTACGGCTAGTTAATGGCTTAACTGCAAGTTCAACGTTGTTTTACATACTGCCACCTCTCTACAATTCTCATTCCAATACGGATATGTACCTAGCATCAATCACACAATATTACCCCCTCCCCATTCCATTATCGACTCTGAGCGAATCCACCCTCTTTTCTTCATGTACTTTAATATTTTTTCCCTCATATTATACTTATATACACATCCTATGTAATAATCCTCTCTCAAAATGTATATTTACTATCCTGTACACACACATTCTCGCACTCACATACATGTCACACTCAATAAGCAAAACAAAACAAAACGTTATAGCATTTGTACGCACTAATATTGACCCGACTCGTTTCTTTTGCGAATATACTTACTGCACAATAAATTCAAAAATTATTCATCTCAGTGCCGAGAGTTTACTAGTGATGATTTTTAAGCATGGTTCAAGCAGTGACATTTGATTTCTGTGGATAAAGGATGTGATATTGCGGTTGTGGCAGAGGTTAAACTAATCTCTGTGACCAAAGTTCTTTCGCGATACTTGTTTGCTATCGGTAATCGTAACAGTAAAACTCACAAGGGACTTTTGCGTAGACCATAATCAATCGGTAAAACATCGATTTTAAACATTATTTATCCACATAGGTTTCTAGTACCACCACCGTCATTATAAACATTTTTTACGGTATCCGGAAGGCACTTTAGGCATGTATTTCCACCGGCGATGTGAAAAAGGAACTTGCGTAAAGTCTGTACTAGGAAAGCAAACGTGCTCTTACGAAAGACATACAGATAAGAACGAGGATAGTATTGTCGTTCCCTGCCGCTACAGCCCCGGAATAGATATTAGCAGCAAATCGTACTCAAGGACTAGCATGTAATCAATACGATCGCAAGAAGCTTAACAGATACTCCCGACGACACCTATCTTGCCGGACAATCTGATTCTATAGACAGTACGCGGTGCAACGTCCTCTACGTTTTACGCTTAGCAGACTCGACAGAATCAAGGACTTTACCCCCCCCCCCCATTGCTATCAATGTACGATCGAGTGTAGATGAAGCATACATGTCTCAGATAATTCAGCAGTGCGCTTGTATATTTGAAAAGCATCAGAAAGCCCCTATCTCTCTTGTTTTTTTTTGTGTTGACAAAGTGGGTTGTAACGTTCTCGAACGTTCTTCATTACCTCAAGGTTTTCCTTTTCTCAAGGAAGTGCGGTGCAATTTCTGGGCAGAGCGACGCTTCTTACTGTCGAAGGATGACTTTATCAGCGGCAGAGCGTACCACCCGTTATTGGATATAGCACGCTTTATCTCATCCCACAATGATTGTATCTTGCTCACAAAGGATCAGTAAACATTTTGCATAAAGTTTATTTCTTGATGCGTCGGAGGGGAGTGGATGTGGTTTATGGGCTGGTATAATGGACAGGTAGGCTTGCGTGAAGTAGAGTTAGTAATCTGTGATCGCACTAGAGGCCTGCCATTAGTTGCTTAGCCGTTTGTGAACTACTAGCAGCATTATAGCTACTAGATTTACAGCGGCCGACATAGCCATCAATGGTTAGATTAAAATACTTACTCTGAGTCAGATGAATAATCTGATTTATCTTCATTCATTTCATTTTGTTCCTTAATATACATATTATAATATTCCTGTGTTTAAGTGCAGTAGTTTAAATAAAGTATTTAAATGCTCCTCAATAAACAGTATACTTTAATATTATATCTTCAACTTTCTACCTACGTTCGTTTATCATCCTACTATCCCAACACTATGGAGCAATTGATTGACACTACTTATACCGGATCAAATAAGCAAATTGTGAAAGCAATCAACGAGCAAGCCAGAGAATACAACTTTGCCGTTTCAACTAAACGAAGTGAGAAGAACGTAAAAATCTCGATCCAGTGCGTACATGGTGGAAGTTATCGCAATACACATGGAGTAACTGAATTAACGCGGTGACGCCAAATAGCGACGAAAACGACCGGCTGCCAATGGATCATGAACCTAAGGTGGTGCGAGAAGGATAAGCACTGGAAAGTAACGAAGATCAGCAACGACAACGAGCACAACCACTCCCTTGACAAGCCTCCTCAGTATTACCACCAACACCGCACGTCAACTCTCCATGCCGAGCAGCAAATATTATCATTGACAGATAATTTTCGTCAGGCCCCTCATGATACATCGAGAAGTTCAGAATCACGAAGACGGCGCAATTATGACAATGAGGGATCTACACAATTTTCGTGCGCAAATATTCGGTGAGGATAATTATGGCGGCTTCAGTAGGATATTCGAGTTCCTCATTGTAACAACTCTATCACTAGATATAAGCTAGACAGCACAGGTAAAAGACTCGACGCCCTCTTTTTACCCATGAAACGAGCATAGCAAAAGCACGATGATTCAATGAGATCATTGCTATCGATGCGACGTACAAAACGAGCAGGACCAAGATACCTCTTGTCAATGTTGACTGTGGTTATTTCTGGTTCTGGTTATTTCTGGTTTTTTATAAGGTGAATAACCAGAACCAGAATTGACCAGTATTCACCAGCAGAACCATAAATAACCAGATTCCGCCAGCAAAAACCAGGAACATGAACAACCAGAATCCATCAGAAAAAATAAAACCATAAAAGACTAGATAGCAGCGGAATACAAATAACCATATATTACCAGATTTCACAGAATAAAAGAAACCAAGAACAACCAGGAAATGCTATTTAACTTCTGAGCGGTATTATGATAGTGTAACTATTTATTTCTAGTTATTACTGTTTATATTCAATAACGCGAGGCCTTCTTTTTGTTGTGTGATTGATCGTACAATAATGCACTGTTAAGGATGAGGGACAAGAGAGGCGGATATAATATAAAGTTATATCTATATACATTCGTGCTTGATCTATGTGGTATTGACAATGAATTAACTGCTATTGCTATCGTTGGTCATTCTTCAGCTTATCAAAACACTTACAGTTATGAATGCCGTGCCGTTTTCGACTTGCGGCCACGTGAAATCGGTGTTGTTCGTTTTTGTCCCTTGCCGCCTCTTTCTTGTTGCTTCTCTTTTGGCGGCGTCTTTTGTATTGTTGGCTACATTTATAAACCAGTCTTAAGCAAAAACAAAAAGGCAAAGTAATAATGATTACTACTATCATTATGACTTTTTTTTTATTACCTTGGCGTTTCTTTACGCGAGTTGCCTTCATCGTCGCCACTTTTGGTAAAGTTTCACCACGCTTGACGTACAAAATGACGAGCACTTTACTGGTTGACGCAACGGTCCAATGGTACTGTGGCATGTTCTACAGCAAGCTGCTCAACCTCGTTGATGCATTTATCAACCAAGGATTGCTTGATCGATTTCAACGGAACTTGTTTTGCCTCTTCTCTGGAGCACGGAAGTTCATCTTTCAATCATGATATGGCTCCTTGACGACGCTTTTTGTCAGCATATCCATGGGCCAACTCAGCAGCTGCTCCCTCCAATCCACCTGCTTGCTGTATAACCAGGTGCATGACATGCTCCTTCTTGATATTATGTGTCTTGGGCTCCTATATCCAATCGACCGTGCTATTGGCTGTAGTTGCTGTCTCTTCAACTGGTTGCTGCTGCTGGCTGTTATTCGATTTCAAGATCTCCGATATCTCAGCGCAGATCACTTCTATACGCTGCTGACGTTCATCAAGTTCGTCTATGCGGCTACATAAGACTGAATACTGGTCTAGTTCATCAAATACCATGGGCTCGTCTAAGGATAATTCGTAGTCTTGTGTGTACATCGTGGTTTTACGGGTTGAATATGAGAAAGAAATGTATTGATTAAAATATGTATGCAAATGCAGGTACACGCATTTAGTTATGACGTGCGTACTTAACAAAAATATAATAAAACTGATTGAAGGGTATTGTTTCTTTAACTTTTCAACATGATTTGCCCAAAGTGTACTCTAAATTTTACCAAAAACAAATATTATGCTCATATGCGAACTTGCTTGAGCCCACCAACAAATTATAGCCGACAATAAAGCTCTACACCACCAAATGCTACAAGCGAACCTTTGAATGATTTACAACAGCAGACCGCTTTTATTGCTGACATTGTGCATTACACTGAACCTGTTTATAGTAGTAGCGAAACAATATATATGGATGTCGATGAAGAACAGATAAGCTTACTTGACGATAGTGGTTCATCCAGCGAAAGCGACACTAGCGATGATCTGGCCTATGATATGGACAACTTATGTGCAGAAGTAGACAACAGCTCTATCAATAACGAATCAGAGGATATCAATGACAATACCATCTTTTATGATGTTTCGAATTCGACATCCATACCTGAAAATGTCATACGTGACATGCGCCTTTGGCATATCATGCAAAGGTTCAATGTTCCAAGAGCATGCCACGAAAATGCACGCTGACAAACCCGCTTAAGTTGAGTATACTTAACAAAAAAATACCAGAAATAACCAGGGTGACTGATTTGGTTATCTTGCAGTTTTTTGGTATCTGTAATTAAACTGGAAATAACCATATATAACCATATATAACAATCCCACTACTCGTTGTCACTAGATTTTACCAGATTTCACCAATATCCACCAGAATTAACCCACAGTGAATATTTTGCCAAACTCTCGATTCAGAGCTATCCATCCTGGAGGGGGCCACTACCAAGGCATTACAATACTCTGAAGACGGCACAGAGTACCTTTGGCAACAAAAACGGAAATACAGTGAGATACGCGAAACCACACCAATCGAAGACACTCTATTAATCCAATATCTTCATTGGAAGGATGTAACCACTGACGGCCACCGAGAGTTGTTCAAGTATACTGAAGCATTCCAAAACTAGAAGACAGGCAGAATGGACTGGAAAGGATGCTACGTCCAAGTGGTCAAGGACAAATTCACGATGGTGACTACGTACAAGGATGCTGAGAGCCTCAGGACGACGCGCGCAAAGTATAAAAAGAAGACATCAAGCCGCAAATAGCAATAATCTCATACATAGTTTGATCTATCCAAAGTGTTAGCATAAAGCACGATCACATATTCCGATCACCGCTCTACAGTGACAATGAAAAGTTGGAAGAAAGACCCGAGCTGTCTGTACAGAAAGAAGAAATGTGTGTTTTCAACAATATTATGCTTCGTTAGCGTTTTCTCAAAAACAGCGGCGATGATCTACTTTGGGCAAGCCTACTTGTCCATGATATCGACCCACTAACGACATCTTTTCCGACGCATGAAAAGGATGTTGTGGCTGATCCTTTGAATTTCTGGTCGGTGGCAAAAGAGCCACGTTAAGCGTGAGCGTTTATTGATAGCGACATTAGATAAGCAGTTGACCCGATAAGCTGAAAGATTAAGAATTTTAGTTTATCCGGGCGAGCCAATCACGACGGTTGACAAGTGACGTCCTTGCATTTTGTGGAGAGAGAAAAAGATTTGCTTCGATTTCTTTTTTCATCGCCCCCGTGTAATAACTCTGGTCCTCTTTTTTTTTGCGAAACATGGTAAGAGTGGGCCCCTTTTTTTTATGCTAAAAGAAAATAAAAAAGTGCTTGACAGTTCTTTCGCCAATCATTCGAAAAGAGAGAGAATAATAAAACTAGACAATCCATGATCAGTGTACTCCATTTAATCCCTCGCTTGAAAACAACACCTGTTTTCTTTAATCGTATATGTTATTGTACCGTTTGGAACACACTGGTTGACTTTTGACTCTTTTTTTCTGGCACTCAATAGTATTCCCATTTGTACACGTATGGGCAGCAGCAGCAGCAGCAGCAACAGCAACATGCACAACCGTCATCACCACACGACACATTTCAGAGTTTGCATGACTCTGGATGGGACTCTAAAGAGTTGGAACACAATGGTCGATCCTCACCGCGACAACAGCAAGAACAGCAGCAAACATACCACTCGCCGTCTTTATCAATAGTAAACGGCACCTCGGGATCGTTATCAGGAACATTACCCACTTTTACGTTTATGCCCCCGCATCAACATAACTCGGGCCAATTGTCGCCACAGCTTCAATTATCTGTAAATATATATTGATAGAAGGGCAATGATATTGACGGTGGCATGTCTTATTAATGTTTTCTAAAAAAAAAAATACAAAGGTGCACCCATTGATGAAGTCGTCAGATCAAGATCAACAAGGCGACGATCAGGACTCGCGACAACAACGACAGCAACAGCATGGTCATGAACAACAGCAACAACAATACCATCAGAACACACTTGGTTCCCATGACGCTTCTTCTCATGCTCATATGGCTACCCGCTCCGAAAATCTTAGTCATCATTTTGGAAGCTTCTCATCTGTAAGTATCTGTTTTTTTTTGTTCCATTCATTCTAGAGCAATGCATTGTGTATGTGTATGTATGTATGTGTGTGTGTGTGTGTGTATGGTCATTCAAATTCTCACGTATTCAATCACAGGATATGGTATTCGCAAACTCGTTTAATGTCCAGCACGTATACCACCCAGTTGACATGAGCAGTATCGTGCACGCGCCTGGTATGACAGTAAATGATTTATCTGCGAGATTACCCCCGTTGAATCCCGATGTCGTTAATACTCAGCCGAACGTGACACTAGCCCGAACATCTGTGCTCTCTGAGCTTGATATACCTTCTTCTTCTCACCACCATCATCAATATCAACAACAACAACAACAACAACAACAGGATCACGTGGAACATCAACCGAAACGACCGAAACTAACCCAACAACAGCAACAGCAACAAATCCATCCGCAACAACCCAAAGTCAGCCGGGAACGCGCACCATGGACACCCGAAGAAGACAATCTGTTGCGACTGGCCGTCCAGTTGTATGGCGACAAGACTGAGAAATGGGCCAAGATTGCGGCATGCGTGCCTGGCCGGACCAACAAAAACTGTCGTAAACGATGGTTCCATTCACTCGACCCATCGCTTCGCAAAGGTGCATGGACAGATGAAGAGGACCAGTTGCTGCGTGAGGGCGTCATGCGATTCCCGAACCAGTGGAGTAAGATTGCGGACATGTTGGAAGGTCGGACAGATGACCAGTGCGCGAAACGATGGCGCGAGAGTCTCGATCCTACCATTGATCGCTCGGACTGGACGCCCACCGAAGATCAGCGGCTGATGGAGAAATACGAAGAGTATGGGTCGCAGTGGCAAAAGATTGCGCAGTTCTTTGATGGTCGACCCGGCTTACATTGTCGCAACCGATGGCGTAAACTGCAACGGATGATGCAAATGAAGAAAGAAAAGGAAAATGCTGCGGCTGCGGCGGTGGCAGCATTGCCCGCTACAACATCGTTTATCAACGGTTTGGCAGACGAACATATTTCGCGTTTACAAAACTCGGCTTTTGCTTCTTCTTCTTCGTCGTCGTCGTCTTCATCATCAAATCATAACAACAATGACAACTCGACAACACATATGCAACAACAACCATCGACATCGTCTTCCATATCATCTTCATCAGATTCGTCGTTATCGTCATCCAACATTTTGGCGGACCAGCAGCAACAGTTGGCATTGAACGGTGGGAATGTTGATGCAGGAACGATGCATGGTAATAATAGCAATGGCGGTGAACCCCATAGCGACTTGAATCCATATGGCTGCGCTATACCCGGGTGCTACACCAGCTTTTTCCAATCCAGTGGCCTGTTCTATCACATGAAGAGCGCGCATCCGAACTTGGAAACTTACGACAAGCCGTACCGATGTGCCATACCGAGTTGCATCAAGCGATACAAGAACATCAATGGGTTGCAGTATCATTTGCGCGAAGCGAAAGGCTCGTCTGGACACGGCGCTTACTCTAACAGGACAAGGGCAGTCGTCAAAACCCACGACAGCATGGTGGCATCTCTACCACCCTCATCGACATCATCTTCATCATTGCATCAACAAGAATCGTCCGCATTGACACGGTGATGGAACGGGAGATCTATTTTTTTTTTTTTGCATTTCTATATAATCTACAGCCTTTCTTTCCCTCTTCCCATACATACTGTTTTTCTACATATATTCCCGGTACAGAACATCTTTTTCTCTCTCTCAGCAGTATACATATTCAACAACCTATTACAATACACATAATTCAACTTTTGTTACACATACTATATAAACAATCAAGACACTACTACTAGAAGACCTGTAACAACAAGTTGACTGAACGTAAGGATAGTGTGTGGAACCTTATTAGAATCTTGCCCCTGTCATCTGGATTTGCTCAAGTCCAATGATTCTAATTAACTGCATTTTATGCAGCATTGTTTTTCAAATTTGTGAAACGATAACAATGAACTGCGACGACTCCATGGTCATCATCATCATGCTTTTTTTTACGCAGCAACATGCACATCCGATAAAGGTCACGCCTCAAAGGGGGACTCTGGAATCTCAAAAACCCTTGATCTCGAAATGAAGAGAAGAGAGGCCCTTCTTCTCTCCTAATAGAATCGCTTGAGGGTGGGTACCGCTATTGTTAAAAAGAAGAGATGGTGAAAATCTTTTTTTTTTCTTTGCGATTCTTGCCACTTCTTTCTTTGGAAACGCGAGGAAGGTTGACGTTACACGGCGCTTCCCAGAAAAGTTTGGTCCACCGAAGGAAACTTCTGGCTTCTACGACCCGCAAAGAGGCTTTATGAAACCTTGCCCGCTATTTATAAAGTCGCAGTTTTATTTTTTAATTTTTTGCCCTCCAAGAAGCTCTCTCTCCCTTTCCTTCACACACTTTCTTCACTAAAAAAAGCACATTTGTGATTGTTGTTCTGATGGATCTCTCTTGGTGCATTATCTGTGACAATCGTATTGATTCAAACTTGGTAAGTCTCATTGATCTCTCTTTCTTGGTTTCCGGAAGATCCGAAAGAAAGAAGAAGAAATACTCATCGATCATCTTTCTCTCATTGAATAGAATGAGTCGGATCTGTATTGTTCAGATGCTTGCAAAGTGAAAGATTCTTCGTTGTCGACAACTACGTCTGCTAGTGGCAATAGTAGTAGCAGTAGTAGCAACAACAGTATGGCACTGTTTGGTCAGAGCCCACCCAAACAACGTACTATCAAGAACACCTTGACCTTGCTGCGCAACAGACAGCAACGACCGACTGCGCCGTCAACGTCGTACCCGTGGATCCCGCTGTATCGCCGACGTCCGATCATTTCGAGACGCCCCGCTGTTGCAGCAAGTGGTGTACCGCCGACGACGACTAGTATGCTTTGCCGCAAGCCGTCGACTTCGACAACCTCGGTTGCGTCGTACCATTATCGCCCCAATCTTACGGCCGTGTAAAAAAAAAAAAAAGAATTCTCATCACCATCATCATCATCATCGTCTCTTCCTCTCGTTTCCATTCATACTTATTATTCGCTCTTTGTCCTCTTTTCATGATCGTCACAACCAGCAGTTGCTCTTCTGTATATACACAATATATCTTATTCACCCCATTCATTTTAGCTTAGTATTCCCCACACACACACACACCATAAAACCCACATCAAAAACATCTCATATCTACATAAAATCATTGAAAAAAAAATTCCATCCCTTTAGCATAGTAACCTCTCCTCTCTGACTCTCCCTGCACATCATCATTATCACACATAAGCATTTAACAAAGAAGAAACATATACTCTCTCTCTCTCTCTCAATAACAATTATCCACCTTAAAACCTCATTACAAACCTCGTTACAAATTTCGTTTAATTGAATTGATTACGTGATGCATTGCCATCCCGCGCGCGGGATCGGAAAGGGATGATTATTCAGCGAGTTCCCGAGCACCTTTTTTTTTAAATATAAAAGAGTACTCTAGTTTCCCTTCGTTCTCAAAGCTCGTTTATATAACAACAAAGAAAAACATGAGTGCTGCTGGTGAAGATATCAAGGCCCTTTTGCAAGATTTGCTTGCCCAGGAAGAACGCTGCCAATTCACAAAGTTCACCAGCGACGACGCGCTGAAGCTCGGTCTTCTTATTCTGGAGAATGCAAAGGCATACACTCGTCCCATTGTGCTTGACATTAACCTGGCTGGTCATCAGTTGTTCCATTTCGCCATGCAGGGTACTGGTCCCGATAACAACGAATGGGTTGCTCGGAAAAAGTAAGGATTCTCTTTTTTTTAAGCTTGCATATCCTCGCCTTCTTCTGTTGCTGTTGTAGGTGGGGGGGAAGGGGTTGATGTAAAGGGTGTTTGGGATAGGAGGAGGGTGTATTAGAGCAAAAAGCAATACTATTAGAGTAAGAAACTTGGTTTCAACTGACTACTTGGATCTGACCGTGCTATTATCTGTAACAGCAAAGCTGTGCTTCGATTCAGACATTCCAGCTATTATCTGGGCCGTTATTGCGCAAGCCAGAACAAGACCCTTGAAGAAAAGTATTATGTAAGTAACTTGTAAAAGTTACAACAATCGAAAATGATGTTTTAACAAAATAAGCACTACTAGGTGAGCGAAAAGGAATATGCTTGCCACGGCGGCTCGTTCCCGTTGATCATCAAGGATGTGGGTGTTGTTGGCACCATCACTGTCTCTGGCTTGGCCCAGCAGGTACTTGACCTTTCACCAGCAGTATCGCATGTCTAGCAGAGAAAATAGGGGGTGGTCATCTAATTCATGTTCGCTTTCTATAGGACGATCACGGTTTGGTAGTCAAGTCGATTGAGCAATTTCTAGGTCAATAAAGATTTCTTCATTAGAGAGTGCTGATAGTCTAGCATACTATGTGTATTTGCTATGTGATTGTGTGTGTGTTCTCCATGTGCATGATGTGTAGCACACGCTTTGTGCTCGGATAGTAAAAGTTCTTGCATGACAACAAATTAGGCTCTGGCGGGGAGAGACACATTCAAAAAGAATAAAGACAAGGCACAGAACAGCCTTCTCCTTTCTTCTTTTCATTCTCAAAATATGCTCTACGATCCATCACTTCCATTTACTGCGGCTTATCGTCTATTTCGAGAACAGACAATCAAGCATAGTCCATTTACTGCTGGCTGCCATGCCTTTCTCAAGTACGATGACACAAAGGCAAGAAGACTCCCCAACACACATACACACACACACTCACACACACTCTCTCTCTCTTTCTTTCTTTCTCTCTTTTACCTTTGAGATATTTCACTTGACCAATTATAAAGAACCTTGTTACGCGATGCCAACACCACTTTTTTTTTTTGCTGCTCGAATTTGAATTTAGGAAGCCACGATCCGATTATTAATATTGTATATATTATACGCACTTTATGCGGACACAACACTCGAACGAAACCCATTTCTCACATTCTTTTTGGAATTCGTGTCGGGTGATAATCAGCGTGGCAACGCTCTTGAACAACAATTTGTCTATTGCATCTTGGGAGGTTCCATTGTCAAAGTGAGTTCTATTCTGTAAGAAAAAGGTGGCGAGAGAGAGAGAGAGAGAGAAAGAAAGAGAGGGTAATCAAATAGGGGTGTTCTAGATAATGGACACGCATGAAAAAAAAAAGATTGGTTTATTAAATATATATTGTTAGATCAAGGAACGAACACCACGACAAGTGTGTGATAATACATCGGAAACATTACCAAAGCCTAACACGAGTGTCCAGCGCGTGAATGAATTGAAAAAGAGCGTTGCTTTATTGATAGGTGATCCGTAAGTGGGAACAGGATTTTTATACATGTGGGTTCAAGAGAAACTGTTGTTATACACAAAGAGTAATCGGTTTTTCCGTTTTTTTGCTAGGTTAACACTATTTGGATCAATCAAAGATGGCGGTCAAGAGATCATTGGGCAACACCAACGAACAAACAAGGTAAAAGCATCTTGCTCTACTGAGAAACCTCAGGTCCCCTGGTTAACAATCGCGGCATAATAGTCTCAGCAGCAGCAGCAGCAAGAACAGCAAGAACAGCACTTGGATCCAGAGGCACTTGCCCAAGTTACCTACTTGATGCGTGATGCTTGCCTAAGGACTTTAAGGATACCCGAACAGCAGGTAAAAAAACGGACTCTCTTGTAATGAAGTCCGGAATGCTGGTGACGATGACGATGGACTGATGAAGAAAAACTTTTAAGTTTGTGCAAAATGCTTTCAAATACCATGCAAAAACTGTTGTCACAAGCTGTGGATTATCACCAGAAAAACTACGAGATCTCGTGGAAACAAATCATATTCTAGCAATGGATGTAGTGCCTTCATTTCTTGAGCAGGTTACCGGTGACAAAGAGTAAGTTTTTCCAGCTTTGCGACCCTGGGAGGGATTATTGTTTCTTTTTTCTTTGGGTGAGGGCTTTAACCAAATACAAATTTAAAAAAAAAAAAACTAGATATTTGTATGCACTTGCCAAAGTGCCAGTCGGTAATAGTAGTGTGGAATTGGTGTATCATTTACTCACGTCGGGTCGAACACTTGGCGATGATTTCATACACATGTACATTTCCAACAGTATTCGTACATGTGAGTTGTACGAAGAAGGTCCACGTAAAGACAAGCATGTCCGCTTGGTAAGTTCCCTTTCCCCCACACCAACTGATAGCCCGTACTCTCAACCTTTGATCCTGATGATGAATATTTGGGTAGGTGGCCAAGTTTATCCAGTCTTTATTGGAAAGAGGCACTATCTCCATTGCCGAATACCTCATTGAAATCCAATCCTTCTGCGTCGGATACTTTCGATTCAAAGGCGTCGCCACGCTCTTCCAATTGGCATCCAGCGAAGCACAGCGAATGGGATTTCAAGTGGATCGACAGCAGCAACAACAACAACAGCAGCAGCAGCAGCAGAAGCAGCAGAAGCAACAAGAAGTGGCAATATGAAAAGAAGAGAAAGAGAGAGAGAGGAGAGGGGAGAGGAAAAAACAACGTTCTATATGTTTTTTATGTACACATCAATTGCAGCCTGTTTTTTATACGTTCTTGTTTTTATATATGGAGAATATTATATATACTTTGCTTGTCTCTAATTACATGCCACCACCGAACTGTTGACCAGCGGATTCACGTTGGATTCTACCGACATAGGCACGCGAGACAACGTTCCATGCTTCCATGTAACGGTCCATGCACTTGGACAAGCAGGCTTGCTCACCGCTTTCCAAACGAGCACCAGGCTTGGGAACGCACTTGTCGTAGCACTTTTCGTTGATTTTCTGTACGTGTGTGCATAACCCACCGAAAAAAAAAAAGACGTGTCAGTCTCATTCTCCCTAGTTTTCTTTTTCTTTTTCTCCTTTCGTTACAAAAACCCCCCTTACGTTGATAAGCTCTTGAGCGTTGGCCAAAGCAAGTTCACCGCGAACCTTGTCCATGACTTCTTGCTTCTTGCTACCCTATACCGAGAAAAGAAGAGAAAAAAAAGACAGTCCCCGAATTACATAAAGTAACCCAGTGCATGCACACAAATGAGTATTCTCTCTTCTTTCTACAGACATTGGGTGTTGTCGCATTTCAGGTTTTAAAAAGTCAATTTACCAAGTCGGCGGAAGCACCGCTGCCAAAGTTGTAACCCGAGTTGTAATCGCTCATTTTATGTGTTGAAAGAATCAAAGAAACTTGTCAAGAACACGGGAAAAGCAAAAAAATAAAACAATTTTTTCTCCGCTTAGCGTGGTTTGGCTTGTCCGTCCGGGGAAAGAGGGCCCCCGGCGGGTCTGTCAGCGCCCCGTCACTTAAAGCGCGCCGCAAGCAGTAGCGACCCAATATTGCTTGGTTCATAAACTCTCCCTTTTACTCAAGGTTATTTAAGCCAGCAGTGATATCACATTTTGTCAGTAACAACCCCCTTTTTATTATGCCAGAGTAGTTGTAGAATCAATAACAATTCACATGAATCGGCCCGGAACAACAGGAAGACTTGCAGAAAGACCACCATCGACCGCGATTGCCTGATAGTATGCAAATAAAATGTCATTGTCAATAAACTCAATAACAGGGAATATCTCAGATGTATGTATATGTTTGCTGTTAGTAGGAAGAGATCAGTACCTGTCCATTGATATAAGATGCCTCTTCACTAGCCAAGAAAGCAACAACCGCAGCAACCTGTTGTCGAAATTACATTATAAGAAAACGAGTGGGGGTAAATGGTATTGAGCAGACTGCAACAACGTAGGGCAGACAGCTGCTTCGTTTCATCCAGTCATGAGAGAGCATACTAAAGCATTATCCTTACCTCTGATGGGACAGCATATCTTCTGGTGGGATTGAGCTGACCAATCTTGTTTGAAGAGCCTCTTGACTTTGCATAGTCGAACGTTTTGACTGTCATGCCGGTTTCAATGATGCCCTATATATTTAACATGAGTAACGAGATATAGCACATTATTTTAGATATTCTTGGATACATACCGGGCAAATAGCGTTGGTGCGCACATTTGTGCCAGCATATTGGTATGCGCTGGTTTGGCACAAGTTGATCACACTATGTAGATAAAAAGTACATTAACAATAAGCAAAAAGACTTTGCTTATAGTAGAGTTACAGGTCCTACTTACGCCGACTTTGCTGCCGAATATTCTGGTGGGCCAGCACCAGAGCGAATACCCGCGACTGCATAAAATGTTGCTAAAGTTAGCCATGTGTAGTCAGTTACACAGAATAGGCAATGGTTCTTCTTACCTGAAGCAGTGCAGATGATGGAACCACCCGACATTTCCTTACCACCCTTGCCTGTTTCTTCCATTGCCTTGCCCGCAATTTTGAGAGCCAAAAACGCGCTCAAGGAATTCACTCGCACGACCTCCATAAAAGACGACTCGTCGGCGTCTTCAAGTCGCACGCGCGGTAAACTCATGCCTGCGTTGGCAAAATATACATCGAGACGGCCAAACATTTCCATAGCTTCTGCGACAATGTTCGTGACGCCCTCTGTGGATGCAGCATCGAATGCTCGTGCAATACAAGCGACATTTGGATATCGCATTTCAATGTCGCGGGCAAGCTCTTCCAAGTTTTCGCCTCTCAGGTCAGTGGCGAAAATTACTTTGGGTCCACGCTTGGCTAGAGCATAAACGGTAGCGCGTCTGATGATGTTAAAATCAAGTTCAGGCTCTTTGTTAGCACCACCATAACATACATTTACTGGTTCTTTTTTCATGAACAAAAAGTAGAACAGCAGCAGCAGCAGCAACAAAACGATCTTATTTACCCAATGCCTTTGATCGAGTTGGCACCAGTGACAATGCATACTTTGTCGGTGAGAGACGACCCAGCTTTGGCCAAGTGGGCGGCTATCTGTCCAACACGCTCATTGGCAGTATCAAACGACGACATAGTATCAATATGAAAGGGTGAAAAAAAAAGGTATAAAAAGAAAGTGAAAGGGGAAAAGACAAAGGATGTTTCCTTGGGGTTTTTTCCCTTCAAAGACTCTCATTTTAGTCATGAAAACTTGGTGAAATCCCCACGACTCCTATGCTTGGGAAAATTATTATGCTTGCAAAGAGCTTATTCCACTTTTTTTTTACGTACCTGACCACAAACTACAGAATCCATCGATTCGCATCCATAAAAGCTATCCCCTCCGCTTTTTGATTTCCGACGGACGCCCACTGTGTGCAGTAAAAGTAGCAGCGTAATATCTTTCCCTCCCACTAAAATAGATCTACTATTATATACAACAAAACATGAATTCATTCCGACAAGGTGTGTGTGTGTGTGCCATTCTTTAACTAAGAATCGGCTGGTTTTGATGCTCCAAAATGACCAGAAGGGATAGAGAATGACAACAACGTTATGAAATACACACGCTCACACAGTTAGCTTGAACACAACGGGGTAATGCATAATTGTCATAGTATCGCAATCGCTCTTGGCTCGGTCTAGAACGACGCCATTCACAGCCGGCATCTTGGCACAAAGACAGCATTCATCATTCTTACAGCAGCAACCCATCCGATCCATATCTTCATACCATTTCGACACCTTTAAATTCGTAGAACGATTAGAAGCTGAAGGTTTCTCTCGAGAACAAAGCGAAGCTATCATGGCGTCGTTACGAGAAGTAATATCCGAAAGGTATGTATACATCGATATGACATATGGCGAAAAGATGGAAACTATGGAACCTAGCTACAACAAAAAAAGCTCACTATGGCAACCGAATTTTAGTATGACGGATGCAACCAAGGGGATGGTTACCAAGGCTGAACAAGAAAAGGTACGACAATGGAAAAAATTGGTAGTAAAATGAAAACGACTAACGGCCCGTAATTCTTTCTCTGTGTGTGTACAGACGGTATATACATACAAGGTTGATTTCGCTCACCTAAAGTCCGAGATTCAACTGCTTGAAAAGAACGACTTCACGATGATGAGAGCAGAGAACGACCGATTGTTAGGCGAGGTGGAAAAACTACGACAAAAGTTACGAGAAGAAATCACACGTTCACAAGCAAACGTGCGATTGGATTTGCATTTGGAAAAGGGGCGTATTCGCGACGAGGCAAGTGCACAGGAAATCAAGATCAAGGAGACGGATACCCGAATAGAAAGTGAGATTGCTGGGCTGCGAACACAAATGGAAGCTATCAAGTTCCAAATTCTGCAGTATATGATCGGTAAGTATAAAAGCGAGAAGAAGAGTTTGGGTTGGTTTGGTGGTCGGATAACGTCATTTTTATGCAAAAGAAAGTTGTGCACTGACATCCATCCCACCGCCCGTGTTTGATTGTTACCCGGGAAATTATGATGATAGGTACCATCACAGGTGCTGGAGCATTGTTTCTGGCCTACCTTCGAATGCTCCGCTGACCGTCTCGTTGTATCCACTCTCTTGCTGTGCCTCCACATCTTTCTCTTTCGCACGCTTCCCTTTGCATTGTGCATTCCAGAACCGTGAACCCACACGCGACGTCTTGTGAATTTCTACCAACCAATAATATAAGCTCTTTATTTCCTTTTAACCTTTTTCTCTCTATTTCAAATCTGATATCATACACAACATACTTTTGTACCCAAATCAAAATCAATGGCTGATAAGAACGGCAACAATACTAGTAGCAGTGTAATCACTTCTACAATCACTGCCAAAAGTCCTACTCGTCCACCTATAAGTGAAAGTGACGGCAAAGGAGGCAAAAGAGGAAGCGGAAGCTCATTTGCCTTGTTGCCATTGACTCATCGCGTGGGAGGTCATGTCCGCATGTTCAGATTGGCCAACGGTGCCATTTGCAAGGCCCTTACAAACAAGGAACGAGAGTTCTACGAAGATGTTGAGCAAAAGCCAGAATTTCGACCCTTTGTACCTTGCTACATGGGCGTCATTGTCATTTCGGACGATCAACAGAACGGACCAAAGATTATTCTGGAACGAGATAAACGTCGCTTAAAACAATTCACGCCGCCACCTACCATGCGGCCTATACGACGATCCACGACTGTCATGCTCTCCTCAGATAGTTCGGATACAGACGTACTGCCTATCTATCGAAGCGGCCATCCACCTTATCATAATGCCATGGATCCAGCAGCAGCTTCTCGTCGTCCTCGTCCTGGTCGACGGCGATCATGTTGCCAACGGGCGGTGTCATGCCCTGCTGTCTTGCGGACTGAAAAAGTTGACATCCGACGGCCGCATCCAGCGACACAACAACAACAACAACAACAATCGGAAGACGACCAACAACAGGGAATCATCAACTCGTCGCTATCGGATCAAGACACGCATGAATTCATTGTTATGGAAGACTTGACGTTCGAAATGGAGCGGCCATGTGTTTTGGACCTGAAAATGGGAACAAGGCAGCATGGTGTCTATGCTGCAGAAGCCAAGATGAAAAGCCAGACAGCTAAATGTGAGCATTCCACAAGCAAGTCTTTGGGTGTCCGCATGTGCGGCATGCAGGTATGTAAAAACAAGTGTGGTACACTTTAAATACTCTGTTTGACAGCAGAGAATGTTAAAACAATAGTAACATCTTCATATTGTTTATATATTAGGTGTATCGAGGGTCAACAGGAAAGTGTCAGACCCAGGATAAATATGTCGGACGAGAATTGGATGCGGATGGATTTCGCGACACATTGCATTCGTTCTTGAGCGACGGTACGCGTTTGCTCGTCGAATATATACCCGATCTGATAAGCAAGATATGGCAGTTACAACGGATCATCAAATCCATGCACGGCTATCGTTTCTTTGGCTCGAGTCTTCTCATCATATACGATGGTGCAGATACGACCAAACCCGTCGATTTGAGACTCATTGATTTTGCACATTGCGTAACCAAGCAGGAACTACTGCAGAACCGTGCCCGCATGACATGTCCACCCGAACAGCCGATCGACCAGCCAGATCATGGGTATCTGAAAGGCCTAATGACGTTGATGCACATGTTGCAAAACATAGCCACCCGCCATTTCAATTCTTCCCCATACTAAAAACCTGCCACAAACGTTCTTATACATATATACATACACGATACTACTATCATCACTACTTACTATTACATACGTACACATTCATCCAGCCCCGTCTCAAAACAACACATGCACATATACAGTGTCTTTTCATCATATATCAAAGATTTGCTGATCAGAAATACAATAGACGTTATTGTTGCTGTACCATGTATATGCAAAGTAGGATTGGATCGAGCAATTGTTGATATTTCTATTGGGAATTACTACGCGCACGACAAAAATTGACCTCGCGCACGACATTTTTTTTGGTAGTTTAGTATTCCGCAGTTGTCGTGCGCACCGTCTCTTGCACAGCCTGAAAGACCCGCGCACGACAAAATCTGATCTCGCGCAACGACAATTTTTTTTGGCAGTTGTCGTGCGCACGGTCTCTCGCACAGTTTGAAAGACCCTGCGCACGACAGAACTATGATGATATATGCCGAGTAACTGGAACATTAACATACCGTGTATCCAAATGGCAAGCAAACAACTTTGTGCCAACATAAGTATTATAATATAGTGAAGCACAAGCGAGACAATTTCTTAGTCAACACAAAAAGACGTAGCCAAGACCATAGAAAAGTGGGTAGACGGTGCACCAAGTGTTTTCACCAATTTAATATCAATGACGATGGTATTGGCTGCAAAGACATATCCTGTGTTTCGTGTTCCAAAACTTGCCAGAGCTAGGGCTGTCATGTAATTCTATTCAAATAAAATTATTTTTGACGATCAGTGTAATATTCGACGTATATATAACGAAAGATGATAATAATGTGTCAACCAAATTGTTGAATATTTGGAGGGCGAAGAACAAGAACAATTAAATCCGGAGACAAGGCACAAGAGCTTAAATATGAGACAAGAACATAAATCGTCGAGTACGTTGAGGTAAACGACAACTGCCAAAAAAATTGTCGTTGCGCGAGATCAGATTTTGTCGTGCGCGGGTCTTTCAGGCTGTGCAAGAGACGGTGCGCACGACAACTGCGGAATACTAAACTACCAAAAAAAATGTCGTGCGCGAGGTCAATTTTTGTCGTGCGCGTAGTAATTCCCTTTCTATTTTACAGTACCACATGCACATGCACATCCTGTGGTCGCATAGTCTTCTTACCATAGCAGTGCTGATTACAGAATCACGTTATTTATTATTTGAGCTCGTAGTTGCCAATTCTATTGAGAGCTACTGTATGTAAACCTCACGCCAAAAACGAAAAATACTGCTATATTGCTATATATTGTTTTGGCTCATGAAGACGGTAATAAGATAGCATTCGAGGGGCAGTGAATAAGAAGATTATTGGAAAAATGAAGGGTAATTCACAGCGTTAGTCAATGAAGCATGGTAGAAATAAAAGGCAAGGTACTCGTCGTCTCAATATGCATGGCCATAAAATGTGAATCATCATGATATTGATACTGATAAGTAACATACCGCTATAATTAGGACGCTGCTATTGAAGTAGCAGTATATCTGACATGAAGATATCCATCGCTCCCTTCATTTTCTAATAGCGAACATCACATACGTTCGAATTTTCATAATATTTCATTGATTCCCCCCACCGCCTTGTGCAGCACCAGTTCTGCAACTTTTCTATATAAAAAGGGTGGACGGAGGTAACAACTAGTAATTCTGTTGTGTTTTATTTTATAATAAGTAAATTCATATCTCTGTTAGGCAAACATATGCTCAGCTTATGCGTATTGAGTATATAACCCGGAAACTGTTTTTGTTTAGTAAGCTACTTCTAGTTTATATAAAGAGCATCTACCAGAGATATCATTTTGCAGGATATCGTAGTTCGTGCATGCTATCAAGTCGTCTAGAATGTTGGATGAGAAAAAGATAGCGATTGATGGGGTAAAGCCTTGACTTCATCATTTTTTCTAATATTTTTTATACATGAGTGCGTACTTGACGTAGTATCTTACTGTGAAGAGATTCACAGTCATAATGCTAGCCATTGTGCTCTATTATACTGCCGTCTATTGTAAAACAAAGCCTAAAAACTTCTTTTGATTACTAATATGATAGCTCTCTTGGTTTTTTGCATTATCCTGGTAATCTTTTTTTGGCTCCAATAATTAAACCATCATTTACAGACTAATAGCCGAGCATAGCTACGGTACTTGGTATATCCGTCTTCCCTTCCATCGAGAAAATCCGGAAGTTCGTCGAGAGTATTCGCATAAGTGCTATTGTGCGAGGGTATATATTAGTATTAGTTAGTACGGTCTGAGTTCTTCTCTTTGTCACGCCTCCAAGCTTGGCCTTTTATCTTTCTTCCATTTCTCGTTGTTAAACAAAGAAACCAAACCATGGGAATCAGAATGAAAGCAACCCGTATGCTCGACAATTTGCCGATAAGGCCTGGTTTATTTACGCAATCGCTACCAGCAGACGTTTATACGGAATCGATTGACGAATCAACGCCTCGTTCGGACAGCAAGCTTAAAATCTCGCGTGCTGTCCACAATGCTGCGTTTTCATACACGTTACCAGATCACAATCCAGATCCTGAGCTATTAGCAGTGTCTACGAAAGCCTTGGACGAAATTGAACTTGATCCCGAAGCGATCCATACCGATGAATTCCTTCAAGTGTTTTCTGGAAACAAAATACTCGAGAATACCCGCCCGTATTCCGCTATCTATGGAGGGCATCAATTTGGGTAGGGTTAATTAAACGCATAATGTGTGCCAAAAGTAAACTTTAACTCGTGCTTAATGTGACTATGGCAAATGATCCCCCAGAATTTATGCAGGCCAACTCGGGGACGGTCGAGCCATCTCCTTATTTGAAACAGAGAATAGCAGTGGCGAGCGTTGGGAATTACAACTCAAGGGTGCTGGTCGTACACCCTACGCTCGTAATGGCGATGGTTATGCTGTCTTGAGATCCAGTATCCGCGAGTTCTTGATGTCCGAGCATATGCATGCTTTGGGTGTTCCCACCACCCGTGCCTTAGCGCTTATTGGAACCTCGCGAGAAATATTCAGAGATGATGCTCTTCCAGGTAAAAAAAAAACCATAGCCTTTTTAGTACATCGGCGCTAACAATGTCTTTGGTAAACGTATAAATTATGCGACCGTATTGTGTATTCTCTAGATGAGAAACAGCCTGAACTTGGTGCTATTGTTACCAGAATGTCCCCATCATGGATGCGCTTTGGCAGTTTTGAAATCTTTTATTCTCGTGATGACATGATTAACTTGCGCAAGCTTGCTGATTTTGCAATTGAACATGTCGTCAAAGAAGAAGAGGACTATAAGCCATCAAGCGCAGATGGTAACAGATACATGCGTTTCTTGCGTCGAGTCGCAAAGAAAACAGCCAAAATGGTTGCAGAGTGGCAAGCAATTGGTAAGTTTTTAGTTAATAGTTACGATAAAATCGCCAGAACAAGTACGTCCTGTCGTGGTATTTGAGAAGGGTTCTCTAAAATTTAAAACAATGTACATACCTATTAGGATTCAATCATGGTGTAATGAATACCGACAACATGTCAATTCTAGGTATTACTACTATTGCTGTTACACAATCTACTTTGCATAGTATATATCGACAATGTATCAAAACGTACTTAAATATTCTTATTATTGTAGGCCTTACGATCGATTACGGACCCTATGCAATGATGGACTTTTATACTCCTGCCAATGTATGCAACCACTCTGACACGGCTGGCCGTAAGTGTTAATTTATCTACGTCGTCATCTAATTGTTCAGTATATTTGCTACATTGCTGACCTTATGTAAATTATACAGAATATGCCTTTAAGCGTCAGCCCACTGTCTGCATCTTTGATCTATTTAAGTTTGCCGTGCCACTATTTGAGCTTATTGGTGCAGAAGACAAAGTCGATTCGCTTGTCTTTCCCCCCATCAATAACAACAGCAACAACAGTGGCGACAGCAACAATGAGACCGTGGTGACTGATGCAGTCACGCGAAGACAATATCGTGAAGTAGGCAAAAACGCAGTGACCAAAGTCCTCAGCGAGGAATTCTCGGACTGGTTTATGGAACATCTTTTATGGCGCATGCGCTTAAAGCTCGGTCTCAAGCCGCGCGACGAATTGGCGAGTGACATGAACGATGTTGTGATTCCCCTGTTGGACTGGATGAATGAGTACGATATTGACCACCATCGCTTTTTCCGCTCGTTATCAACATACCAAGTGACGAATGCGGGCGAGGATAAGGATGCCGAAACGCACGGTATCCAAGTTGTGCCACGCGATGCGGCAAAGGCAGGAGAAAGCAAGGAAGCACTCAAGCCCTGGTTGGCCATTTACCGCCATCGTCTTTTGCAGGACGGTGATCAGCCAGATAATGCCGATCGTCAGCGGCGCATGAATTCTGTAAATCCGCGCTTTGTGCTTCGAAACTGGATTGCTCAGGAAGTCATCGAAGCATTCGAAAACAAAGATGAGAAAGAAGCCAAGAAAATACTTCAGTCGTGTTTGACGGCTTGCACACATCCTTTCAAAGAACAGTATGATGACCAGTTGATCGAACATTGGGTGACTGACCCTGTTCCTGAGGTAAGTTGAATACCGATTGTTTCTTTTTGCACAAGTGATATTGGATATACCCTCTAATATTCTTTCTATTATGTGAAATAAATATATTGTAGTGGGGTCGAGACCTCAAGTGTTCTTGCAGCTCATAATAAAAGAATAGCAAAAGAGAGGCGAGATAATAAATCAAGAAATAATACATAAGCCGTTGTGTCTTTCTCTTTTTACACAAGAAAAAGGAGTGAAGGTGGTTATTTAGATGTGGGGAGGGGGTTGGTTCGGGGTATAATAATATATAGAGGCTTAAAAGTATATGTAGTTTTATGTGAGGAGAGCATTCTTCAATTGTATAATCCATTACTGCCTACATCCAAGCGTCCCGATCCAGCATCCAAGAATCGTCATTTTCTCCAGGCACAGGTTGTTTGTTAGCGTTCTTTACTCGACTGGCCATATCATTAAACATGCGAAGACCATTGCCCACCATATCTTCACCAATGTTGCGCACATTTTTGCCAACCGCAAGCATCTTGCCAAAGTCAAACAAGTCTTCTTCTTCGTCGTTGTTGCTACGCTCGCCTTCTTCGTCCTCTTCAGGTACATCATCAGCCCACGACGGCTTCATTGTGCGTTGATGATGATGGTGATGTTGTCGCTCCTGGTTATCACGTTGCGCAGTAGACGAAAAGGGATGCAGATCCTCTCGTTGACGATGCTGTCCTTCAGTAATGGAGATATTGTCATTGTCGCTTCTATCGCCTTCAGGGTCGGCAAGTGTGGCGAAAAACGACGATGGGGAAAATATACGGCTATCGGCGTTTGGGTTACCATTGTGGTTGGTGCTGTTTTCCATGGCGGCCTGGTTCAATTGGCTCATGAACTTGCCGGCGACCTCCATAAATGAACTGCTTCGTTTATGATGTCGTGGTTTTTCAAAAGAAGCTGATGAAGTTGTTTTTGTGCTGTTGGACATGAGAGGGTCGTACGACGGCCTATCACAATTCGCATGGAATTAATATATTGTCCTATATCAATAACAAGTTATTAAGACACAGCACACAACAGAAGTTACCTCCGCTTCGAATGATCTGCAGGCTGCTGTTGCTGTATCTGTTGGCCTTGTAATAATTGCTGTTGGTGATGATGCTGTTGATCTTCATCCCAGCCATCCTCATCTTCCAGACTCATGATGATGTTTTTCTTGATAAATGCGAGTTTTTCCGTGAAATCGTCTAGTCGATCTCCCAGAATTGATTGGGCAACCACAGCAACGGAGGACCTTCGGTCTGAAGTACCAGCTCCAGACCTCTCGTCATTTATTTCCTGGGAAATCGCCATATCATGAGCCTCGGGTCTTGGGGACGGTGGCTGCGACATGGATTGTAATGCGTCCACCTGTCCTTCTGTAGTTAGTGCACGCGATTCTCGGGGTTGCTGCTGTTGTACTTCACTTTCATGCGGTGGTGGTACTAATGCTGCTGCTGCTGCTGCTTCTGTTGTTATTGCTGTTGTTGTTGTTGCAATAGGTGCCACATTGTTGTTACTGATACTTTTATCGAATTCCTCTGGTTCATATGATAATGGACTTTTGAAATCCTTTAGTTCTTTCACCAGTTCTGATGTCGAGACTGCCATTGTTCCGATCGTGGATACATTGTTGACACGTTTATTATCTAAACTAGTGAGTTCTCGGTCCACGATGAATGGCGTTGGTGATGAACTGTTAAAATCCTGGAGTTCCCTTGCTGCTGGCGGTGGTGGTGGCGGTGACGACAACAACGATGATGATGAGCTGCTATTATTGATATCTGCAAGCTCCTGCTCCGCTAGTGCATTGCTGCTGAAACTCTTGAGCTCTTTTGCAGGTAGCTGTTGTGGTGATGAGGTACTGAAATCTGCAAGTTCCCGTTCTGCAGTAGCTGATGGTGATGGAGCATTATCGCCGAAATCCTTGAGTTCTCTTTCCATCGACGGATTACCGAAATCATCAAGCTCTCTCTCTCGCAATGCTGATGGACCGCTCATATCTTTGAGCTCCCGAGATTGCTGCTCTGTCGTCGGCTTTCTGTCTGTTTTCGGAGCAACGTCGATAAGTTCTTGATTATAGTATTCCACTGTTCGACTCGTTCGTTTTTCTCGCTCTTCCTCTTCTTCCGTTCTCAACACGGGTTCAGCGTACGCATTGTTGCTAGAATTGCTACTTGCATCTGCAGTTATCTACATACATTTTTTCATTGCATATGTTAGTATGTAGTAAAACATTGTACATTAATTGATCTTGCATAAAATTGCGCGATATCTACCTTGGCACGATCACTAATAACCGCCGATATCCGGTGGTCCGACAAAAACTGAGCATCGTCGTCCTCATATAAATAATCTGTTTGTTGCTCTGGCAAAGCCCTACGATCGTCACGTCCTCCTACTCCTCCCAACGCTGTGGTAGTAGAAGCTGTGGCAAACGGATTCCGGGACAGAAACCGATGAGGTTCGGCTGCCGAGAAAAGTGCGTTAGGTCCTGTAGGATCGTTGTCATCGTCAATAGAATCACTAGCATGCTGTGCTAATAAGGGCTCAATGCCAACGGTCGTGTTTGGATCGAGGTACTGATTGAGAATGCGCGAGCTAGTGTTGTCATCTTCACCAAGCGCTACTCGACCGTGGCGAGGACCAAGGCATTGGGTAAAAGGCCACAAGGGCATGCATGAGCGATTGTTATTGTATTGCTGTTGGTCTCGGTCGTTCTCGTCGTCTTCTGAATCGTCTGGCAGTAGGATAGGTTGACGTCGTCGCTTCGGGATACAGGATGCCAGAGGGTTCATTTTTTTATGAATGAGCGGTAGTGGGTATGGGCGTGGGGTGGGCGGTATCGGGCAGAGGTAAGGGGGAGAAGAGGTGTTAGTTGCGGGTGGGGAGGAAGGAAGTGTTGGAAAGAACTAACATATAGCGGGGTTGGCTCTCCCTTTCCTCTCTCTCTCTTCCACACGACAGTGAGTGTGTACGACGGGCTTACTATACATGGCGCATAGTAGGCACCTTGATTTCAAGACGTGACACCAATTTCCACTTGGCGCGTGAAGGCACATTAGAATGGCCGACAATGTATTTTACTTCATTTTGGCAGGTTTATAATTTCGAATGATTTAACGGCTACGATAGACCTGTTAAAGCACACATAACCCGTCATTAACCAATGCTTTGATGCGGATTTTAATCAAATAACAGTATATGTTTAAAGACTGCTGCTATAGATAAATACATCATGTAAAGGAGGACGTTTGTTATGTTGTGTGTTGTGTGTTGTGTGTCGTACTTTATATTTCATCCCCATCTTTGCTAATGGTTCCCTTGGACGTTAAACTTCCGCGTCGTTTTGGACCCATATATGCAATATCGGAGGTGGATCGCTGTCTTATTTAACTACTTGTTAAAACTTCTTCAAATTGCTAAGTGCAGTTAACGACAAATATGGCTTGCAGTGTATGTCAGCGCACAGCACTGGGTATGGATGAAGCCATCGTTAAAATACGCGGAACGGAGAAAGTTGTTTTGCTTCGAAAGCTATCCTCATTTGTGCTATGATTGAATACCATCCAGTGGCTCAGTAATCGGATATAGATGTGCTCATAACAACTACAACCTTGCATACATCTGCTAATATCTGACACCATTCCATTATCAATTAACGGTAATACTCCTTCTTGCTTCTCACTGACACCCAAACATTTTCGTTATTGATAACTTTTTTATAACGGTCTGCCAAGGTATCATTAAGGGCTATAGTAATGTACGACATAGATAATCATATATGACCGATATGTTAAGTGTAAGATACTCTTCTTAGAGCCTCCCAAAAACTCTAACAGGATAAACAGCAATACACATTCTGTAAAACGTATTAGAATGTATGTAGCGTGCTTTTGATGTTCAAGATTTTATCAAGCCATACATCATCATTCTATTGATGTATTGTTGGCTCAACAACTAAGGTATACGAATGTTTGACTCATTCTTCTAAAGTAACTTGGGTTACCAGAAGAAAAACGATAAGCCAGCCATACTTACCTCGTTATAGCATTTCCAACGGTTTCGCTTTCACACTCGCCGGATTTACATCTGCCTCGATCCAATATGTTGTCTTCACTACAGCAATTGCCAATCGAAAATGAAACCGCTTTCCAGAGCAGTGGGCAAAAGATTTGTTTGAGAGCAAAGGATGTACATAACAAGCATATAGAATGCCAGATCGAAATTCTGACAATGCCAAGTATAAATCAATGTCGGCTATTCTAATTTACTGATATATACATCCCCAACCCACCCCCCTCACCCACCAAACGATCGCCAGAAGGCAAGGTGCGCCAACTATCAGGAGTATATTGCATGTCATTACCTGCATTGTTGGCCAGTGCTTCTCCCATGAATAATCAAGGGAACATTCCTCTTTGGAGGCAATGATCAACCTTTTGCTTTTCATTTGTAGAGCAGTCAAGTATTTTTTGCATTGACTATCATGAACAATAATATAATGAGCTTGAAAGTATAGGCGGGTCAAAAAACGTGGCAATGAACGTGGCATGTGCCTCAAAAAGAAACCGCTAAAGTTACACACACGCCCAATTAATGAACCGCTTTTTTTTTGCACCTTGAGAGAACATGGGGAATCTCGCCCTTTCTCTTCCCCGTTTATTATTAGCTCATATATTAACTTTCTGACCAACTTTGAATACAGTAGAACAGCAAAGCACAGCTGCAGTAACGACAACAAATAAGCTCCTACACCATGGCCGTGCCGCGATCTTCTTCTTCGTTCTTACCTGCACACGTTCTTGCACAAGATCGCGACAGCGGCATCAGTACAGAAGGTGAATCGGACGCGGAAATGTTCTTCAATAGCAACAGTAACCACAGCAGCACTACTGCAAGTCGTCCCATGACGCGACAAGCATACCCATTCAGCGATGACGAAGAATTGCCGTCGATTCAGGAACAACACTACAACCAGCAAAAACAGCAACAACAACAGCAGCAGCAGCAGCTACTTGAGCACCAACAGCAACAAGAACAGCGTTTAAACAGTGAGGCCGTTTTTAGCTCGGAAAGCTACCACAACCACCAAGCAGAACAAGCCATGGCCTCTATTAAGCAGCTGGTCAAAGAAAACTCATGGAAAAAGGCATTAAAACACAAAAGCGGGGTTCTAGTCTACATGCTATCTAAGCAACAGCACGGCGGTGACAGCACGAACAGCAACAAAGCACCCATATTCAAGGGTGAAAGTGTTATTCATGGATTCTCGCCTCAGTCTGTATTCTACGTGATTGGCATGCGAAAACTTTGGGATAGCGCGTAAGTTTTGAAAGGATAATGGATAGTTAAACATGGTAACTGAAAATGGCAACGAAATAATATCATGATCCAGGTTCGAAGAAGGTCGGCTGATTGAAAATCTGAACGAGACAACATCGATTACATACGAATCATATCACTCTAGTTCCTCATCCAAGTAAGAAGCCATTTCTTCATAGCGTCGGTTACCCATTTCGTAAGACACTCTTATGCTGATACGACGTCACGTACTGTAATTAGAGCCTACGATGTTTCGCTTGTCGAACGGATCGAATGCTCTGCAGACGGCGTCATTTTATTTGCTTGTACCAGCATAGAAACGCCCAAAATCCCAAAAGTACCCGGTCGAACTCGCAGGCAGATGAAGGTAATAGAGTGCTAATGAGTTAGCAGCATTGTCACTTATCACACATCGTCCTGAACGTAACAGCTACCACATTTTACCCAGAAGACTTTGAATTAACCTTCTCTTGGATAATAATCTGCTATCTAGCTACAAGGATGGATTTTAAAGCCACTTCATACAACACCGCCGTCAACAAAAGTGACGTACATTACCCAAGAGAGCGTGAAAGGATGGATTCCCGGACTGACCAAAAAATCGCTTGCACGACGGCCGCTTGTGCTTGCCGATGTCCACAAATACTTGCAGCAAAAAGCAGAGCGGTCCAAAGAAAACAACCGATACCCCGCGACTGGCCTTCCTCCAGGCACTGCCATCACTACAACCAACAGCAATACTACTGCAGGCAACAATGATAGAACTTCCCATCCGTCTTCGCTACTAGCGCCAACAGGCAATGCACATGGTCAACGCAGGCCATCGATCATGGCGCAACAACAACAACAACAACAACAGCAATATCAAAAACCCAAATCAATCTTGCAAAAGACACCAAAAACATCGAGGTAATATTGGATATATAGGATGTCTGCATGCTGTGTAAGGGGGGGGGAAAAGAGAGTGAAAAGTCTAATTTGCAAGGTCACATTACTCTTTATGGCTATAGTCTGTTACACCCGAAAAGTAGCAGTATGCAGAGTATATTAACCAATCCCCCACCGCGTAACTCTTCTCTTCCGTCGCCAACGTCGTCTCGCTCTTCTTCAGTGACACGAAGGATCAAGTTCGCCGACGATGACCTTACATCTCAACGTAGCAGCACACCTTCCTCCATTTCTGCTGTTCACAGCAATAACAACAGCAGTGACGATATAGCATCAGGCCCAGCTTCTCAACAAGAAAGCCACGGCCCCGCTACTGTAGTATTACCAGCATCTCAACAACACCAACAGCAGAATATCAGTAGACTATATCCACCATCACGACATAGAACAAGTAGAAAACAATGCATCGACATGCTGAAACGGCTCGCATCGAGCGATATAGACGAATGGAAGGAAATGGGCGAGCGCAACAGTGCCAAGCTCTATTCGAAATCAGTACAAGGATCGGCAATACCCATTCTTCGGGGCGACGTGACGATCAACGGATCATGGACTCCTGAGCAAGTTTGCTCGGTGATCCAATGCTTTGGTGCACGGAAAATATGGGACGAGTACTTTGAGACGGGCCATGTTGTGGAACGCTTTTCGCAGAAAGAGTACCTTGTCTATATGCAAATGCGCAGTATATTTCCGATCCACAGTCGTGATTTTTCGCTTTTGACTGTGATTGACAGTGATCCAGGCACAGGCACGATTCACGTAGCATCGACAAGCGTATCTGATGGTTTGATTCCGATCATTAAACCGCATGTCCGAGGTCAAATTGTCGTGTATGGTTGGGCGCTGCGTCCACTCAAGGAGAAAGGAGGTGGAGGTGTGCGACTGACCTTTGTATCGCATATGGAGCTGGAGGGCACTACACCTTTGCCACCCGCAATTATTCGCCAGTTGACGATGGAAGTACCTGCATGCGTTGACCGTGTCCAATGGTATCTCCGTCAGCACGGTTGTCCCCCTTACATCCGCCGCGTTGCAGGCAAAATTACGCAAGAACAGTTCGATTCCAAGGATAAAATATACCGCGTATCATTTACCGCCAAGCATAAGCCATCACAACATCGTCAGCATGGCAGTTGGTTTACAGATATACGAACGAACCCGTCCATGTATGGGTTTGGTTTTAATGTGGAGGTGCTGCCTACAGAGCATACTCGGGTGGAGCTGCGAGCGGATGACATGGGTATTCGAGTATATACCTTGGATAATTCGCTAGAAGGCCGTTTGGTGGAAGTCGCCATAGAGCCTAATTTGCCTGGATCTACACCAAAATACACCTGGAATGGTGTGTCATTAAAGGAAGAGGAAAAGAAAAAGAAGGAGGATGAGGCTTTGGAGGAGCAAGTAACGGAACAAGAGCCACAACACCAATACCACGACATCATGCCAGCAACGATGCCACCTACTCCACCGTTAATAGCTACACCCGAAAACGAGGAACAAAAGGTTGATCCATCGATCTCACTGCCACCTGCATCGGACCAGCTTCACCAAGAACAGGATCAATCTTTGCAGCAGCAGCAGCAACAACAGCGACGGCTGGAACCGATAAAAACAAAGTGGGACCCATCAGAATCATGTATGTAAACTCATATATCGCTTCGTCATACTGCACTACTCTGAATACTTACCCTCTTTTTTGTGATCCAGGGCTCCATGCTTTGCATGACTCACGGGTAACTACACCAACCTCAACACGAGATGTAAGTCTGCTGTTGTAGAGTGATGATTATTATCTCACATTGCTGTGTATGATAGTTGCACTAACTCTCTTCCAACCTTTTTATTAGTTAATGCGACGACGAAACAGCCACGTTTTGGTCATCACTGATGAGCTTTCTTTCACGGGACCCCAACTATCTGTCATCTTTCTACTTATGGCGCTATGCTACTACATGGGCAAATTCTCTTGTCGATGTTAAAAAAAGCACAACCACACACATACACCCCTTATATCACACACCATCATCTGTATTATTTCCAGCTATACCTCATTCTCTCTTTTTGTTTTGTTAGAGCTACTGTTTGTACATATAATATCGCTTAACTTGTTGTTTTTTTTTCTTTTTCTCTTTTTCTTATTAATTTTGCATCATAAAAGATAATAGACAGTGGTATATATCTTGCATATCAGCTTCTTTTACAGCTTGGATTCTTGAGGCTCTTTGTACAAGACAGCAAAACCGTTGGAGAGAACGACACGCTCGCCAACCTTGGCAACAAATACTACGCCATCCGTCTTTGGCTCAGGACCAGGCACCTTCCACATGGATATGGTCACAGTTTCACCTGGCAGGACGGGTTTAGCGAAACGAGCATGGATCGATTTGAAGCGAAGGCGATCATTGTCACCAAAGCTCTTCAAGACGGAATGTGCAGCTTTGCCGTACGAGCATAGACCGTGGAGAATGGGTCGTGGGAATCCGACGGCCTGAGCAATGTTTGGGTCAGCGTGGAGTGGGTTAAAGTCTCTGCAAAAGAGAATAGCATCTGTTAGACCGCTAGCTCATCCTTCGTTCTTGATTTCAAAACCATTGAAAACAAGACCTTTACCCATTCAAACGGAAGATGAGGGCCTGGCTTTTAGTGGTGGTGAAAATGTCAGTTGCGTCTGCTGGTCGGTTAGGTGGAGCGTAGCTTGCAGGTGTAGGTCCCTTGGGTCCCTATTCCGTCTCTTATATCAATCTCCATTCTTCTCTATCGCTGCCCTTTTTTTTCTACCGAAAAGCCAGTATACTTACACCCCAACCTCCATAGTCGCGAACAAACATGCCGAGCGACAAGCGATAGTAGTGTACATTATCGGTCTCACCATAGAGATCCACCACAGTGTCAAGCAACATGCCCGATCCTGATTGTGTCGTTCACATGTTAGAATTTTTCCTTTGCGGCACGTGAAACAGCATACGTTTATGCGTATACACACCTTTATCATAGACGCCGCGTACAGTTTTCGTGGAGCGGAAACGACCACCTTCGACAGGGAAAGGATTGATCACTTCAACCGTCTGCTCACCATGCACGATCTTGTTTGGATCGTACCAAGGCATGCCAGGCACCGACCCGCCGGCTTGCCAGCGCTCGACGAATGAATTGACGTCCCAGCCAGCGTCCTTGAGAAGCAATGATACTGGGTAAGTGGGGAAAGGACCAAAATCCAAGTCCAACTCGTACAGCCATTGAAGTTCTTCTTCTGGAATGCCGATCGAAAGTGCATACAATAGAAAATCGCGTCGAGTGCATGCCACCTAGCGATAGCAGAAGGGAGTGTGTCAGTGGATATGGTTCTTTCTTTTTCATGTGCTATAGAAGAGAAAAGAATGCGCCTTACAATATCAGGGGAGCTAACGTGGCCGACGGCTTTAGATAGATCTGGCTTGAATCCTTCGACAGGCATAATAAATTCGGTATGAGAGGGTGACAAAGTGTGTAAAGAGAAAAGGAAAAAAAGAAAGAGGAAGAAAGAAAACTGTGGGGTATTAAGAAGATACGTTTATAATGCAGCAAAGCCGACAGTGGCTATTTTAGGGTTACACGGGTGGGGTTGAGCTGTAAGAAGAGCAATTCAGGCGTGCGACGATCACACGCGCATAATGCGCAAACCTAAATGTATGTAATCCTTTTCGTTCTATTAGTTCTAAACTTGTAACGAGGTCATGGCGTCATTAAATAGAGCTGGCCAGTTACTATAGCAACCATTGGAACAAGTGGAGAAAGTGCTCGAATCTGCTATGCAATTTCCATAGATGAGTTTCCCGTCCTTCTTTTCAGCAGTAGAGAAGTCAGGCTCGACGTGTACCAGACGCGAAGTACAACCGACTGGGAAAATGGCAAGGCACGGTTTTCCAGCGTTGTTATTCTCCAGCTCGATAACTTGAAATATCCGCTCAGCTGCTGCTTCTCTACTCGTTTATATAGCCAAGACCAGAGCTGCATATTAAACTTCTTTGATTTTGCTGTGCAGCTTTAATCTTGTGCTTGGGTGTCGGATTTGTTGTCGTCAAGAACATTAAACCAAAAGAAATCCGGCCGTCTGCACTACGCTTTTGTCATCGCTAGTTGTACAAAACCTTGGCGTTGTGCTTTGATCACCGTTCATCGTCAACATCTATAAGCGTAAAACATTGTACAGCTTGGTCTAATTTCGGCAGAAAGAACGGATAGAATCATTAGTTTGAAGTCCTTGTATCAGTAGCGCTGTACTTTTGAGGTGTTTTATATACCCCTTTTTGGTCCGGCCTCGGCATGTAATTATATTTTTCGCATCTGGCACCATTTTGTCTTGATGGCAAATATTTACCTATCGAGCAATACAGACTTTTAGATAGTGGCTTTTAAAACAATCCGTCGAACGTAATTCATTCATCAAACTTACCCTTCCTCGAAAAGAACACATAAATGTTGGTGTTGCTGCTTTTCACATTTTGTGAGTGACGGGGATACACATATGTGTCGTGGGGCAGCTCCTTGTACATTGTATGATTGCGATGTATATGTTTTAGAATTGTTTAGCTGGCTTTTTTGCTTCCTCTTTATGTTCGCCTCCAGAGAGATTGGTGCTATATTCAGTGCTGCTTAGTATCATGTATAAATTTGTACAATGCATGGTGCTTTAGGAGGCCATTTCTTTCCATTAAATTAATAGAACAAAGCTATCATTAATCAAGGTTTATTAATCATGTTGCTAAATATTTGATTAATATCGTACCGGTGATGTTGTCCGGAACACTATGCTGTTTTCGGCGAGCTTTATCAAGGACTCTTGCATTTTCTCCAGGGTCGTGTCCGTATGTTCTTTAGCATTCACTTGCATTAAAAGTTCAATGGATTGTTACATACAAGTTACCGTTTGTGTGGAAGCTGGTCATGTATGCATACCATTAGTAACTATATCATCAGACATGATCGTAATGCTTACATCTAACTAACTTACGAAGCATGGTATATAAACTTATACGTTGAAAATATGAATAAAATTCTGTGTACATACCGAATGTGATCCTTAGCTCGCTGTAGGTTTAAAATTTCCTGACTATTTAAAAAAATAGCCCTTTTTAAATGTTGCAAGATTCTATTAGGGTGGAACTAGCTTTGCTGTATCAAATATCAAGCTGTTAGAATAAAAGTATCACGAAGATCAAATGGAGCGAGGTTCTAAGGATGTAGCAAGAAACATTTGATAACTCTGTAATTTCAGGAGGTGCAATCGTATAGGACAAAGATGATCCGGATGAGGAGGTGTTTGGGAACGCAAGTGAGAAGAAGTACAGCTCTACTTAGTAGCTGAGATATCTATCAAGAGTAGTACATAGGATAAATCTATAAATGACTTAACAAAACTACAGCATAAATATCACTGAAAAGAACATGATTTAAGAATAAAAAGATATGACAAAAGATGTTTTGGAAGTCCCATTTATTCGAAAGGTATGAAAGGGCTACCAAAAGTACATTCCCTTTTAGTATATCCAGTAAATATAGCTGTAGATGAACGACAACAGTTACTTAAAGTTGGTTAACGAAGAGCTTTGAGTTATAAAACTTTTTCCCGGTAAATAACGACAATGCGAAACAAACAAAGACAGCCCTCCGTTATAAAGGTGTTCAACGGGAACTAAAGGTTTGTTCGGTTTACTGATTTTGCGAAAGCGTGAGAAGGTAGTCTCGGATCAATCGATTGTAAGGCAATAAACCCTTTTATGTACAATGTACTGGCAAGTGGACTATGTAGATCATCTAATACATGGAATATTTTTACATGTACAGATGTCCAAAAAGCATAAAAACAGAAAGAAATGCTATAATATTTTATATAACAGTAATGAGTATGCTTTGTAAGTGTTATGTGGTATTACATTGATGCTCTACTCTCGAATTCGCTTTTCTTCGGGAACAGTACTATGGTAATCTTGGAGTGACTTTTCGTAATATCCTTTTTCTAGGAACATGTGGGCACCAACCATAGCGAGAGATTTGCTAGCAATCATTGCGCCTTCATGAGTTGGCAGCACCTGCAGCTTCGGCGAATGCGTGGGTGTGGGGGAACGCATCAGTGTAGACGTCAGACGTTGGATGTAACCCGGGCATAAGAACAGAAACGTTGCCGAAATCTGAAACCGCACACGATATTATTATTTGAAAAAAGGTCTATATCAGAAAATGGCACTCCGTTGATACATCTAAAAGAAAGAGGAAATTTGATGGCACTAACCTGTAGAAGCACCGACGTGTATTACTTCTTGAGCTTGACGCGGTGGGATAGGGACGCCACCAAACGCGTCATAATACTTGGCGTATGTTTCAGCCATGACTGAGTTCTGTACAATATCTATACATTATAGGTAGTACATTGTGTTTGTTTTGGTTATCTCGGTCGTGCTCAGTGAGTGATGCGTAGTATACAAAAGCACAAAGTGATAGTATTGTCAACTTACTCTTGCACATGCCAGCACCGTGCCACGTGATAGTATATTCACAGCCGGTTGCTAACGCTGCTGCCTTAAAACAATTTTCAATCTTTATCATCAGCTCTACAACACGATCGGTAGACGGTGCACGGATGCAGAAGCGACCCGTTGTGCGGTCAGGGATAATATTTGGCTATGCATAATGATAACCAAAACCGATTCAGTCAACTCATATTCCCTTTCTTTTTGATCTTGTCGCTTTTAAACATACCGCTTTACCGCCTAATTATTTTGATTGCAATCAGCCTACTTGTTAGTAAAAAGGATACATACAGAACTAGGCAGCAAGCTTTGCTAAGAATAAAGACGAGAGAAACAGCTTACCATCGGTAATAATTCCATGGACACGATCAGTCCCATTAGTTTCTGTCGGAGCAACCCAACGTTAACCAATGCTTGGCAAATAGTGTCGAGCGCATTTACACCTATTATAAGCAGTAGAAATGTGTTACTTATTTATCATTTTCATCGAAACCCCGGATTTGTGTAGCTACAAATTCTCTCTTACCATTCCATGGTGCGCCACCGGCGTGAGCGGGCTAAAGGTGGGATAATACAGAACGGTGTGTATATGATTAGCAACTGTTCGTTTAATTATTCTTAGCCCACTTGGTATTTTTTCATTTCACTGCTTACCTTTCCTCGAAATTCGATCTCAAAGTTTTGAATAGCATTACATGACACACATGTTGTATTATCGGGACCAGGATGAAGCATACTGCAAACATCAACGTTGTCCTGGAAGGCTCCTTTCTTAGCCATTAAGATTTTATCATCCAATTCTTCTGCATTGTATGAATCAACAGAAACGAAGGGTTAGTGTTTCTATGTGGAAAGTAAGTTCATACTGTCGTGATGAAAAGCATGCATCAAGTGAAGTTCATTATGACAGGCGTTTGTTTCTACCTTCACTAGGAGTACCAAAAAGAACGACCGTTCCGGACGCGATTCCCTTGTCCAACAGGGCCTTCATAGCCATTGCGTTCGCAAGACCTGTCACAGCAATGAGATTGTGTCCACATGCATGGCCTATCCCCGGGAGCGCATCATACTCGGAGCAGAATCCGACACGTAAACCAGTTCCTTTAGTGTATTTGGCCATGAAAGCTGTTTCCATATCATATGCATGGCGTGCCACAGTGAATCCGTTCTTCTCCAAATAATCTGTCAGGACTTCATGAGCGTGATGTTCGTGCATGCTAAGCTCAGGGTTTTCGTGCAACTGTAATTATGACAAGATACGAGTTAATTTGCTGTGTTGACATAACAGATGATAAGGATTACGGTGAGATCTGAATTATCAACAGCTAAGACTCACGTCGCTGCTAATTTCTCTTAGCTCAGGAGTAATACGGTCAATTTCTGCGTAGACTACGCTTTGTGCTTCAGCGAGAAGTGATGACTAATTATAGCAAAAAGATATATCAGTATACGAGACTACATTTTACTTCGGTCATCCTCTTTTTGCTTTTTGCGTCTCAATTACATTGGCAGAAGTACTGACGATGGGAGATGTTCATAAGAGTTAGGATGATGATGCAGGTCTCCTCTTGCCTTTTCTAATAAATTACGGATTAATTAATTAACAATAATGATGTTCACGTCAATTCCAAAAGCCTGAAATTAATATGGTCGCGGAACAGGTGATCGCTATAGTTATAGTAGCAGTAGACTACGTGATACGAGTCTCACTATCTCGATTTTTTTTTTTGCAGAGCAATTACCATCCACACCAGCACACCATAATCCACATAATGGTGAGGTGGCTGGTTGATAAGTGGAGTAGTGGAGCGTATTGATCTATTAAAACTATGCAAAAGTGTGAGTAATTATTACCTAACTATTGATGACCGAAATGATGGAAATAAATGTATGATATGACGCGTGCACTTCTTCGAAGAAAATTGCAGATCGATACAAAATGGCGGGATACATGGAGCAGACCTGGAATGGCTCTTTGTCATGCAAAAGTAATTTATAGGTACTCGAACGGATAATAGTTTGCATAATAAAGCGATTCACGCAGCATTCGACATATGACAAATCCAAGAAAGGACGCTCGCATACATAAACAAGTGCACATTCAGTTTAATCTTTTTTGGTTATAATTAATTATTAATAAGTGTATAAAATAGATATCAAAAGGTTAACCGGACCTCGTGTGTGCATCTTTTTAGTGTGTAAAAGTATATATGTTTAAAGCTAAAAGGTAATGACGGGTGCGCTCTGACGCCGTCGTCCAGCCCAGCTTCGTCTTGTCACAGTTCTAGTGGGCATACACTGCGGAAGGCCTTGTTGCAATGACGGCGGTGCTGCCGGCAGCTCGCTTGTTGTCACATCAAAGCCATTGTTTTCATCGTTGCTGTTGTCGTTCTCGTCGTCGGTATCGTCGTTTTGAGAAATTCCATCTGGAAGTTGCCGTGAAATATTTTGTCGTTCGTTTTTTGACACTCGTAGCGTTTCTATTATTGCTTCTTCTGTGGTCGTTGTAGTTGTTTTTGCGGATATGGATGAAGATAATAGTGATACAGGAGGCGGAAGAGGAAAGGAGAGAGGAGTAGATGATGCATCGGATTCAGGGGTGACATATTCGTACAGTAGCATATAAGGATTGCTCTGCAGGACTTCTTCTATGCTGCATACGTCGACTTGTTCGTCCGAAATTCTGTACCACGTATTCTCGTCGCCATGAAGTGTATTGTTCCTATCATTGCATTGACGACAATGACACGTTTCTGCAACAAGACGCCGTTTGTATGCAATAAAATGACCGAAATCGTGACTGCCGTAATGTACAATAGTACCCATCAACTTGTACCGGCATTCCATACCGCCTCCTCGTTCTTCTTGCTCTTCGTCTTCTGAGGGTGGCGTTGTTCCTGCTGCTGCCGAAATAGGCTCATGTGGCTGTGTGTTGAGAGTACCATTGGTGCTATAGGGTGCCAAGTCGAGGAATTCCGGAAACATGATTCGACAGCTGTTCTTGAACACAGCGCCAGATGGATGGAACGTAGATCGGGATAAATGAAGGCATAGGATCTTTGGTGATTTGGCAAACATAACTTGTTTGCTAGACATTCGGCTCACAGCCCGTAGTGACGACGATTTCGCATTACCCCTGTTACTGCTACTGCTGCTGCTGCTGATGTTCCTGCTATAGTCGTCGTCATCTTGAATATTACCCACGTTGAGCCGATGTTCCAGTACTCGTCGTCGTTTCTCTATCATGACCATCTCGGAAAGAACCGATCGTCGGCTTGCACGGTCTTGAATTCTCTTGGCCTGCTCGTTAAGGGCATCCACCTGGGCGGACATCGAACTGACCGTATCGATCAATGCGCATTTTCGGCATGTGGCATCCGAGAGGTACTCCATTGCCGTAAACTCATTTAAGCAATCGTCAAGTGTTGTTGAGCTCTACATGTTAGAACGCATATTTTTTAATAACAGTGTATTTAGAACAATATCAGTCAGTGTCCAGCTGTCACATGGTAGTTTTAAAAAAAATTCACTGCGTTCCTTTGGATCAGATGATGATCCTCCTTTTTCGCCTGCTTACCGTATCCGGAAGGGTGAGTTGTACATTGTTGAACGAAAAATGTCGGATCGCCTCCTAGAAAAGAAAAGAAAACCTTGCAGTCAATACCTCTCTTCCGGTTTAACCATTTCCCTCCCCCTCTCATAAGAAAACACCTACAGTATAACCACATTGCATACAAGACAGACGACTAGCTAAGAGGCCAGTGAATGGATTTTTTAGTCGGTGATGGATCTTGTAACTCAACGACGACGGTGCCAGGATATCCTTCAATCCTCCCATAACCGACGCAGCCATAGATGATTGTAGTTTTTCCTCCTCAACGTCGATTGCGCTCGTTATCAATTGAAACAGTTCTTGTGCGTCTTGTTGATCACGGCTATTGATCCGTCGACCTGATACGACTGATACAATGTCGACAGGCTTGAATGAGGAGCGCTTCAAAAGTGGTTGGTTCAGCCGACGCAGCGTGGTGGCCAAGAACCATGAGACTGGACGAGCTCGTGAAGGTTGGATTTGTTCAAGATAAAGTTGCAAGCGGGGTAATGACGACAGGACCTGATAGCGTAATGATGTTGTATGTATGTGCGTATGCATATATGTTGTTGCGTGTGGTATACGTTGAGTTGAGAAAGCACCAATACTCAATCAGATAAACAAAAGATTTGTCTGCAACTTTACCTGCAAGACCGAGTTAAGAAAACATGTATTGCCTGTGTTGACGAGTCCCGAGACATAGTAATAAGAATGATAATTGTTGCTGCCGTTACTGCTGCTTGTTGTTATCGGGTCACGCAGACAAATCGAGTCTAATTCGGAATTGCTTGCGTGATAAATTGAATCCAGTGCTGCTGCTGTCTGCTGCTGATATGCTGCATATTGCTTATTTGTCATTGTTGTCGTTGACGATCGTCTACTGCCAACGCTGACCAAAGACACGGGCAGCCGTAACAGTATGCACGTAGTAGAGTAAGCGTAGGCCAAAAGATGCTGTAGACCTAGATATCGTACAGCCGAGAAAATTTCCGAGTAGTCGTGATGGAATGGAAATGCCCTAAAGGCAATCAGGATGACCAAGACGACTGCAATGCCGAGAATTACATGAATAAAATTGGTCAGGTCGATCAACAGTGACTGGAGGCCTTCCAGAGTCAACTGCATTTCTTGTTCAAAGTAGTAGTGGTTGGGTTATGGAAGATGTTGTAATGGGGGGATATTGGCGGGACAGTTTAAGGGGTTGAGCAACCTTTGTTTCTTAAACAAAAAAATAGAAAAAATAAGTGTGTGTGTGTGTGTATGCTGGCTGTTAGGATCTTCGATTGGCTGCCAGTAAAACTGCGCAGTTTTGCGTGTCTGTCTGTCTGTCTTGGGTGGTGGGGAAGCACATGCAAGCAGCCAACAAAGGGCTTTTCTCTTCTTGGTTTACTTGCTCTTCTTTCTCTTTCTCTCTCTCTTTCATTCCTTTTCCTCCTCCCCTTTCTTCTCTTTTTTTCCCTTCTTTTTTGCTTTTGGTCCTCTTGTATAGTTTATAAGGAACAGGCTTTTCCCATATTATTTTTTTGTCATTCTTTTCTCTATTAGTTTTTCTGTTATATTTGGGTATGATTAGTACTTTTGGTCAGAACAACATCGTTTACAGTGTTGACTATTTTATTAACGTCGCTTCTGCGTCTTTTATAATCTCGTATCAAGCTCACTGAGCGTTGTTGCGCTGGGGGATCAAGAAGCTACAAGCTCACCCTGAGCTTTAGTTCCTTTTTTATTTTATTTTTACTATTATTATTACGTTTATTATTTCGTTGTTCTTATATACATTTTCCTATTCTATCACAACATCCCATACATCATCATCAGCATCTTCAACTCCTTTTTTGCACAATCATCTTTCGCTTTTCGTCCTTTTTGAACATCCAAAAAGCACAGCAGATACCCTTATTAAACCAGATGGTCTTCTACGACGGTATAAAGTTCGCATGTCTCTCGTGCATCAGGGTTTGTATATAGGGGAGGAGAGAGGTACACGGGTTGGGGGCGATTGCAATTTTTCTTATACTTAATACTTTTTTCCCGATCAGGGCCACCGCTCATCCAATTGCAACCATGTGGATCGCCCGCTTATGGAGGTCCGCAAGAAGGGCAGACCCGTCAGTCAGTGTGCCTACTGTAGAGATCTGCGCAAGACCAAACACATCCACGCAAAGTGTGTTTGCACTGCTTCCAACAAAAGTACGTGCCCTCTTCTATTTGTCCCTTTTCAATGGGTGTAGATACCTCTTTGTTTCCACGGCAACACTCCGTAAGGCGACGCCATAGGAACAAAAAATTTAAAATCAACATTGGTTTTGTGTTTCCATAGCAACAACAACAATGGCAACAACAAATCAACCATGCCGACAAGAAGAATGTACATGTACTGAGAAGGCTAGAGTCCTGCTGTCTTCTGCGAAGCGGCGCAAAACGTGTTCCTCTTCACCCAGGACTACTTCTTCCGCTGGATTGGCGACGACCACGACAACCGCCGCGGCGGCCGCGGCCGCTGCTGCTGCAGCTGTGGTTGCCGCAACATCAACAACAGCAGCAGCATCTCAGCCGCCTTTCTTGCCTCAAACGGAGTTTGATATGCTGTTGGCTCAACCCACACTTACGCAACAGGTGCAGCAGGAACCGAACGAGGAAGACGTGGCATCGCTCTTTGACAGTATACTCCAACAACAGCAACAGGAACAACAGCAGCAGGAGCAACTACAGCTGCTGCAACAGCAGGAATCATCAAATGCTAATACTACTCCTACCTGTGCTACTGCAATTTCAACAAGTAATAATACCTCGTGTACTACTGCTACTGCTGCTGCGACTAATACTGCAGCAATGCCATCTTTCTGTGGAAGTCTGATACCCCAGCATACTTGCTTGCCACAATCGCTAGACGCGCCAGCGGAATCTGTCATGGTGACCATCACGCCCCTATCGAGCAACATTGTCCCATGCACTGCTTCTATCCGAACAAGGATTGTGACATGCTACTGTGGTGACAATTGCACTTGTCCTGGCTGTCTTGTTCATCAGCAAAATAATGTCATGTTTGAAACGTCATGTCCGTCTTCCGCCACCTCTTCATGCTATAATGGCTCGGATGATGAACAGTGTCACAAATAAAAACCATATATAAACATAAACAAACAACCTATCTGCTATAATACGTAAGCATAGCTTTTTTCTCCTCTCTCTCTCTCTCTCTCTCTCTCTCTTTACTCCTTTTTTTTTTCTCTCAAATCTTTGCGTATATATTCACGCCCTATATCCGTGTCTTTTTCCTTTCAAGTTAAGCATGGTAAAGATCCTGTGCTATTGCTCTATAACCAAAAAAAAACTCTATAACGACATACAGTGTACATATTCACGCTCAATTTTATCCCCAAAAACTCCTCATATAGGCTGATCAATTGTCACAAGAAGAAATTGAAGAATGCAAGGCATCCTTTGATCAGTTTGACAGGGTAAGAAAAAAGAGATGGAGCAGTTTTTAGTTTTCAAAAAGCATGAACCAAAATAATCATACAAAAAACAAGGATGGTAACGGAACGATCGATGCCAAAGAACTTGGTGGAGTCATGAGATCCTTGAATATGGTAGTTAATGACACTGAGGTCAAGAGCATGATTCGAGAGCTTGATGCCGACGGCAGTGGCTCGATTGATTTCAACGAGTTTCTAAGTATATTCAATAGGTAAAGCTTTTTGTTATCACTTTCATCATATCATTTCTACGTGTACACGCGTATTAAAAAAATTACTGACATACCACATGACATTATCATTCACTGGGTTATTTTTCTGTGGCGGGGTTGAACCACCTTAAACCAACAATAATACGCACGCATATACAAACGGTGGGGTGGAAAACTAGGTCAAAAGAAAATAAGGCGGATATACAAAAGGAACTGATGGAGACGTTCAAGGTGTTTGATAAAGACAATGACGGCACCATCTCGGCCAGCGAGTTGCGAGAAGTCATGAATAGCTTGGGTAAGCTTTACTCCGATGAACATCCTTAATTCCTATCATACTACTAAGCGAGTCTCTGACACTTGATATAACCCTTTCAATAGGTGAGAATACGTCAGAAGATGAGTTGGAGCGTATGTTGGAAGAGGCAGACCTAAATCAAGACGGTGTCATCAACTACGAAGAGTTTGTTAAAATGCTGGTAAGTATTATTCTTTAGTTATGCTACTACACAGCGTCAGAGTTTACTAACCTGAAAAGTAACATAATAGGGTCCCTAAATCAAGCTTTTGCCACCTTCATGTAATACAATATACTTCATATTGTTTTGAAAACTCTTTCCACAAATAAGAAGCGAAAAGCTTATAAAGAAGCCAAGAATTGCAGCAGCAGCAGCAGCAGCAGCAGCAGTTTTACTGCATATACTACCAGCCACCGTGCATTTTTAAAAGGTTTAAAGGAGTAGATGAGCTGGGGTCATGATTATTTGGTCTGAGATCTAGCGCGTCATTAGGCGCTGAGAAAAAGTTTCTGGGGTCACTGTTGGCTTTTTTCAAATATGGCCGGTGTACATTGTTGTTTGTGCTGCTTTCTCTAACTGCCTACCACATTACATACGAAAGAGCGAATATCACGCTACAAGAGTAATCTATTTGTATGTTATATACACAAGTAGCAGCAAGTCAGTAAACTCATCTCGCGAAAAATACCAAGTTGCTGTTACTACGGGCAATAGGGAGGCGGAGAAAGGTACCATGACCCCAAGACCACATTGTAAGGTCGTACCGGTGTATCGTAAGCAAAGAAGCAGATGCAATAATTAGTAGAACTTTACTATTCCTGTCTAGTTTCTTCTGCGGACATTAACCCTTCTTCTCTACCCCTGTAATATGCAGAGTATGATATGGGCAGCTCAACTCATAATATTGCATTTTGCTATCTATTTTTTTTTACTTGTTTCAATGCAAAGCACGACCGTAACCAAACCCTGTGATTATTTATTATAATCAGCTCTTGCTGTTGTTGGTTTAGAGAAGAATACTCTAGCCAAGTGGTATTATTTTATGCAGAATAATTGATACGTCATGCAGCAGAATCATAATCTAGAACGTGCTATATACATGGGGCTTAATATTTGCCAAGAAGCAGGTGGAAAAGCGAAAAGTTTTTCCTACTCCTCGCATCACCTCGCGTCCATTCATCAAGCTCACCTCCTCGTTCAAAAAATATAAATCCAGGCTTAATACAGCGACCAGGATGTAGGTGTTGGTCAATTACTAAACGCGACCTACCTTTTTGTTCTTACTTCCCCAAGTAACACAGATTTGTACTAGCAAATATTGACAGGTTGTCATCCTGTCCTCTTCTTGATCGTCTTATTTGAAACAGTTGAACTAAGCTCCGTGTACCACAATAAACAAGATTTTATTGACAATTATGTTTATTTGTAATACGTGTCTTTCGTGTTAATACATAAGTCCATCTTCTGGTCATTGATCGCTCTAGCGTACTACTTTGAGGTCGAATCAAATAAAAGTGACTATGCTGGTCGATCGTCTGCTGTCTATACAGCTCACAGAGTAGCCTCAATAAATGGCTTACACATTCTCAATCCCTTTTAGATTTCGCTGGTTGCTGACATTCCGGAGTACTAGTCAGCAGTAGGTCACCTCCTCGTCAATGCAGTTTAAGCGTAGATCAAGAAACATTAACTATGCCGTTGGCGTTGGCTATGTTGTTGTGCGTTGCTTACTGTTGGTTGCCACATAAACGACTGACGATTACCATCACCATCGCAGCTCAACAAATAAGTTGAGTGAGGGTGCAATAACATTGAAACCAGCAGCAGTTCTATAAAGATCAGGGGAAAAAATTGTCATACAATCAATGATTGGATCAGCTTATATATTTTATTTAATTATATACAATTTCCAAGTGACTAAGTGTAAGTGGAGCGATAATAACTAGCTGTACAATGATCGATATTATTCCTCATTTTTGCGTAATCGCCAGGCCAAATTATGGATTAAGAATAGCACCCGTCTCTGATTAAAAAACGAGTAGTTGGTTGATAGATTGGTGATATATTCGGTGAAGTGGTCCACTGTTCTTCCTTTTGCTTCCTTTCTTCCCTCTTAAAAGCCACAACCCTGTACGATACACTTCAGTTCTCATTTAAATGGAGTCTCATTGCTCTATAACCACTGAGGATCTTTCAAATCTGGTAATAAAAGGGATTTGCCATGACCCATCAACGCCAACTGCCGATTTGTAACAACAGCTTGTCTGTAAATCCTTTCCAACGGGGGTTCTTCTGGACGATGCTGTAACGCTATTCAATGAAAAGAGAAAATGGTTATGTACTCCTCTTATTACTCAATCCTCTCTTGTACTACCTCTTTCTCGAACATCCCACGGGAAGAAAAAATTCGCTTACTTAGCATCACCGAATTGAGTTTCGTGGCCAATTGTTCTCGTTTAGATATATCCACCAAGTACGCCATTCTACCCGCAGAAGGATTTGAGTACGCAAGGAGTGAGAATATCTCCTGCCAATAAAGAAAAACAAAGAAATGGAAGAGCACATGCCAAGTCAGAGTAATAAAATCATCCACTGCCGTCCACTGCCCTTGATAGAAAAAAAAAACTTACCCTTAACCTTGATTCTACTTCGGGACTAGAGTTATGACGATATTCGTATCTGAGTTCTTGGCCATAATCCATGATTTTCTTCAAAACGCGGTCATTCGTTGCTCCCTCATCAGATAGCACAAGCCCACTATCCGTAAAGCCATTATTCCTTCTGTTGTAGGGACTGCTACTGCTGGTGTTACTCTGTCGACCCCTTTTTTTCCGCGTTGATTCTTGCTGATCAATATCCATTTGATCGTCATCACTGCTGCCGCTTAATGATGGAGACCGCAGCTGCTGCTGCTCACAGACTTGTTGACTGTACTCACAGACCATTTCAACAAATTTCTGTGTCTTCAACTCAAACATGATATCGTGCGCAACGGGATTTTCTCTATCCATGCATTCTGGGAAGTAGGTTTGTGCAAGTTCAATGGCCTTATCAATATCACCGTGCAATATGGCCTTGCGGATACCTTGTCATAAAAATTATTGTTGTTTTTGATGAATATAATGTAGCATTATGCCGGATAAAGCAACCCGCTAATGAAAAAGAATAAAAAACCTACTTTGCCGTTTGAACATATCCTCCTCCTCTTTATCGTCCGCTTTGGCTGTTCCGCTGTGGGACAATTCAAGTGTCCGTCCGGAAGCATGTTTGATGTTGTTTAATGCGGCTTTGGCGGTGCCCATGTATCCCTGGTACACCAAGTAGGACATAACAAGGCGATCCATGGTTTCCCCTGCATCAAACGTGCTTCCCATGTCTTCCCCCAGCTCCTCTCGTTCTTTTAGGTTTTGATATATTTCGCGTTTTTGCTCCTACAAACAAATATGTCAAACAAGGAGAAAAGGCTTAGCAAAAGGCCATTTATCAATATCTCACCATCTTAAACTATATATCTTTTACATTTGTCTGCTACGAACCCAGTGCAATTTCCCCTTTCCATTTTCTCTATCCAGTTCTTACTCACCTTGACATAGTGAACAATATCAAATACAAATGGGTCCTGTCCAAAGTTAACTGTGACATGCTCCCCGGGAGTCCGTAAGCCAACGCAAGGGTATAAATGCATTGACGTTTTGAGCGAGCGGAATGCGATACCCAAATAAGTACCATTTTTGGTATAAAATGCTGTTTTATCTGCCATGTTGATTCCGCATCCGATCACATCGCCTGTCGTAAACCTTGGCCCATATGTCTTTCCTGTGCCAGACTCTTCAAAGGAGTGACCATCATCTCCATGATATCCCCATGAGTCGTTATCCCATCCTTTTAGATGTATCAGTACAACTCGGTTTGTTTTTTCTCGAACTTTATAGAAATCACCCCCACTACCCTTCTCTTCTTTCCATCCCTATTAATGTTCTCAAGCTCACTTAGAAAGCACTGTACCTGGTAATCGATCTAATCCGTTCTTTCCAGAGCAAAAGCCAATACCAATGAATCCGTCTTCGCCTTTAGATAGCACTTTTATTTCATAATAGTAGACACCACATTGACGTCTTATCGGGAAGTTGCTACGAACCGAAGCTGCGTGTGTTTCGGTTTTTCCGGGACCTTTTTTAGCCCAGTTTTAATATTAGCAAACTGAGTAGATTAAAGACGAGAGAGAAAGTATATGCTGCTTTTACCAGTGTAGACGAGGTCAAGTCCACCATTCTCTACCTCAAGATGGCGTGACTTATCATGACGATTCCATATGGATGGCAAACATAGATCTGGTAATTTTCGTTCGTGCGCCATTATTGCAGTATCTTCTGTTATAGCGCGTCGCCTTTGCATCTGACGCTGCTGTTGTTGTTGCTGTTGCTGTTGCTGCTGCTCTCGTACCAAGGAAGCATAGAGTGTGTTCTGTAGATAAACTGGTAAGTGTGTAGGACTGACGGGAATCGCTGTGCACCGTCGTTTGGCACTTTGTAACAGATGTAACGGAAGCACATTGCGAGAAGAAGACGAAGAAGAAGCACTAGTATTGCTGCTGGGACTATTGATGCTGAGACCGTGACTGCGTGTGACGCTAGTGAAAGGCATAGTCAATAGAGAGCTCTGATAAAAGAAGTATGAAAGAAAAAGAATAAAAAAGTTGTTGAGAAAAAAAAGGGTAATCTGCAGGAAAGCGCCGTATCACGCGTGTCGACTTTTTGAGTTCATCCCCAATAAACTGCTCCGATTCGATTTGAATTCATGCCCGCAATCGAAGGCCGATGTTCTGAGGTAAAGACTTCTATCACTCTGTGTTTACAAAACCTGATCCTGTCCTGCTAGTACGATAACCACTGCGATCCTTTGATTGAGCGAGTAGCAGCTATAGCTACGCTCTTCGCACAGCAACCACTGACATCCCTAAGTGGCTGTCTATCTTCAAACGTTATTTTCTTTATCTTTTGGCAGACACCTCCGTTTTCGTCAATAAAACTGTACTTGTTTGGATAATCATCAATATTACCGCTTAATACATGTCTAGCAAGCTTAGCGATAACAAGTTGTGGCTACTCCGTTATGCTGTTGCTAGCTACTAGATACTGTTATCTGCTGAAATGGACATACTCGCTAAACCGTGGGATTTATAGCGCACAGCTTGCTCCATTTAAGGTTTAGCACTAGGCTTGTTGCTGCCGATACTTTAGCTGTTATGTCACCCGAGCGTACCCTTATTTATCGCTACTCTCTGCATCATACCATCATAGTGAGCTTTGAACCCCCCAGTAAAGTTATTTATTGGCAAGTGAAACAAATACACGATTCAAGCGCCCAGTAGCTGGTCTTTATACATCAAGTGTTGGTAACGAGCGCTTTTTAACTGATCACTGACGAATAACTGTATACCAAAAGAAACATACAGTTTTGTGAATGGACTTATTCAACTTTTTGATACTTTGTACTGGTGATCCTCGGCGAAGTTGATTGCTCCCGAAGTCAAAGCAGCTACCAAGTTTTACCTTTTGCTACCCCCTCTCAAGCAGAGAGCCCAATAATATTAACACCGATACTTGTCTCTAAGGTTTCTATCATCTTGTCTTATAATCTGGGAAAGCTGCTATATTCTGGGTCTCTGAAAATACTAGAATGAATCGACAAGCTATGTTGGGAATGGAGCAAAGGGGCTTCTAGTTAATTATTCTGGTTTATTGCTCTACATTAGAGAGATCTGTATATATATGCTTATGGATTTCATCCACAGATGGAGTCTAATTTTAGGCATGAGAAGAAAATGATGATGGTGAATAGTCGCTTATAGATTCATCAAAAAATAATCATCCTCAGTATCACTGTCGTCTTCATCCGTAGAGTGATATACAGCGTCATTTTTGTCTTCTCTCTGTCCAAAGATATATCTCGATCTTCCACCGACAATGTTGTATTTTTCGCTTAGCAGCTGATCCTTGCTGCTGCTGCTGTTGTCGTTGCTGTTTCCGGAATATTGTTTGCAACCATGTAAATAATTGTATCTTCCGTTGCGCTCGATGTGCACTGTAAATGGGAGTTTGCCTCGATGCTCCTCAAAGAGCCGATATAGCTTTGGCTTTGAGAACATCGCGTTGCTGTCATGAATTTTGAGATGTACCATGCTGACTAACGATGCGAGCGCTTTCAGCTGCTCTCCGCCAATCTTGCATTTGGTCCGGATTTCCAGATATTGTAAGTGCGAATCACAAAGAGCCTCCATAATATCCACCAGCACTCGAGAGTTGACGATCTTAGTGTTGAATCGAGCAAGGTTGAGTTTAGTGATGTTTTTGTGGGCTGCAATTTGCCTTGCAATACGTGGCAGGAAATCATCATAGTCGACAAAATCAACTCCGTCGTCATAGTAATATGTATTGTTAGATCTCACTACAGTTGCTGTTGAATCACTGATTGAAATGTCGAAGGAGACTGATAGACTTGTAAGGCTAGATGCTGCGGGACCGTTGAACAGAGCGTCGATGCCAAAAAGAGATACATATCCCCTTGTCCCGGATCTTATTGGAATCCTTGCATTTGTAAATCGGTCGGTGTCACATAAGTTGATGGACAGTGTACGCAACTGGTCAAGGTTTCCAAGTGCCTTAAACACATCATCACTCCAAATATCAAATTTTCCAGATATATCAGCGTGATTAATAAGCGGGCACGAGGCTAGGAGCTGTGCCATCTCTTGAGAGTAGAAATGTTGACTCCAGTCGTTTATATGGATAGTAAGCGACAAAAGTCGAGGCGCGCCAAGGGCAGCGAATGTAGCTAGTGCCTTGTGAGTATCATTGGAAAAGCCATTCAAGTGTCGGAAGCAAAGGCTGAGTGTTTCAAGCGTGTTGTGTCGCTTTTGAAAAATACGTTTTAGTACTTGGTCGTTATCATCGTAACGCTGCCCGTCGACGTCGATGCTCAAGACTTGAAGTCTATCAGTTGATGTAGTTTGTGGTCGTTGTGAATAAGTCGCTATATATCTGTCCATGTTTTTACCCGGTGGGTCGTAGCAGAGCTTGCGAAGATGGGGACAATGGTCTTCAGCAAGACGTAGAGCTTTTGAGCAACTATAATGCATTTGACCAAGTGCAAGCGAGTTCAAATGTGGTGCGCTTTGAAGGGTCCGTGTTAGCGTTTCGTCGGGTACTTTAAAATCCAAACAAAGCTCTGTTAGGTATAGAGAGGATGGTGGCAATGTTGTTGCAATAGTTCTTTTGGTTGGCGTAAACTGTGGATATCTTGCGCTGCTAGTAATGGACTGGATATTGGGACACATCCGTACAGCGTCGGCTATCACTTCTTCATCAAAGTCACTGCTACTGAGGATGGTATTCAACTGTAACCTTTTGAGAGTCTTTGCGTTATTATAAAGAATGCTGCACATCTTTGATCTGGGAGGGTCTCTAATTTCTTTATAAATATAACACGACTCTCATAAATATCCACAAATCATGGTCTTCCAGATAGTATTCAGCTACAATGTAATAATTGCTTACCCAATGACTCCAATTTGCTCCATCTCCCTTGCAACATCGCTTCAAGTATAAGTTTGGATCGGTAGTAAACTGTTACCTCCTTGTCTTCCTCGCTTTCATACTCCTCTACCTCGTCAAGGCTGTCGTTCATATCAAGCACCAGGTTTCTGACTTGTTGGGGCTGGATCGCTCGTATAAATGACGGTATGGTTGAAGAGCATCGAGGCATATTGTCTCGCTTGGTCGTATCGATAGTCTGCCACATTCCATGCCATTCTCGCATTATAAATTCATTCCAAAAGCGGCAAGTAGACGCGAACCGGATACGCTCCTTCATGGTCAGCATAGACAAGATCTTGGCAATTATTTCGTACGGCAAAACGAATGTCAACCACTTGTTACGCGTTTCCATTTCCGCCATCAATTGGTTGAACTTTTTACCAAGCTCAGTACATGCAGGAAATGTTTCGAATCCTTTTCTGTACACCAGCGCTCCTTGTTTCAGATCGCCTTGCAAGACGTGTGCATTAGCTCTGAAGAAATATACGTCTGGTGTGCCACTGCTACTGCTGCGACTCTGGTAGCCATCGGCACGGTCGCAGTCGTCAAGTACGCGCTCGTAAATGTGCTGCATTTCATAGGCTGCTGCACGATGCAGTAGAATGGAGGTAAGATTGGTATACAGTGCATCCAAAGCTTGTGTGTATGATTCAACTGCTTGACTGTAGTTTAGTGATGCATAGGCCGTTCGTCCCTGGTCAAATGCAGTTTGGATAGCAGTAAAGTCCAGCTCGGCTACTGCTATACGAGCGTAAGCATCACCATGTGCAACGATCGATTGACGGATTGCAGTTCGCCTTGCCATTGCGGTTGACATTGTCGCGATCAGAGGAGCAGTCGTGCAAGAAGAGAAATAGCTTCTGGTTCAAAAGAATCAGGTATGCGTACGACCAAAATGCGATGCTGTCTGAAAAATTGTAAGCCCAGACAGTTATGGTGAGTGCGACCAAACACTTTTGGCAAGGGCAGTGCCGACATATTGATCCTTTACTCAATGAGTAAGCAGCTCGTTGATGCCTTTGCCTTATGGTACTCGAACGGTTCAAAATGATTCAATTGAAAGCTGAGTGCTACAGACTGCCATGGAATCTGACCGAGATCCTGTCAAAAGTGACTGAACATTAGGATATGATAATGATATTTGGTGCATCAGTAAATAGAAATATTTCACTGCAAGTAGTACATATCATTTAATGTACATGCTATACGTTTGTAGTATAGACTGTATCATACTGCTACTAAATTATTGGACGACGCTTCTTTTGTCACATTACATTAGGTCACTTTATGTCTTTTATTAGGAACCAGTTGTTTATGTGTGGTGCTCAAAATCCTCTTTATCACGTAGCCGCCCATTACATCATTGGATCATAAACAATACGAAGTCAACCCTTAAATATGTCTAAAGTGCTTGTATGGAAACGCGCACTGCCCACAGTTGACTGAAGACGATGCTAAAATATGTATAAAATTCTACGCTGAAACTGTTTAGAAGAGGAGATGTTGATGAGAGTTGGCTGCACATTTTTTTTCTTGGACAATATGATTTGTATATTTAGATTAAATTGTCTGATGGTTTATCACTACTACTATAGTAGCTTAGACAAAACATATAAGCAACCTCCTCGTCATCAGCTCATCACATGTAGTATTTTTATGTCAATTTAGATCTTTTGTGCCTCTTTTGTTCATAGTTCTTCCTTCTGTGGCTATTATTTGATGATACTTAATGTAGTGGACTGCCAAAAAGTGACTTAATATGACACCGTTATATATCTTTTTTGGTGGATATATGCACAGCAAATAAATGTAGATAGACTACATCATCATATCATTGAAGTATATATATTTGCTATAAGGAAAAATTATGGATAATACGAAAGGCCATGACAAAAAATAAAGAAGTGCCAGTACACCGAAGCATGAAAAAGTAATCTACGAAGGAAAAGTATGAGATGTAAGTAAGACGTTACATGACCTAAAAAACAAAAATCTTTGAAAACCAAAAAGATTCTCCTCGAATCCTATCAGATTCGAAGAATCGCTCCTAGGTGGGCTCGAACCACCAACCTCCTGATTAACAGTCAGACGCGCTAGCCAATTGCGCCATAAGAGCTCTTGTTGTGCCCTTTCAAAACAAAAACAATACGGAATTTACAGTGTATTAGATCGCACGCCGCCATATCGTCGTCGTCGTCATACCATCATACATGTATTGTTGTCATCAATCGACGATGATGATGATAATGATATCAATATGAGCTAAGGAGGAGAATGAGGAGGGGGAGTAATATAGCAAGCCAGTAAAGCTACTAGAAATATAGTAATACTCTACTAACTTAGAGTAGGATAGGTTTATATGCCATTACTTTAAAGCTATAAAGCCTCAAGCTTATCATTCCCAAAGTGTTGAGATTAGGGGTCGTAATTAGATGGGTTGGGTTAGGTCAAGGGTCTGACCTGTTGACCTGTGGGTCAAGAAAACACTGACCTGACCCGACCTATCCAACCCAACAGGTCAGAACTCAGGTTGATGGGTTAAGACTGATTTCGATATGGTAATGAAGGAAGTGTCAATCAACCTGAACTTGTTGAGTCCTGGAAGTGCAAAACTCTATATATACAGAGCTCTCCAAAATGATGGCACGCATATTCCTAGCAGTGCTAGCAACATCTGCGTTTTGTGTGATTATTCTTAAAACTAAAGGGCTTTGTGCCATCACAAAAGAAGAATTCACTTGGGCTCATATATATGTATTAAAGAAAGCATAATGGTTAAAGTGTAGTTGAAAATCGACTTCCCCATATGCCCTAATCCTTTTCCTTTCCCTTTTCCTATTACTTCTTCCTTGTTCCTTCATTTTTTTTTCTCAATTCCTTTTCAATCTTTTGTCAAATCTCGTCTCTTACTGCCACCCTCTATTGTCTGTTCTTATTGTACTATTGCTGCTTCTTTACTCCTTTTACATATATTTCTTGTAGCTTACTTATCCATTACTCTTGAATATAAAATATAATCCCATAATCAAAAGAATATAAGTACATTTTATGTTATAGTTCTATAGCAGTTAGCAGACATATTGACAACTACATCCTATAATATAATGATGCTTCCCAACAAGAAGATTGACGACTTGAATATAAGTACCTCAAACATATTATATATATACATAGGTAACAACAGGTTGGGTCAAGGGTTAAATGGGTTGACCCATAGGTCAGAAAAGCATCGATCCAACCCGTTGACCCATCCTTAACCCGCGGGTCAGATTGCGACCTCTAGTAGTCGAGATGTCTGCTCCCTTTAATCCCACTAGCCACTACAGCAAATGTCCAGCTGAAGTTAGTGCTATGAAGACCATTTCTCTTAAATCAATTCGTTGTATATTAAGTTTGGCCCGTGTTACTAGTAAAGCAATCAAAAAGCAGATAATTTAACATTTAGCATAGACATGTTTAGTAGTTTTGCCGTTAAGTACATAGTACATAGACAGCCTTTAGATATTGTACTGACGCTCTATTTATAATCCTGAAGATAAAAAAGCTCGATGCAAGAGCTGGTAGCTGGAAGGCTACCTTATTATAAGTCTTTTAGTAATAACACTGCTTAAATACCTTCTGATTACTCCTTTCGATAAATTATATTACTTTACCTGCGCCATAGGAGCCTTTTTTCTACGTTAGTCTAGGAACGATCATGCTCGCCCTGTGAATATCCGGAAGCTTAAACAGAAGAAAGCTCTTAAAAATAAGCGAAAGCTATAGCGCATCAACTAATAGGCTTAGTAATGTATGCTAAAGCTTGAAACAATTGGACCCTTAGTGGTATATACTTACCATAGCGTATCGTCTGCCGCCACTAAAATCAACCAAAGCTCGTTTGTGGAGTGTATGCACAACAACAGAAGATACTGACCAAGATAGGTCGGTTACGAATAATGGTAGAAGACCACACAGGAGATAGGATCATCTGCACGAGGAACTCAGTATCTTCATGCTTGATATTCATCGGACGCGCTCTTTTTCGGATTTTTTCTCTTTATAGCATGAACTTCATCGAGAGTTATATGTCTGACCGCTTTCGTTCCAGCCATGTCCAGACACACAAGACTCGTCAGAGGCAATCGTACCTCGCAATCAAAAACTACGAGCTCAAACTCGACGTGAGAAGATGGCGCTAGAAGAGCAAATGCAACGATTACAGAGTGATACGACGCTCAATATATAAAACGTTGCGACTGGCGATTAAATTTGTAGAGTTAAAGCAGAGAAAATGGAAGAGTACAGAGGGACAGAGGAGAGAGAAAATGATAGACAGAGAAAGAGAGGTAACATTTTCTGTGCGATATCAAAATAAGATGTAGTAAGGAAGGCCTGTTGGAAGTAACGACAAGCGTTACAAATACTTCGCCCAGTTGGAATTTCCTTTGTCGTTCCAAAATCATCCTCGACCGTTTGTTCACGCTGCGTATGCCTGTGTCCGGAGTAGCTGAAAGTTACAAATAATGGCATTCAAGTGAGATCCATTCTCTTTCACTTTTTGCACCAGGCAACAAACAGTAGCCCATTCCAAGCATCATTCATAGTCATTTTTGCCCTCCAACAAAATAGCTAGACACTTTAGGCTTTGCCACCCATTTTCCAGAAGGCCAATTGTGTGCTATAAACTCCACAGTACGCATACAAAACTATCGGAAAACAGCTCAATACTTAAGGATATACATACGTGAACTGAAAAATCGTCGGTACAAGGCGAAGCAACAACACTGAATGAGACATGTTTTAACAAGCTCCACACATTGAATGTGACTATGTCACATACAGCAAATATATATGTACGTGTATATCCTTTTTGCAGCAGCAAGGACACACAAAGTACAGTACTGTATAATACGCACAGGAGGAGTTGTACGATTGATAGTAACATGTTAAACGCTTTGCTTACGAGTTATAGATAGCCGCAGCCCTTGCGAGACACTGTTGCTATTGCTATTGATTATCCATATTTTCAAGTATGTTTATTCCCGTAATTGCAATACTCTGTAGCATATGTTAGAGACATAATCACCAAGTAGCTCTTCCTTGATTACAAGGATGAATACGCTTAATTCTTCGTCTCAAATACGTTGACACACAAAGACATATCGTTCATCTACAAAAATGCCGTCAAAGAGGCTAGAACGTGCTTGCGAGAACACAGACTCTCATCCGCACCGGAGTCGATTTTTGTGATCTTTCGCTACTCCTCCGTTAATTGGAGTTTCCTTTAACAGATGCGCAGTGTCCACCATGCATAAAAGCAGTAGAGGGATGTCGTCGTCATCACGTGAGAATTTTCTGAATAGAAGAACGGGGTTGACGCATAACTTATTAGCACGCAACAGATTTTTTTTCTTTTATGAAACGCCACGCAGCACGACAGCGACGTACAAAAGTCAGGTCAGTATGTACTTGTAGCCTAGAACCTGTACATTCCGAAAGTAAAAGCAAAGTAGAAAAAGGTAATCGCAACGGGTCAAGAGATGGCTTCTTATAAGAAGCCCATCCATTCTTCGCCATGCTCGTGTAACCTTTGCAGGTGGGGCGATCTGACGAGTGACGTCGATGAAATTTCTTTGCGAAAAGATAAAGAGGAGAGATGTTGCCCTCAGCAGTAAAATACCTTCTCTTTCCCTCAATCTTTTCCCACTTTTTTTTTTGAGCCAGAACCGCCATGCACGTCTTGAATCCCGTCTCTGTGATTAGCGCTATCATCCTTCTTTCTCTCTTGTTTGCTTGCACCATGGATACATACTCTCAAGACGTGGCTTACACGATGCCCCGGTCAGTCGAAGTGCTGCGGAAAATCATGCCTGTTGCAGTATTAGTTTTTCTATACTATACTCGATGGGTAAATCAACGCTTAACACCAACAACAACAGCAGCAGTAGCCGTAGCAATCACAAGCTTGATTAACGCAACAATAGCAGCAGCAGCAGTAATGCTGATGAGTGTCACTGCCCTAACAATAGCACTAGCAGCAAATGTACTCTTACTTGTCATCGGCGTAGCAAAAGCGACAGCAACAGAGGTGGTGATTTTTGTCGTTGGCATCGTAAAAGCAACAGTAACAGAAGTGTCGCTGTTCGTCGTTGGCGTTATAAAAGCAATAGCAACAGAAGCGTCGCTGTTCGTCGTTGGCATTATAAAAGCAACAGTAACAGAAGTGTCACTGTTTATCATCTGCGTTGTAAAAGTAACAGCAACAGAAGCGCCGCTATTTGTCATTGGTATCGTAAAAGTAGCAGCAACAGCGCTAGTGACAAGTGTTATTCCCGCAGCGGCAGAAACGAGCATAGAAACAGAACCACTACCCTTCTCACCATCGTCACCAGCCCTACCCAACCTCAGTGCATTTTTCCGAGAGCCAGAGGAGCCAACTCGTGAATGGCTCGAGGCAGTCGCCTACCGACGCCCAGTTCCTGTTCACCCTGAAGTTGCCTATTACAAAGAGGTGCTTCTCCGGTGCGAAGTACGCGAGCGACAGCGGCAGCAGGAAGAACAAGAGTACCTGCTGGAGGAGGCGGATCGACGACGCCGCTTTGAGGAGCATCTACAGCAACTTGAGAAGCAGCAACAGCAGCAGCAACTCGAACAACAGCAGCTGCAGCAGCAACAACAACTCGAGCAACAGATGCTGGTCAACTCCGACTACATGGACTGGGAGCAATCCTTTGCTTGTAGTGTAAGTATTTGATCCTTTTCTTCCGCACTGAAAGAAAGCTTGAATTGCTGGAAGTATATACAATAGTACTAAATGCATCTTTACAAAAGCCTGAGATTCTAATTAAGCCAGTACGAAGAGAAAACAACGAAAATCTGGAAAAAAACCGAAAAATCACAAAAAAAATCCACAAAAACAAGCGTCGCCCAAATATGCACTTGTCAGTGGTGATGTACGGTTGATACTCTTTATCAGTTCCATTACAGTATTACAAGCAATCATTGGAGTATACAAGGTATATATTACCTGTTAAATATAACCCAGACATATAAAATTTGAGTGAATCGGTACGTCTTTCGAACCACCATAGTAATGGGCTACATATTATCGATTTATCAACATCGACATACTGAATAACCACGTTTAACTAGGGCCTGCCTACAAAAGTCATTGACAGCATCTTATTTTTGCAAATGCATTCCTCAACAAGTGGTAATAAATAGTAAGTATAAATACCTCTTCTTGCTTATAAAGTTACTAAAATTCTTAATAGGAACATCCGCATTCGTCCATTGTCACTCAAGTTTTTGTTCCTCCCATCAAATTGCGACGCGACTTGTTCTACTCCGAAAAAATTCAATCCATTCAGTTGTTCGCGTCGCGCGTCAGCTCCATACTGCTGCTTCTCTTCTTTTCCTGCTTCGATGAACATGTCAGCGCCTGAAACACCAGAGCATCAACAACTCCAAATGGCAGCACAGCAGTTCCAAGCCAGTAAGAAACTCCACATACACCGCAGCAAAGAGTAACTGAAGATAAGCAAAAGCCCTCGCTAATCATTGTCGTTTAATAATAAAAGTGCGTGTGGACGATGCACCCTCAAGCTCTGTAAGTGTGTAATGCTTCTTTCGAGAACAGAAAAGAATCAACTTCTAACAATAACTTGGAAATTACTTTTATAAAGATTCCTGAACTACTTAAGGACGGTAAACTAACATTTGGAGAACCAAAATTACGAGCTGAGAATCACGAAGCTATTGCAGAACGTACGTTTTACCCTCTCCTCACTGCCTTAGAAAAGAAAGCGATCAAAAGGTCCATAATGCTTTTGATTTCTACTAAACTAAGTCAAATTCTTGTAGGAATCAAGGTGTTCCGCCTGCACCGTGCCCGACTAGAACAGCAACAACAATCTATATCTCAATTCCCAAGTCAATATCTCGACGTATTGAGCGCTCTATGTCAAGATAGGTTGGTATCAGAAAAGGGCTTCACGTTTTGCACAATTGAAGAAAACATATTATTTACGACAACGACCAAACAGTGACGAATCAAGCGGACAGCTTTCCAATCGTATCAATGAAGTATTATCACCGTTTTTAAGAAATGAAGATTGTATGTATTTATTGCCGTAGAAAAGAGAGCTACAAGACTCGTCAGATCTACTAACTCATAAATAATAGACAGCGACCACTTTACAGAGATAATTGAAACTGCAGTGAAGTCCATTGCGACGCGTACAAAATATGGTGTATCACCCGATGTTTTGAGTCATCTTGAATGTGCCATCACAAATATACCTCATGTATGTGTTTTATTTTTTTAATCACTCTTTTTACTTGGTTTTTTTGTGAGAATTGAGCTAAAGGTTCGCATACAGCATCTTTACTTTTGGCGGTGGGAAGTAAAAGATATTACTTGTCTTCCACATCAAATCCAAGCAATTATTCATCAGCGAAGGACCATACGCGCACAGGTAATAGTTCAGTACGAGGAAAACGGGAAGGAAACCTATTTTTATTGTAATATGCTTATATTGCAGCTACTTTAAATTGTTGCTATCGGTCTAAACGGTTATAATTCAATTTTTTTTAACTAGGTTTCAACTTATGTCACTAGTTGTTTCGAAGCGCTTCCCAAGGAACAACAAATTGCAATTTTGCTAGCGAAACATAACCGCAAAGCACATGACGAAAGCAAGACCGCCACTGCTGAAAGCAATTTGGAAAAGGAGGAGAAACGCCGGAAAAAGGTATACACAAAGGATATCAGAACATGCGTTTAGAAGCTGCCCCGTTGCATTAACAGTTTGATTATGTCTTAGGAAGAAGAGCGGCGGTTACGTGAGGAGGAAAAACGCAAACGCGAGGAAGAAAAGAAGGAGGAAAAACGCAAACGTGAAGAAGAAAAGGAGGAAAAACGTAAACGCGAAGAAGAAAAGAAAGAAGAACGACGGAAGCGGGAAGAAGAAAAACGGAAAAAAGAACAGGTAATATAGAGAATAGGAACAGGAAAATAATCGCTATGGCAGTGACAGAATAAGTGTCACTAAACGTTGATCTTTCTTCATGTAGTCCCAACTGCGCCTTACATCTCTATTTACAAAAGCTCCAGAGGAGAAGCTTACTTGTGCTGGGCAAAGTGGTAAGCGGTCTGATCATGAATTCAAGATGAATACGAAGAAAGGATGAGATACTCATGAAATCTAATTGTGTTGGGCAGACTCGAGCCAAATCACAGAAACTCGAAACATATTCCCACCCTTCTATGTCAAGGATAATGTGGTTATGCATCAATGGACGACTACCAATAAGGATCGTAATATGGAGTTGGACCACCACCTCAAGACACTCACAACTGACAAATATCGATTCTGTGAAGGTAAAGTTTCCAAGGTTCTACTATTATAGTGAGAGGAAAAAAAATAACCAGGGATGTGTTGTGTTTGTGTGCTGACATCTTCCTGGGACTGTTAGTATCGAATGATTTGCGATCGCAATACCTACAAGCATTAAAGCAGTCCAAGCCTGAACTCACTCAACGACGAGGTCGCCGTCAAAGCACTGATCTTCGCACGATTCTGCTTGGTCCGGATATGGAGAACTTTAATCAATTGCAAGTTTCTATGAAGTTCTTACAATTCACCGAAGATGTTCGGCCAGCGTATTATGGTAAGCGGTCGTGTACTAAAACGAGAAGAGTTTAGTTGAATTGATGGATATTAATGAACTCCATCTTTCTTTTGTCCGTTCGTTCTTGCGTTTTATTTTCAAGGCACATGGACCAAATCGAGTAAGAAAATCAACGGTCGAGCACCACTTGCCCAAGACGATCAGTTTGTCGATTATGACCATGATAGTGAAGGAGAGTGGGAACCAGAAGGCGAAGGAGAAGAAATCCAAAGCGGTGACGAAGAGGATGACGACCCTTCTTCAGATGTTGCCGACCCCGAGGATGTGAGTTATCTATCTAAATATAAATATAAGGCAATGAAAGATCTAATGATGGATTTTTGTTTAGGCTGGCTGGCTAGTCCCTGAAGGGTACTTATCAGAAGGTGAAGGTGTTGAAAGTGATGATGAACGTACGAGTCAAGTCAGACCGGCCATGCGACCTACTAGAAAAGTGAGTGTAACCTTGAAATAACCTATATGTTCGTGTTGACGTTGCAATTGAATCAGTGTATGCTTATCATAAATCAAAATATATGTAGCACACTGCTATCCGTCCCGTTGTTGTGGGACCCGTTTTCGATGATGGCGATCTAGGAGAAGATGATCCACTAAATCGTTATGCGACGCGAATGCTGTTTGGTAAGTGGATATAACCACCACGATGGCAATTATTCCGCTGGCAACTAGCTTTCTCTTCTTACCGTCAACGTCCTCTTTTTGCTCAATGTGGTAGATTTCCCGAAAGATAAACCGTACGACCCTTTCTATGTGGAAGCCGACGATGCTGCAAATACCAAATCCACATCTAGCACAGCCGACGACTCTTCCAAGAAATCCATTGCTTTTACAGCACAACACGAGAATGAATTAATCAGCGTAAGCAGCCTACCATTTACCATCTTTTCTCTTTTGCCGTAAGTTTTTGGCTAACGTTGTTTAATATTTGTATGCAGATCATTGAAGGAAAGGCAGACGCAATGCCAAAACTAATTTCAGAGGCCAAGTCAAACTGGTATGTGGGATTGAAAGTCAGTAGTAAGATAACATACAAAGTGGCTAATAATAAATTGTTGAAAAAACAGGCTATTACATGACATGTCTAAGCGACAGATTGAGATGCAAATTAAAAATCTAGCTGTCAAGGAAAAACGGGGAACTGAGACGGTAAGCAATATCGCACGTAACGGCCTTTTACGTTTAACATGGAATACCAATACTGATGGTTCTCAAACATCTCATAGAAACCTGCCTGGCACGTCAAAGATTCTCTCAGTAACTAACTTAGTATATCTCTTCTAATACAAACACACACATACACCCATCTAATTCCATCAAACATCTGCCCCTATTGTAAATCTTGAGACCTCATTAAACAACGACTACTAAAAAACATACACACACAATTCAACTACAAATACATATCTCACATTAATCGCAATAGAAGAGTATTTGTCTGTTATTCAATGAAAGAATTCATATTCACAGAAAGAAAGATAAGAGGAAACGGCAGGTTGAGGAGGACGCTATGTGAGCTACTTGGAATGATGTGAGGGGCGATTGAGTGGAGTAGGAAAATCAGATAAAAAGGGGCTGTTGGAGGGGTTCCGGCGGGAAAAAGGTAATCAGTGAGTCGTAGAAGAAGTACTGTTTGAAGAAGAAGAAGAAGAAGAAGAGGAAGAAGAAGGAGTGGTACCCTCCAACGCCTTCAGAAAATAGGTCTGTAAGTACTCCCATCGATGGCTACAAAGCTTGGCAGTGTGTCTGCCTTTCAGCTTGGCTTCCAATTCACGCCAACGTTCTCCGTGAGCAGGGTCCAGCATATGCTCGATCAATATGCGATCATCATCACGGGTCCATATTTCGCAGCCTCGGATGGTCTGATCGAACTTGCCGACCGGCGGTAAATGGGGCGTATGTTGATGATGATGACGATGGTGGTGAAGATGGTGGTTGCTATGCTGCTGTTGCGGGGTATCATTACTCTGGTTCTGCTGTTGCCGTTGCTGATGCTGATGCGGAGGTGACGGAGGGAATTGCAGAGGGGGACTTAAGGACGATTTCTTGGTGCTGTGATGTGGTCCTTCTCGTGGAGGCGTAAGTGGACGCCAATATGCTGCTGCTGTTGATGATGATGACGAGGCGGGAGAGGACGCCAGCGAAGGAGGTGACTCGAATGAAGGTGACGCCGTCGACGAGCTCTTTGTTTCCTTTGATAAGTAAGCAATTGTTAGCATATTTGTACATACTCTTTTTCAAAGCTTTCTTTGTATCGTCTTACCCACTGGTCTGCAATGGTCGTCTGATGAACTTGTTGAACGACATAGGCAATCACGTCCTTTGTCGTGGGTTGCCGAGTTATTTTGATACTTTGCTTGGGCGTAACCCGTCTCCGTTTCGTCGCCTTTCGATACACGATAAAGTGGTAATAGTATTTGTTAATTGCACCATTTCAATTCTTCTTTTAGAGTTGAAATGGGAAAGGTTTATGCATACCTCTTCTTCTTGGTCTTCAGGAGCACTGTCTTCGTTGTCATCAATTAAATTGCCATCTTCATCGTACTCCACAATGGGTCTCTCCCTAACTAAATGGAGCTCATTTGCATTAATGACCAAATGTCAAGAAACAACCATTTTTTCTCTTCTCTCTCTCTCTCTCTCACACAAACTCGCACTTTATGCTTTATCGACTCATATTCTGATATATATATATATACCTTTTCGTGATAGTTGCTTGGGTAAAGAAGGTGAACCGGTCTGCTGGTGGTTCAAATATATCTGTCGTACAGCTGTTGTGGAAAGGCCTGATATGCGTGCGACAGTTTTTTCAGGTACGCCAGTATGGTAAGCTCCCACAATGAGCCATCGTTTGTCTTCGTTAGAGGATGTGTGTCCAGGTGCCATGGTATTTGTTAAAAGGTCAAAGCTGCAGGAAAAATGGTAAAGACCGCTTCTGTTGCCGACCTTGGGTCGTGCGACGGAGAGATATTTGGTGTGGGTGTGGGAAAGTGGTTACACAAGGTCAACTGCACTTCCTTTTTTGTGTTGGGGCCGCCCCCGTGCTTTTTCTTACGCAGTGATTGGCAGAGATGAGATAGTCCTTATGAACAAAGAGATGATGACGATGTCAAGGAGAGATAGTATAATGAAACACGAGATATGCTGAGCAACCCTCTGTTGTTGGTTGTCTTTTGGTCCAGATTCATCGTCAATGGAACCACCTGCCGTCGCTCACTTTTTTCTATTTCTAATGAAATTCAACATTAGATATACGGTTCATCCTGATTGACGCCGCACGGCAACCGCGTGATCTCTCTATTTACTTGGTAATATCGAAAGAGCATTAAATCAGCACAAAGGATGCTATTTGTCGTACCGGATAAGTTGTATTATTCATGCAAATATGGGCGCTCTTGCTTTTGAATTAGCATAGCGCAGGCTTTTTATTAACATATAGTAAGTCAAATGCTGTCCCAAACATCCATATGCTATCCTATTGCAAGCTATGTATTTACAATATTCTTTATTAAACTATGGCCTTATTTATAATCCCATTTATTGACATCTTGATGTTATCTTGTCTCATACTCTCCTTGAGTTCTCCGGACATGCCGCAAGAGGTTGTAGTACACTTTAACATGATCCGTCGCTGCCAATATAACGACTAACGTTCGTATGTAGAATGCTCTTGTAGTGCTACTACAATTTCCGTCATCCAACAACATTTAAAAAAGTATTTGATATCTTTGTAGAAACACCCAGTCTGTTGTATACGTAATCGTTTGATTGTTCTTCGATTGTAGTAGTGAATCGATCTTCGCCCAACTTGACCATGTTAGACATGAAATGGGTGATCCACAAGCAGTGTTAGTCTGAAGACAACTGAGGAAGATACCTAGAAAATGATATGATGATATTAACGATAGTTGCTCAATCGCCGCTGCACATCTGTCGCAGAAAAGGTACGACTCGGAACTTTTGCAGTGGTTGATAGGACGGGCATGTTTCCGGTGTTGTCCGATATATTTTTCCAAATAAGAGGCACTTGTATTTCTGGGTGGTTGCATTCAATTTACTGTTGAATGATAGCGAAAGAAAACAAAGAAGATAGTCTTGTTCTTAGAGTTTGGTTTTTCCTTCCCTCCCTCAAGCCGTTTCTCAGTATCCATGCATGTGCATGTCTTAAAGAAGAATTTTACAAGGATGATACATGTAATGATTGTTAGTGAGATCCTTCCCAGTCGGAAGGTCATGAAGATATACAAGTGTTATAGATAATGATACTCACCTTCTGTACCCAGCACTACTAATGATTACAATATGACATGTCGTTGTCTGTGACATATAGCAGTAGCATGGATCAGAAGCAGATGTAACTTATCAAATTTAGAATGCGTGAGCCCTTAAAATTGACAGATTCAAGCTAAAATAGTACCATGAGAATGGCCGAGTACAATATATGTACGAAATACAGCTTCTGAATGACGAGCGAAGAAGCAAGAATGATATACAGCCATGACTGTATTTTGTTAGGAGCACCATACCATTTATATATGTGTTATACCATCAAGTGCACTGTCAAAGCCTTTTGATCTGGCCGAACAAGCTATTGCTTTTTAGCATCGTGACAGTGCAGCTCGTATTTCTCAGGTGCATCGAGTTGGATTCTCTTTTTTTTATACAAAGTTGAAAATGGCTGATAGCGCTACGCTCTACTAGCAAAGAAACTATGCCCATAGGTTAGCAGCTACGACAGTTACTCTGAGTTTCCCAGTGTTTGTACTGTGGTGGAAACGTCTAGCTTTTCAAAGTGACAATATTATACATGCCTCTGCCCTGTGACAAAGAGCGGTGTTGTAGAAGAAAAGACTGAGCCCGCTACTCAGGAACAATAGAAGGGTTATTAGGATCCAAAAAACTAGCCACGTCGTACAAGAAGCCGCAGATCCATTCAGCCGTGGAAGGCTAATTATAACTTCCAAATTAGAGCCAAGAGTTTTATCGTTTGTTCTCCTATTTTTACTTTTACTTTTTTTTGTGGATTTTTTTCTACTTTCTTTCTTTGATAAAAATTAAAGTACAAAAGAACGATGGACCGCGAGCAAAACGTAAATCCGGGATTTGCAGCACAATACCTTCATTCGCCACCACCAACGTCACGAAGAAACTGGGATGATCCAGGCCCAGCAACAGACATTCCGTTGCACGAAACGGGTTCACCTCATGTGCAGTTTGCTGCTAAATCGCCATCCATTATTCCATCGCCCGTCTATGCAGGATCGTCCACCGGCTTTCCGTCGCCTGCACCTGTGCCACCACCCATGCCGATGCACGTATCAACGACGACAAGCGAATATATGTCAAACAGCCCTCGCAACTTTGGAGCGGACACGTTCCGCAACGATTTCGGCGGCGGCAACGGCGGCAGTAGTAGCAATAATAGCGGCATGGGCGGAGAGAAGACAGCGGTCGAGGACATGAGCCATGATCTGTATAGTCGATCTACTCCTCAAGGAACGAACGAGCCTGCATATTATGGTAATGCTGCTAAATCATCATTGCGTTCTGACGGATTCATGCGACTAGAAACTGCAGAAGACGATCCATATCAAAACAAGGCATTGCCTCCTCCACAGCAACACCAGGCCCAGTTGGGCGGCACATCCTATCCTCCATATTTGCAACAGCCCATGATGGATTCTGCTGCAAAAAGGAATCTGGGAATGCGGCTCTTGCTGGGTCCGGTACGACGACCGTGGTTCAGCTGGTTATCGGGTCTGGCCATGTTGATTGTCTTGATCGTCGAGCTTATCAAGAACCAACAAATGACTGGAAGCGTCATTTCAACAAGTCCAACGTTCAATCCAATGATCGGTCCAAGTTTTCCAGTAAGGTTTTTTTCCTCTTTATACATGAAACGGAGAAGAAGAGGAGGGAAAATCAATTTTAATTATCTCTCTCTCTCTCTTTTGGTTATCAGGTATTGATCAACATGGGCGCGCGATTTACACCTTGCATGCGAACGGTGCCCGATTATACACCTTCGACGCCTATTCAAGACTGTTTCCAAGAATCAGAAACGTGTACGATTGAAGAAGCATGTGGATTCGGTGGATTTGGAGGGGCCGATCCTGACCAGTCCTTCCGATTCATTGCACCTATCTTTCTCCATGCTGGTATAGTGCATTATATCATGAACATGCTGTGTCACTTGCGACTGGGTGCAGATCTGGAATGTGTGCTCGGTGCTCCTCGATATATCCTTCTTTACATGGCTTCCGGTATCTGGGGCTTTGTGCTGAGTGCCATGTTGTCACAAACAACCACAGGTACTTTTCCCGCCTAGTGACATGTATTAGTGGATAGCAGTAGTAGTAAATCGACTTGTCTAACATTCATATTTAGCAAGCATGGGCTGTTCCGGTGCACTCTTTGGCCTGATCGGATACATGTTCATTGACGTGGTGGTCAACTGGAAAACCATTGCTCATCCCGTTCGAGAGCTGATGAAACTGTTGATTGTTACCATCATTTCTCTAGTCTTGGGCCTACTACCTGGATTGGACAATTTTTGTCATTTAGGTTAGTCCTCTCAAGTGTACAGCGTAAAAAAAGGGGGTGTGGGGTGGGGTAGATGGGATCTAACTTTAATATATTTTTCTGCAAATCACAGGTGGATTCGTTGTTGGCATTGTGATGGGCGCATTAATAGCTCCTATGCGACCTAATATGGAAAAGAAAGGGAAGCTAATCACATGGGGTGTTCGACTTGTCGCCTTTGTTATCCTGATCATTCTTTTTGCCGTCACCATAAACTCGTTCTACTCTGCAAGCGATCCATCTCAGGTATGTTCATTAGAACAACCGTCCCCCATGTTCTTTTTTCCTGGTAGAAAACACTAAATTTGCGCTATCTAGATTTGTCCTGGATGCAAATACCTCTCGTGTCTTCCTGTTAACAACTGGTGCGATATGTAAAACTGATGTCAAGTACTTAATGTGTATAAACCCAAAAGATATAACCAGCCTGTTATGAATATATGAGCACATTCAAAAATGGTATATATATATATATATATTTATAATATTATATGAGGAGTATATGTGTGTTTTGTGTGCGTGTGTCTTGATGGAGACGAGGAGACCCCATCATTAGAAATGGTTCGAATATAATAAGGGAAATATGCAAGATACAAAATAACGAATAAAAAAGATGCAGGTAGAAAAGAAATATTAAGGCGCTATCCAGTGAGTGACAGTGGCACTGGAGCCCAAGGTTGGGTGCAAAACTACATATTTAAAGAAATATTCCAGGTCACGGCGTCGTTGTTCAACGAATGCCGGTGTGAACTTGCCTATAAGGTCATCATCATCGCCATCATCCAATTGTATAAGTTATTACGCTAACTGCCAATCACACACACACACACACACACAACACACAGAGCAAGTGCAGCAGACGATACATTACCTACGACCTTTTTAGGAGGTAGCTTGGGTATACTTGTCTTGAGTCGTGGGTATCGTTTTACAAGTTCTTCGCGAAGATCACAAAAGTCAGAGTATCGCTTGCGAACAGAAATAGAGGGTCCCTATTGTCGCAAGAACAAGTTGTCAATACACATCATACCATCATCGCACTCCGGGTAACATGGCAGATTAACTTTTTGTTTTTCTTTTACCTTGTCGCTTAGTACTGTACAATTATAGCAGATGTAGCTTCCATAGCTTCCAAAGAAGAAGAAGAATGTAGCGTTAAATGACACGGAACGGAAGGAGACAATAAAAGAGAAATAGCAATTTACCCTACACCTATTCGCAACGGATGGTTCACAATGGCATCAGAAGCAAATATCTCACGACGCTCGTTATTATCGTCACAGTTGTACAAGCTAATCTGCGATGCTCCAGGCAGCGGGGTCGACCGAGTCGATTTCAGGCCTTTAAATAGCTTTGGAAGACGACGATTTGTTGACGAAGACGACGGCGGTGGAGAAGGTGGAGCCTCCCAGTCTTGTACAGTAATCGATCGTCTGCCAAAGGTGCGCTGTAATTTACTGTTACTGTCGTCGCTTTCGTTGTTGTAGCAATCCACTTCCTGTTCTTCGGGTATACTCGTGTTGATGATAGATGAAGCCGATGAAGCGCTGCTACTGTGTCGCTCGGCTGATGATAAAAGCGAAGTCGTAGTTGAAAACGTGGACGTCGATGAGCTGGTTGCCATAATTGGGGTCGATGCAGATGATTTTACGCTTGTCGGTGCTGGTTCACCATAATTACTACTCGCACGATCTTTATTGTTATTGTTGTTGTTGTATCAGTGATAAGCGGTTGAAGGTAACAAACTTGTTAGCTTATTTTTTTGTCTATTTCCCTCCTATGGTGATCCTATACGATTCAGTTTCGTTTTTGATTTTACCACTCATTGCATATTGAAGACGTTCTCGAACACTGTCGATAATGGCATCGGCTTGTGTCCGCCATTCTAAATCGTCGCTAATAGAATCATTCTCGTCGAGTGCATCTTGAATCTGGACAAGTTGTTTGATGCCGAGATGCAGATCTTGCGTGGCTTGCTGTAGTGTTGAATTGGAGAGTTGTTGTTGTTGTTCACGCAAATTGACCCAAGCGTCTTGGCATAATTCCAGTAATTCAGTCAGGCGTTTTTGATAATCCATAAAGAGAGAAAGAGAGAGAGGAAAAGAGAATTGGAAAAAAAGGAAAAGGAAGGAAAGAAAGGACGGGTGAAACCCAGCTTTGTGTAAATAAGAGAAAGCGCGTTTATCCTTCTTTATTTTTCATGGAGCCCCGGCTGATGCTTTCCGGTTGAGTGTGCAAGCCAATGCTGCTGCAGTTGTTATCGAGCAGCTTGGACGCACTATAAATAAATAACCCGATTAGTCCCTTTGAAAAAACAAACATCGTGCTTGTCGTCGTAGTGGGGTTGTTGCTTATTACTGCCAGCGTAGATATTGAACTCAAATTGGACAATTATTGCTACAACATTTTGTGAAACTCAAGCTGCATAAACCGACCTACCTCATTTGAAATTTAATCACTATAACACCCCGGGAAAGAGTAAGCAAAAAGACAGAAGAAAGGAGAGGGCGTCAAGTCCAAGTATGCATGCCAAACATGGCAACGGCCGTAGAGCAAGCCAAAAAAGAAAGTGCTTCTAGAGAGAACAAGACAAGTGGGAGAAGACTTCGAACGACACTATTTACCTAAACATGCTGTAAGGCCGACGGATAAGGAAAACCGATTTTCTCCTCAGAAATAGCACCATAATTACGCCAGTTTGTGGTTTGTATCCAGCCAGACTCCCCCTACCCACACCTCCCAACACCCGATAACCTGGTAAAGCAATAAGTGTGTCTACTACTGAAGCAACAGATTGTTGGCTGTTGACTGACGGATATGCTACCCGATGCTTCTGGGGGCAGCAAAACAACACAGCCATCTCCTTGTCCAGCTGACCATCATCATGTGTAATGACGTGCTATCAGCTGATTCTGAGGTCCACACCATCCATGACCTTTCATTGATTGCTCAAGATATGAATGCTCATCCACCAAGCAGTCCTTCAAAGCGACAATTCTTTGAACATGCAAGAAACCACGTTGATTGTCAGGATAAATTAGCTAATGGACTTGAATACTTATCAGCCAACATTCAATAATTCGTATCTACACTGCAAAGCGTCGATCTACAATGACCGTACCAGCAGTCAACAAACAAAACAACAAGAACACAGGAATAGCCACAGGACGACGGGTTTTCCGACTTTCAATGTGTACTGTCTCGATCGTACTCTTATAGTCTACAAAGCAGTAATTGTCCTTGGTTTCACTACCGCTGGCACTTTTTGTCTGTCTTTGCACAGTGTAATTCAACTCCATCTATTTGTACTGCTAGGAAATTGTCCGGGGTGTCATTCAGTATGTGCTCGATCTACTGGTTATGACCAACATGATGATTATAACGTATTACAAGTGGTATGGAGCGTCAACGAGCTTAACCCCTAGTGTAAAATATTTGTCCATGAGATGTAAATGCTCAATACCAACGATCAGCAACACTCAACCTTCGTGCTCTCTTGCGGCATCCAAACGAACCAAGCCCCACGTGGCTCGAGACAGTTGCCTATCGACGCCCCATTACACTGTACACCGACCAAATGCTTATCATGAAGAGGTGGCTCTGTTCCGCGTAGTAGCGCCAAGAGCGGCAGCATCAGCAGGAAGAACAGGAGTACCTGCGAGATGAGGCGGGATAACGACAGCGATGCTTAGAACTCGCTGCAGAAAACAATCTTATAAAGAGCTTAGTCAAGTAAAAAGAGAAGCATCTGATGATTTAAGGAGTATACAAAAGCTGCTGATATCAATTGGATTGAATGAAACGCGGTATATAACGAAAAGTAAACATCGCACTCGAATCTCTTACTCGTTGAACAACTGCAATTAATTATATGCATTTGAAAAGGGTATCGGTAGAATTTGCTTTAGTTTACGCCTGCTACTTTTAAATTCAACTGTGTCAACCATAGCTTGTGCTAATATAAGACTCAATGGAACCAAGTCGACATGTAAAAACCCAAAGGCTATATGGCAGATTTGGCCTCGTCGTGACAAGCTCAACAATGCGATCAACGGCTGCGCGAATCATTCAAGCACAAATCTATGGGCCGCACTTTATGGAGTGGCCGATATCAAAAAATACAAGTGATATAAACGTCAAAGACGATGAAAGCCACTAAACAGCTGGCAATCGTGATGTAGATGACAATGACTTTTTGCTAAGCTCATAAAACTAATACCGAGATACAGAAAGAACTTCACGTGCTCCAACGAGCACAACATAGGCAGCATTGAGTTATAGTATGTGGATTGGGTGCTACCACCAGCTCCTATACGTAGAATACACTCTATTGTTGGAACGATATTTCAGTTCAAATGTTGTCAGTAAATATACCCACGCTGTATTTCAGTGGAAGCGAGCCGTTCTCATTGTCCGATAGCCAGTATGTTAGTTACGATGGACCACTTTTCTGACCGTCGTCTCCATTTATATTTTTTACTGCAGGATATGCATTGCATCTTTTCACCATCATTGCACCTCTTCTACTGTGTGCCGCCGTAACGGGTTCCCAGTTATTCAAAAAGAGTTCCTGGCAGTTGCCAGAAAAAGTTTCTCTAAAGATATTTTCTGACGTGCCCAAAAAACTGATACATGCAACGGCTCTCACAAGAATTTTGACATTGTATTACATGGTCAGTGCATTATGCTTGTGTCAAACGGTTGCCTAGATATTATGTTTAGAATCGATCGAGTCATTGCAAAGTAAAAGTAATTACGAATCTAATGTGAGCCATTTGACATTGTCAGCATTGTATAAGAACAAGGACACAGCACGCCAAAACATGAGTTCTTTCCTAACTGTCAAATGAAGCGGCGAAGACGATTGAACACAGTCAGAAAGAAAATGGATATTGCAAGGTGAAGCGACACGCAAATATCTTCACAAGGAAAGAAATTGTAAATGAGTTTGAGCAGGACATAAAGTAAAAGAGCAGGTTTTTATTCATTGTAATATTAGAGTAAAGAAACATTTTATAAAAGACAAAAGTTATCGTTATGAATATCAATAGTCGAAGGGTACAAAATTTATTAAAAGAACACAATCAGTGGACAATAAAGACAAATAATAAGAACGCGATTTTACAAAGTGACCTCAACAAGCAGTTCGCACAACCTGCAGGCTATACAAAAAGCATGAAGAAAGCAAGAAGAAACAGAAGAAGTATGTAAAAGGGGGAGGAAAAGAAAGCCACCAATGCCTCGGCCTGGGAGTCCCAGTCTCCCAATCATTTGGCTGGGTCAATCAACCACAAACCCAGCCATCATGGTACAAACGAGTGGGAACCATGACGTACACTACGTTTCGAGAGTCAAGTGCAAGCAATCGGTTGTGGATTGCCTGTGAGTGGGGAAGGGGGAAGGGAAGGACGGAAGGAAGATGGAAGGGTAGACGGAAGGGTAGACGGAAGGGTAGACGGAAGGGAAGAGGAAAGGGAAGAGGAAAGAGAAGGGGTGGGGGTAGGGGAAGGAATTGACTCTCGAAACACCCAAAAAAGAAAAAAAAAAATTTGCTGCTGTTGTCGAATGCTGGAGGAGCTGCTTACTGGATACTCGGATGCTGGGAGCCGAACACTGAAGCTGGGAGCTGATTGCCGAGTGTCGATTGCCGAGTGTCGATTGCCGAGAGTCGAATGCCGAGAGTCGAATGCCAGAGAGTTGATCGCTGAGAGTCGAATGCCGAGAGTCGAATGCCGAGCGTCGATTGTCGAGAGTCAAATGCCGAGAGTCGATTGCCGAGAGTCCAACGCAATCTACAGTGGCACCTGGCTCCTCATTGCGACCCCCACCATGGCAGACCAGACCAGACCAGCAGACAAGGCATCCAACCGAAAGGACACTACCATATTTCTATGGCGAGAAACCGAAAAGGATTTCTCCGTCCTCTGATCTCGCCTGAAGATCGGTTGTGGCCAACACCGTTGAACGCCAGACTGGACAGCCCAAAGCAGGGACCGGTTGTAGGCAGCCAGGGGGACCACGGGAAAAAGGCTGAGACCAGGACCGACAGAGGCAAGACCAGGACCAAGGGAAGAGCCAGAGCGAGGGGAAGACCAGAACCAAGGGAAGAGCCAAGAGAAAGACCAGGAGGATCCAAGGGAGTGAAGGGAAAAGAAAAGTGAAGAGAAGAAAGAGTGAAGAAAAAATTTTTTGTTTGGTTTTAAAAAAACACGTCCAGGCCCGTGCTAAAAATACAGGCAGCAATAGCAACACGATCACACTTTTTTTTGTTACTTTCACACTTTGTTTTCTTTTTTTCTCATCTTTTTTTTTCACATGTATCATACATCAGCTGAGGGAAGTGGTTGATAAAATGACCAAGCCAAATATTGAAGCAGCCTGTATACAGGATGACACGCATACTATGTTGAAAACAGCCATGCTCTTGACACTCTATTTTAAGTTGGCCACCTCCATCATTGCGGGCTTGAGGGATCGTGGGTATATACTTGATACTTGATTAAGAGTGCGTCTTTTGTTTGTTACACACGCCACCACATCGCACCATGGTTAATCCAACAACGGCCGAGACTTTCTACAATGGCTCATTTATCCCATCAGGAAGCTGGATACGACCATTCAGCACATACTTACTCCAAACCAAAAATGATGTATATTTCGCCAACACCTTGCGCGAATATATCGTTATCATCCGAAGCTATTGTTCACCGGCCAATATCGACGCGGTATAAATCCATAAATAATCTCGTATTCAACATAAGCAACATTGACGGTAGACACTGTACCGAGACCCTTTGATCCCTGGCTTGAGCTTGGCGCTAACCAAAACTAGTACACGCCCAATCATTCTGATCATAAGTATTTTTTTTTATGGTCTGGAGGCAGAACTTATTCCCAACAGAGTGTCCAGAGGAGTGACGGACTATTGGGTGTGAATACATGTATGAGAAAATGAGGAACAGAGAAGTGACGGAAAAGAGAAACCTATTTATATGTGCGGTGATAGATGGCAGTGGCATGAGCAGCTACTGCCTGCGGATAGAAAGGGTGGCCTTCGAATATGAAAAACCAATGTGCTGACCAGATCGCTTGAACGATGGCGATGCATAGAAGAGTGGTTTTGGGTTGGGAGCAAAAGCGACGTGCGAAGACAGCAGTCTTCATCGCATGTGCGATAGCCGGCAGGCGTGGATCGGCACAGTGAAACGGTGCCCGAACCAGCTGATGATAAGTATTGATTAGCTTGCATAACACTATCCGCTATCATCGCCCATCCGCTCGTTTCCACCTGCCACTGCCAGGTGCTTTTTTTTTTTTTTGTGACAAAACATCCATTCTAAGTGCATCATAAGCAGACCTTCTCTTTCTAAATTATCGTAAAGGATATCAAGAGATCACTAACGACATACGCCTATGCATCATATTGCGTCAGTCCATACAGTATCGGCTTATAGCCGCCCCTCGTTGTACAGGTGTAAGATCTTCCACATTCATGATATAATGGCAATCGTACTGCTACTGCTTACATAAGCTGGATAATCCGAGTATAGTGTTTCCGTGCTTTACAAATTCGGATGGATTGTGTCTATGCTACAATGCTTAGCTGGTTGCCGTGGTAGTTGTCTGTATATACTTTTGATGTTAACCAAATATCTTATCTGATGATGTCTTTGGACAGTGTAATAATGTGTTTTACCACACAATGTATTTAAAAATGTGTTTGCGCTCTGTATTCTCTTTTGAAAAACTAGCAACGAAGGTATTCTAGCGAAATGCATGCACACCATAGCTAGTGCTTATACAGTATGTAGTTAATAGGACTTGACGTATACGTATTGCACAGCGGAAAATATTAGCCTAAGATTACAGGATACTACAAGGAATCACGATTTCACTATACTTAATAAAGCATCAATATAAGAATTACACAGGTATTCAAGGGGAAAAGTTGGATAGAAGCTTTAATTTAAGATTAAGAATTTATTGTCTGAAACATTGAATAATTCAAGTATCCTTCTTTAATGAATTCCAGAGTTTATAATGGAATTCTACTTTTGCATATAAACATGGAAAATCAGAAGAATCCTAGTGTTGTTCCTTGTTTGCTCATAAGTATCAACAAGTATTAAAAGAAGAATCTTTCATATCGAATTATGTTTATTCAAGGTGGTTTAAATTACTTTGTAATTAAAGATGGTTTCTGTCTCCTAAAATCTCCTATTGGTGCTTTCCATTAACCATGCCAGGCCAGATAATGTGCTGCCTGACGTGGTTTCTCGCTCTAGTTTCTGACAAAAGTCCAACAAAATCAGTGATGGATTCTGCTTCAACGACATATAGTTTCTCAGTACTCGATCCCGTCAAATACAGAGAGCCTGTCGTTTTCTCGAGGTTGGGCTGATAAATTCCGATTAACGCCAGCTTTTTCGTATTGCCAGCGCTTATTATGGTACCAGATTTGACATATGTGAAATAAAAATAGATTTTGCCAAAATATGCCTTCTCCGCAAAGACGACATCTGAATTTATACCACGCCTGGCCCTCCTACATTCATACAAAAAGTTATGTATTGAAAATTCTTCTCACTTTATGATGCTTTTACCAAAGTACCTGTCGATTTCCATCTCAAGGCGCACCATGTATGCCATTCGATGCTTTGAATGGTGATGTAGCTTGCTAGAATAGATGCTGTGGTTGAGCCAAAGCCGCCCACTGATATAGA